AAATAAGCCCCCACATCCAGTTAAAAAAAGACTGTCAAAAGAGGGGATGGGGCTTACTTGCGGGCAATCCCCCTGTTCACGACATGTACATGTGTCCGCCATAGATGGGAAGTTTTTATGATGGTGGAGGGAAAGACTACTCTTTTGTTGTACTAACAAATTATATTAGCTGAACATATGTTTTCTTTAACTTTTTAATTTTGATATTTCCTGGTTATGTCAGATCTATTGATATTTAAAACTGAAAAGATTCCAAAGATTGACATACAACAGAAGAGGCATATTTTTTTTTTCTGATAGTTTCACTTTTCTTTTCTATTTCTGAATTTCTTTTTCAGAAAAGAAAAATAAGTTTGAAAGTGGTTTCTCTCCAAAGAAAAAACAGCCTAGTTATACTTTCGGGTAATTGGTGCAGGAATCTTAAAACAATGGCTGAATCTGCAACAGTAACAGCTGTATTAGCACTAGAGACAGCCTGCCAGACAGATGAAAATACCTTCCACAATCAGAATTTCCACAAAGTCAATGACAATTCTACTATGAACCTAATAAACTGTTTGAAACACTCGCACAGAGAGGTGTCATTGTTTTGCAGAACATGCGACAAATTTGTATGTACATCATGTATTGTAGATGGTAACCACAGTAACCACAAACTCTGTGAAATCAGCAATGTTGCAGAGGAAAAACAAATCCAACTTAAGAATGAAGTGAGCTCAAGAGGAAAAGAAATTTGTGAAAAAGTTCAAGACAGCATTACTGTTATGGAACAAGAAAAAAACTCAGTGACAGTAATGTGCAAAACAGAGTCAGAAAAAGTTGCTGAACAAAAAAAATCAATCGTACAAGAGATTGAAAGATGGAGTGAGAATCTGCAGACAATGGTGAAAAATTATCAGGACATGAAAGTTGATAATCTAAACAATCACCTTGTTCAATCAAATACATGTTTGTCACTTCTCAAAGTATTTCAACAAGATCCTGAATCTGTGTATACTACTGACGGCACAAAATCAATTCAGATTTTGGACATTATTCATGCTATAACTGATCCTACAAAAACCCAGGAAGACGACACCTGGAGCTTTCTTCCAGGGTCTGGACTATGTGAAGAGAAGCTACCTACTTTATTTGGAAGACTGGTTGGACTGCCTTGGGAAATGTCTGCCTCTGATACCACTGGGAATATAATACCGACGGGTAATAGTGTTTGTGTGGATAAAGATGAAGCTGTAGAGAGTGACCAGGATTCCACAGATAATGAAAGTTTATATGAGGATGCTATTGAGTCAGGATCATTGTACAAATGTGGGAATTCTGCTATAGATAGAATAGCCCCTATAGATGGGAATGGTGCTTTTATTGTGACAGAAAAAAAGCTGTATATCATTAATTTTAGTAAACACAAAAGAGATATGAAGAAGGAAAAACCACTTATGACTAATGTTATCCATATCACACCTGTTACAGAGGAAGGAATTTATGTACAACAGGCAAGATGTGATGTAGTAACAAGAGTTACGACTACAGGTAAAAAGTATCGTTTTGTGGAGTGTGCAAAGGGAACTCTGAGATGTGTAGGGTTGTCAAAATCCATACAGGTGATCATATACACAGAAAATTCCTCTTTGGAACTGGATAAGATTGGATACACTAAACTATTGATCATTCATGACTTTTCTAGTTATGATCAAAATGGAACCCTTATCAAATCTCTTTTAACTTGTAAGCTTTCTCCAAGCAGTATTTTCAAAAGTCATGTTTCAGACATTGTCATGACAATGTCTGCCTTGTACATTCTTGATTCATCCCTAAATATACCTGACAAGCCATTTGCAAAAGGACATGTTGACAATATTCTTAAAGATATCTCATACACAGGAGCTATAGGAAAAGATCCATCAAGTCAGTTCCATCCTAGAGGAATGTGTCAGGACAAAGATGGTTGTCTTATCATAACAGATTACTGGAACCATGCCCTACACTTACTCACACCTGAGGGAAAATTCAGTAAATTTCTAATGAGAGAAGAGGATGGACTGACCCATCCAACTGCTGTTGCCTTGGACAACTACAGATACTTGTGGATTGGTCAACTTGATGGAACGGTCCATATTATCAAGTACAATCCCTAATCCTTTCAAACAGACCTATCCAACTGCTGTTGCCTTGGACAACTACAGATACTTGTGGATTGGTCAGCTTGATGGAATGGTCCATATTATCAAGTACAATCCCTAATCCTTTCAAACAGACCTATCCAACTGCTGTTGCCTTGGACAACTACAGCACTGTAATTGGGGACTTGATGAGCTTGATTGGATAGTACTAGTCCATATGATCAGGACTGTCCCATCCAGTTGCTGTTGCCTAGGACATCTACAGACACTTGTGTACTGGTCAGCTTAATGTGACGATCCATATTATCAATACAATCCATAATCCTTTCAAATGGACTGTCCCATCCAGTTGCTGTTGCCATGGACATTTACAGATTGGACAATAGGTTAGTCCATACCATCATGTACAGTTGATGAATGAACTGATCCATTCAACTACCACCAGAGACAACTATTAACACTTAAGGATTGATTTAAATGAAAGAACAGTGCTCATCAATAATTAATCATTGATCACCTGAGAAGAACTAATTTATGCAACTACTTGTGTCATAAACAATTTTTACCTTTCCTACAAGTAAGTAATATGAGCTCAAATATCAAATGCTTCACAACATTGATCGAGGGGGAGGTCACTCTCATTTGACAATAACCTGGGAACATGGTTGCAGAATCCAATAAAGTGAAAATAACTTCATATTTACAGCAAAGAAAAGAAAAATTCTGCTGGGTTCAAATGTTGAATTTTATATTTTTCCTATGTAAAGGTATGTAAATAAATGAAAGAAAAAGCAAAATTGTTATTTTTCTACCCAAAATTTCACACATAACTTTGTAAACACATAGTGTGCTTATTTGGTTGAATACGGTAATTAGTCTGAAGTATTAAGTCACCCTGCCCATTTCTCTCAGACTGGCAAGCATATTGAATAATATAGTGTTATGTTTGATACTGAGGTTTGAGATCAGATGAAAGCAGGCTAACTATATAACAAACGTATATTCTACTTATTACATAATGAATTCAGTGTTATAACCTTTTTTTAGAGAAGTCTTTATTAGGAATATTGAAATAGCAGTCCCCTTTTAGTATCCAAATAAACACAAGACCAAAATAGGGGATTTTACATTAGTTTTTTATTTCACATGAGATTAATGAAATAACTCTATGAATTGAGAAAAACTGATGACTGATTTTATCAATATTCTGTTCATCAGAGAATTTAGATATGTAAGCATTATTAAAAACCACGTTCTATTAGACAAATACAAAATCTAAATTGGTCATATTCTCATCCATTTTTTCTTTCTTTTGTGACATCACACCTTGATGTCTTTATAAAAGTATGAAATCACAAAAGAAACAATTGAAACCTTCAGCAAGTAACAACTCAGATGTAGGGAATTTTTTTATCATATTAAAAATCAGCTGACCCCAAACCTCCTATTTCATAGGTACAAAATGATACCTGCATCTGTAGGCCACTTGGTGCAATTTAGAATCCACATGATACCTAAGTTAAGCAGCACAAAGTTTTTCTTGTCTCCAAGACTCTTCCTTTGAATAGGTATTGTCTCTCTGACAGATTTCAGTGTGTTGTAACGTATACAGTTTTACTGATAAACAAGTATGAACAACTCAGTACACGTCTTCATTTTATGATCGAGGTGATAAAAATCACCAGACCCAAAGCTTCATATTTCGTAAGTACATAATAATACTTGCCTCTGTATACAGTGAATTACTTTGTTTGTCTTAGAATCCAGATAATACATTCTGACAATGGAAGAATTACTGATTACAACAACCATAATCCAATGGTGCTTCATTAGCTTCAATTTTCAAATTGTTTATGAGAATGCAAACAAGAGGACCAATCTGCTTGCATTGTTCATCTGGTATTCAATGTTCATCAAAATATAACCAATATTCATTACAAACACATTAACACATGCACCACTGGCATTCAGAGTGGGCACATCCAATCAATTTTAACCAGTTTTCATAACAAACTTTAGTTCTAACACTCAACTTTAAACAGTGGCAGTTATGACCTGGATTAAGGGTTAATGTCATTGCTTTTTTCTTTTTTTTCCCTCAAAATTTGTCAGGCCTAGAAACATCTTTCTACCAGATATTCTGTTTCTCAGACTTATGGTTTATCAGAAGAAGTCTTTGACAGTTGTAACCTTGAATATGAAAAGATCATTTCTTTTTGTTAACTTTGTTGGGCTTCATCCCAAGACCTATCTGTCAAATATCAAGCTCCTAGAACTTTTATTTAATTAGAAGAAACTGTTTTTACCAAAATAAACCCATGTGACCTTAAATATGGGTCATGGTCATTTCTTTTCGCAAACTTTGTCAGGATTTAAACTAAAAACCTATCAGCTTAATATCATGTGTCTGGGCTTTTTGGTCAGTCAGAAGAAGTTGTTTAAAGGTTTTAACAAATTTGACCTCTATGACCTTGAATATGGGTCAAGGTAATTTCTTTTCCTAACTCTGTCAGGCTTCATTCCAGCAACCTACCTGCCGAAAATCATTACATTTTGCCAGTTGGGTATTGAGAATAAGTCGTTCAACTGGAAAAGTTGACAACGGACAGACACACAGACATCGGACACTATGTCACAGTGCCAGGTAAGCTAATAAAAATGTTGATGCTGCTGTCAGTAAAGTAACACCATAGTCTCACTATTGGGACTTTTTGCCAGATAATAACTGGTTTCCATGAATTCATTATTTGTCTCAATGGAAAATTTTGAATCTCAAATAAGGGAGAAAACTCTGGAAAAGAAGGAAGGTATCTATCCAATAACAGAGACGTAAATAATCTTTGTATTATTATGATTTAATACATGATTAATTACACCTACCAATGATTTGAACTCATCCTCTGTCATGCTGTCTATAATTGACCTGAACTCTACCAGGAAGTCATCAATATGCTTGTCTACAGCACTCATACTGGAATACACAAAGCATAATATAGTGAATGGAAGTAGTACTTTAAATGATGAGATACTAATAAATAAATGGATAATTAATGATATTAAATAAAAAGAGGGTCACGAAAGTAAGGTACAATTAGTAATTGTGAGTAACAGTGAACATGAAGGAGTTACAAGAGTATAAATGTTGAGTCACTGTGAATTAATAATGAGTAATAGTGTATTACTGGTGAGCCAATGTGTCAATGACAAACATATACATGAGTAATAATGATTTACAGTGTTTCATGAGTGAGTCATTGTATTGATGGTGAGTCACTGAGTATCAATTTAGGCGTCAGTATATATGACAAGTCAATAGTGTATTAACAACGAGTTATGGTGTATCATTAGTGAGTTATTCTATCAATGGTGAGTCACTGATAATCAATAATGAGTTACAGTGTGTCTTTAGTAAGCCAGTGTATCAAATCTTATAAGTATTCATGAATTTTAGTGAATCACTGGTTAACATGTATCAAATATCAGAGTATCCATAATGAGTTAAGTTATAACATGTATCATTGGTGGGTCAGAGTATCCATAATGAGTTAAGTTGTAACATGTATGATTGGTGGGTCAGAGTATCCATAATGAGTTAAGTTATAACACATATCATTGGTGGGTCAGAGTATCCATAATGAGTTAAGTTATAACATGTATGATTGGTGGGTCAGAGTATCCATAATGAGTAAAGTTATAACATGTATGATTGGTGGGTCAGAGTATCCATAATGAGTTAAGTTATAACATGTATGATTGGTGGGTCAGAGTATCCATAATGAGTAAAGTTATAACATGTATCATTGGTGGGTCAGAGTATCCTTAATGAGTTAGGTTATAACATGTATCATTGGTGGGTCAGAGTATCCATAATGAGTTAAGTTATAACATGCACCATTGGTGGGTCAGAGTATCCATAATGAGTAAAGTTATAACATGTATCATAGGTGGGTCAGAGTATCCATAATGAGTAAAGTTATAACATGTACCATTGGTGGGTCAGAGTATCCATAATGAGTTAAGTTATAACACATATCATTGGTGGGTCAGAGTATCCATAGTAAAGTTATAACATGTATGATTGGTGGGTCAGAGTATCCACAATGAGTTAGGTTATAACATGTATCATTGGTGGGTCAGAGTATCCATAGTAAAGTTATAACATGTATGATTGGTGGGTCAGAGTATCCACAATGAGTTAAGTTATAACATGTATGATTGGTGGGTCAGAGTATCCATAATGAGTAAAGTTATAACATGTATCATAGGTGGGTCAGAGTATCCATAATGAGTAAAGTTATAACATGTACCATTGGTGGGTCAGAGTATCCATAATGAGTTAAGTTATAACACATATCATTGGTGGGTCAGAGTATCCATAGTAAAGTTATAACATGTATGATTGGTGGTTCAGAGTATCCACAATGAGTTAGGTTATAACATGTATCATTGGTGGGTCAGAGTTTCCATAGTAAAGTTATAACATGTATGATTGGTGGGTCAGAGTATCCACAATGAGTTAAGTTATAACATGTATCATTGGTGGGTCAGAGTATCCATAAGGAGTTAAGTTATAACATGTACCATTTGTGGGTCAGAGTATCCATAATGAGTTAAGTTATAACATGTATCATTGGTGGGTCAGAGTATCCATAATGAGTTAAGTTATAACATGTATCATTTGTGGGTCAGAGTTTCCATAATGAGTTAAGTTATAACATGTATCATTGGTGGGTCAGAGTATCCATAATGAGTAAAGTTATAACGATGAACAACACTGTTACTATTTAATTTGAGTCACAGCATAATATTACCAGTGTGACTTTTAGATAGAGTGAAATTCAATGATATCTGTGCTTATTAGCTTACAGGTCTACATCTACATCCATACAATATAAACAATATATGTACCACAACCAAAAAAGAAACAACCAAGGCGACTGACCTGAATTTATTGGCCTGGCACTCAACTGTGATGGCCAATCCAAGAATACCATTTGTTACCAGGAATTCACAGAATGTGCTGTAACCTAGTTGGTGTTTAGTTCGCAGAAAGTCAAAGCAGGGCTCTGTCATACGAGTCTGTAAACATAAATTTTACAAATAACAAAGCTGAGGTCTTTCATACATGTCAATATATATGTATTATACATATAACAAAGCAGGGCTCTTTCACACAATTCAATTTACATATATATCATTTAGAGGGTAAAGCAGGAATCTTTCATACAGGTCAGTATACATGTATTTTATTTAGGGCAAAGCAGGGTTTCTTCATATGAGTAATTCTGTACATTTTTGATACAGTTGAAGTCAGAAAAAATCTCAAAAAAAAAAAAAACCACAAAAAAAAAAAAAAATTGAACAAAGAAAATTTACAGCCTCTTTTCTTTTTCATTTCTACTGTCGTAAATACATTTATGATAATCAGCATTAAAAACCATTTTGTTTATAATGAATTTACATTACCCCTAAGACTTCATTTAGAGTGCTGGTATAGATGGTGCCTGGCTCTGACTGAAGGTACACCACCACACAGGAATTGTTATCATCATAGTTATGACCTCTGACCTGACAGTAGCTATCTCCCACTGGCATCTGGTACAACCGTTTCTACAAACAAAATTGTATTTCATCTGAACATTTTTTCTGCAGACATCTGCATATGCTAGTCTTTGAAAACACTTTATTAAGACAGCTAGTATATTGATTTTTCTTCTCTTACGAGAATTCATATAAATTCATAAAGGTTGTACACATACCACATCTACAAATATGATATGAAAGCTCATTAATATTCAACATTTACGTAAGTTTCTCCGAATGGATGGAATCAGAGAAATCTTTATCTATAACAAATTAATATCTAATACCCATGTATGTTCCTTTTTCAGCTATAAATCAAAGTTTTATTATTTTACCTTTAAAAGTTGTGACTCCGGCAGAGGTGCTCCTTGTAACACAGCATTGATCTTATCCTTGTAACATGTCGCTTCCTTCACAAACAATTAAGGAATTAAAATCAAGAAAGAAAATCAACAAAAAAGCTTTAATTATGCTTTTGTTATGCATTTTACATACTTTAATAAGCATTTATTGAAATACATTTGTGAAAATCATTAAGAAATAACCGAAGCTTTCTTTTTATCTGTGCATTTTGATGTTTGACCTATGATGATGCAAACTTAATTATGTACTGTATATCTTCTTAATGCAGGCAAAGAAAGTATCATCAAGATGTACATGTACAGTAAACCTTCTGTCAGTTTGAACTGTACTTCCAACATATGATTTTTCAATACAGACAATAATTATTTGTAAAGTGACAGTTTAAACCCTTTCTATTTTTGTTTCACTCACAATTCAAATTGTTAGAACATATTTTGAGATTATATGTATGCCTAGTTACTGATAGGGAACTTGCTATTGCATTAACTGTTTCATGTGGTCAGTATTCACAACGATGGTACACACTGCAGGAAGTGGGTTGTCAATGATCATCTGATACCACTAAATTATAAACATACATGTCTCTCAATAAGCATTGTGTCAGTATGATTTCTTTCATGTTTAACTGTCACATTGTGCTCGTGCACGCTGGCATGTCATCAGGCCCTTACTCTGTATCGCAAGTGAAGTATATGAAGCAAGGAATTTTTGCATGTGTATTGTCAAACAGCAATGGTGTTTCAACACACACACATTTTGATAACATAATCATGTGCAGACTACATTTATCTCTATTCATTACGTAAAGTAATTAATTGCAAGGCTCTTAGATATGTTTCATAAACATCACTGAGATGACTTAAATAAAACAGATATATGATTAAACCTCCGGTCAGTGCTAATAGGCAGATAATTCAAACGTGATTCTTTCAATAAAAACAATTATTTTCTGTCTAGTGATAGTTCACACCCTTTCTAGGTTATTTCACTTGTTGTTTCAACGTGCATGTTATACTAATGATAAAGGCAATAACCACTCTGTGTGGTCACGGTACACATCAATGTAAAACACTGTGGGTAGCAGGCTGTAAATGACCATGGTAAGCAGTTGATAGGGCAGATTATACACATACAGGTCACTTAATTAGTATTCATGTGTAGTGTGATTTATTTCACACCTTGGCATAACATTGTGCACACGTCAGCTGACACAACTCGAGGCTCTGTATTACACAGTAAATATATACTGGCATGTGTTTGTCAAAGAACAACATTATTTTATATCAAGACTGTCCCAATAATTGTAAGATTCATTAAGATTTTAGTAAAGATTAATCTATAGATATATTAACTCTCAATCCACACTCTCACATACTGATATGTTAACGCTAACTTCCGCCAATATACAAGCAGAAATGTGCATTTTACAGACTGGATTCTCTGTCACGGTATCCAAAGTTATAAAGATCAAAATGAAACCTGTGATTCCTTAACAGTCAATTAACATGTACTGCATTAGAGTCAGTGTTTCAAAAGATAATCATTTCATAACAAACCCTCCAGAAAATGCCACTGGTAGTTTCCTGCCACGCCAAGATGCTTTTAAACATTTCATAGTGATTTTGGGCGATAACAATAATAAACTTTAGTATTTTACAACAATTGTGAAGCAAGTTTCTCAACTTTATATGAATCACTCTTGTTCGCTTGGATAGAAGCACGTGGGGTGTCTTAGTGTGGGAGGGAACCGGAGTACCTGGGGAAAACCCACATCGGGCAGATGACCCCATACCTTTTCACATCCATTCCAGGAATCAAACCCCGGCGGCTAGGTGTAAGGCAAGCGCATTATGACTGCGCCACCTGACAAGAGGTTTTTTTTCTGTGAAGGGGTTGTTCCTTTGGGCAAGACACTTTAATCCCATTGCTGTGGATGGTATACAATAGCATGTAAAGTAGCAATCAGCTGTTGCAAGGACCCAGGCTGTTCATGGGGCAGTAAACTTAACAAACATGTCACTGACATATCTCATACCTCTATCAGCTGTAATCTTTGATGTATATTTTTGTATATTTCAATTTATTCTCCTAAGACATACACACATTTTTATATATAAACAAACACGAAGACGCACAGTAATGTGAAAAAAATTCACATGATAGCTCACCTCCTCAGAGAAGTTTCCAATCAGAAAGTTTTCAACCCATACATTCTGTTGAAACTCTTCCACAAAATGTTCCAACATGTCATGTGTGATATCATTAATACGGCCTAAACGATCCGGCACAGGCCAATTTAAGGGTGATGTAACTGCAAATCTCAGCATTCTGAAATTCAGAGGTATTGTATACAAGACAAGCTACAGAAAAATCCTGTAACTCCTCAAATCCTACTGTGACAAATCATCTGAAACCTGATTATTTACCCTAGAGATCTATCAGAAATCAGCTGACAATGACATGTTCCTCAAGAATTTGACAGGAATATTTTTTTGGGGACGAAATTTTGACTGTCTCAGCAGCAACAAAGTTGAGAATCCCTCACTTTATAATCCTGGCACACCAGATATTTAGAAGGAAAAATGAATCCTAGCTGAAAAATCTACAAAAATATCAATAACCTGAGTAAAGAGTGATTTCTTAAAGAATTAAAGATGATGCTGTCAATTTAATAAAACTATAAAACTAAAGAAAGGCATATAACATATGTAAGGAAAGCATGAAAACTTTTGATTTGATCAAAAAGGATGAAAAATGTTTTTCTGCCATTTACAGAAATTCTGTATGTAATGGTAAAAGTTACCTTGCCAGCTTGTTTGGTCTAATCATGTCATTATTGTAGATTCTTGTGACCTCCTCTTTCATCATGTTAAACTCGCGAACAGTACAGCGAAATCCAAACAGCTGGTCCAGTAACAGGTCAGTGATCACCTGCAAATAATATGTTAATGTCTTATGCATGTGTAAGATGACATCTGAAAGAGAACCATACTTCACACATGCCAGTGGAGCAGGCTGAGGTAAAGTCCACCGTACAGACTGGATTTCCCTTTCAGAATGTAAGTTGTTTGAAAACACTTGTAACACAACAAATTAGTCATACATATTAAGAAATAGATTTATCCATGTTTTCAACATGTAGGTAAGATATTATAAAAGATACATATCTTTGATATCAAGATCAATGGCTCATAAACTGCTTCAGCAGAATGTGAAACAGCTTTCCTGATTTGTCAAAAGAATGACCTAAGGTAAATCATCACAAGTTAGTCACAAAAGCTGTATTATGATTTCTCAGATAGTCATAGATTTGGCAAAACATTACATTGAAGTTTCCTGAGAGTACAAACAGACATGATCATGCAATAACATTTAAATAAGACATCAAAATTTCAACAAAACTTCTCCAGAACAACATTTAAAACCCTACAACACAGTCATCAGCGCATGATGTCCATATTTGGTTACTGGTTTGAGTTGTGGGACCAGGATTGTTGTTTAATGAAATCCTTTCTATATGTATATTTACCAATGCATGTTCATTACAATCTATGCCTGAAATAGCATATTTACAATATTTGTATAAACATATGACCCTGTTCGCCTAACACACTGGCCCAATATTAGATGCTCTAACTCCAAGGCTGAACTGATTGGTCAAACACTGGTAGCTGACAATAGCCTATTTCAACATACCAAACCTTCACTTACCTTCATTTTATGAGAAAATCCACTCATGTGGAGAGTAATGCCAGTTTCATGCCCTTCAATTCCATATCTACAATCCAAAGTCAGGTATGAAAGGAATGTAGAAATCTGGTTTAATTTTGTTCAAATGTTTGTGATTTTCCTAAACTAACTTGAAGATTGTACCTTGAAATATTAGGAAAAGTAAAACAAGATTATCAATGAAACTGTTGAATGCTCCCCAAAAATAACTGAGCCATTATTCTATAATTAAAGGGTTGCTGACACTGACTTTGACATACTGCACACTTTCTCAATATTAATGTACACACCAAGTTTCATTATCCTAGTTTTAATGCAAGCAGAGCTTTGTTCATGACACAATTTTTTTACAGAGGGCAATAACTCTGTATCGAGGGGTCATGTTCCTAGACTTTGCTTCACTGTGCCTACGGACTTTTGTATGACTGCTGTATACATCACAATGCTTTAGACACAAAATTTCAACAAAGAGATTTAACTGTGATTAAGGGATTGCAGGCTCTAACATGTTACAGTACACATTGTCTTTGTTTGATTAATGTATACACTACATTTCATTATCCTACCTTAAATGCATGCAAAGTTTTGCTCTGGACAAGAAATTTTCAGCAAAGGGAAATTACTCTGTAATTGAAGGGCTGTTGGTCCTGAATTTGATACACAGTATATTGTCTTTGTATGATCAATATATCCACCAAGTTTCATTATCCTTGTTTAAATGCAAACAATTTGATGTTGTGTTCTGGACATGAAATTATAAACAGGGCAATATCTCTGTGATTAAGAGATTCGGGTCCTGAATTTGGTACAGTGCATATCATCTTAGTATGAGCAATGTATACACTAAGTTTCATTTTCCTTTCTTAAATGCAAGCAAAATCATGCTACAGACAAATAAAGGACAATAACTCTGTAATTGAGAGGTCAAGGGCCATGAACTTGGTACAATGCACTTCCCCTTAGTATAACCAATGTATACACTAGTTTCATGATGCAGACCAAGTTGTGACTATATGTTCCCCTAAAAATTTTCAGGGAACATAAAAAGCGTAAAAATGATAAAATTTTCTTGAATATTGTGTTCAAAGTCAAAGAAATGTCTGATAAGGAGGCAATAATATAGAAATAATTTGCTCAACTATCACCACCATTTTTCTTCCAATGGATCAGATTTCAAATTTGAGATAGCATTTGTTTCTTATTTAAATATGATTAATAGCATGTACAAGTTAATATTACTGGCATAACTTACTCAAATCCAGCAAGGTATGCAGGGTAGGCCACAAGGGTCAACTGATGTTCCAATAGGTTAACAAAGAAATCCAAAAGGATGGCACTGTCAGAGGAAAATAACTGATGCAAGTGTACATATACAATAGAATATATAAACATATACAAGTTATAATAGGTTCAACATATAGGAATACCGAGGAGCATATATAAAATAAATAACTACACAAGCAAGCTGAAACAGGTTCAGTATATAAAGAAATCTAAACAAGACGACACTATCATTTTAAAATAAGGCAACCATTTATACTGATTTAGTCTGTATGAGTTACAGCATTACAATACACATGCCTAAACAGTTTCTTTATTATTACAACCAGTCGCTATTTCAGGAAGAAAACAGAGATATGTATAATTATAGACGTTTAAAATCTGTTTTGCCTCCACTTATTTTGGTAGTCTAAATTGCAAAATGGCTGTTTCTTTATTCTTTTCTTTGTGTATGAAATATGTACAACAATATATAGTCCAATGTCTCTGGTCAAAGTAAGGTATAACAAAGAATGGTGAAGAAAGGGAAGTAACTCCTAATAGGAGGAGCATGCTGCTGATTTCAAAGTCTCAGACACTGCAACAGACCTTGTGACTGACCCAGATTGACTAATACCAGACAAATCCCTCCATTAATGCCCAGAGAAAATCTGATATTCAACTATTCAGTATACATTCTATCCTCAAAAACTACCAAGGTAACTTCAGAACTTCAGGGAAAAGTTAAATATGAATCAGGTAAGTGTTGCCATTTTTGTTTGTTACATGTCCTTTGCATCACTGATAAGTCCTAGAATGATGAAACAGCTGTATGATGCAGTTTAGTCCATTATTTGGCTCTAATGCATCTAACTCTAAAGTTGAATTGTGTGTCTTTTGTACAATCTTCTAATAAAATCATTCTTCACCTGTAGTCAAAAGTTTAAAAGAGATCATTGTGGCCTATTCTGGAATGACACAGAACTTTCAAATTTTACACCTCAATACAAATTCATGCATGAAGGACAGCCTATATATGTTTCTGTAACTGGGACGGACAGATCAACCCACAAGACAAACACTATATACCCTAGTCCCAGTATCCCCTGACTTCAGTCGAAGTAGGAGTATACTATATTTATGTTACAATAACTGAGGGACTATGCTGCTTCTTACTCAAAGCCAAGGGTTACACTTCATACAGAGCAATAGAACATATCCTGTGTTATTGGTCTGTAATTTTATTTCAAAGCAATATGTGAAATGGCTGATTATCAGATTAAGAATTAAAGCCATATTAATATGGTACATATCATAATGTATAGTAGAAAGATTTTACTCACCTGTCCAGGGACCTGTACACTACTGGTGACATCAGATGGATGTAGTTATATCCTGCAGTTGTAAAACAGGACACACCCATATCAGTGCAACAGAACATATATACTAGGTAATCATTGGTATATTTTATTGTTGTTTTAAAATGTGGAATATGTTTTAACAGGTTTCTTATTAATAAGAATTCTAAGAAACCAGTTTTATTATCACAAACTTTACTAATGGCAAGGAGAGGAATTCTACCAAAGTACAGGTAACATCTCCAGTATCAAACATTAGGGTTAGGATTTGAGTCAGAGTATCAGCTCATGAAAAATCTGAGTCATTGTACCAAGTCAAGCAGAAATCAAACAGTTATATAATCAAACAGCTATTTTATGAAAAATTCTTTGTCTTTGACAATTATTTCCCGGTTACAGTAATTACTTCTATAGAAATCATCAGAATTTCTTTCTCTAAAATCAAATGTCACAGGGTAAATTGGAGTAAGTGTCTGTAACGTCCTGTTTAATTTGTATTTGTTACTGTCCATGTATTTACGTGTTTGTCCTTATTTGGTGTTACCTGTTAGGTAGTGTCAGTGTCTGTCCTTATATGGTGTTGTCTTGAGACGTGTACATGTCCAGGTGTGACAGGTAAGGAAGTCGTGCAAGAGTGAGTGTGTAGAGTAATAAAACTAGGGATACCCCTGGGTGCTGGGCAGAATCACAGACTAGCCACGTCGCTCTGGACGTCCTCGGGAGTCCAGGCACCACATATAGCATAGTTAAGTGACTGACACGACCTGACGGTCGGTGTAGTGATGTGATGGAAATCCGAAATCAGGGGTATTAATAAAATAAAACGTTCATCACACAATGAATTTGAGTTGATGGTGTGACACAAAGTAGAAAGTGATACATATATACTATCAAATTTATCCAGCGATACGCCTTAGGTTCCAATATATACAGTCCCCAGTCCCTCTAAAAGTAAACAAAGTAACCTCGTAAAGACGTTACAGTTGTTCAAAAACCATATTTATCATAGGTTGAATAAAAACCAAATCAAGCGTTCTTTTACTGTATGTACAAGGTAAAAAATATGACATAGGCTACTGTAGCAAACAATAACGCTTACATATCTGACAATTAATATTATGATAATGAAGAAAGAACTCAAAAAACATGCAACATTGAATTCTTACCTTTCGGAACTTTAAACTTTGTATCTGGTTTGAACCAAAGTTTCCCTTTTTCATCACTTTTCAAAAGCTTTGGTTGCTACAAAAGACAAAAAGACTTAAGTATCCCTCTATAATGAAAATCACTGTGATGAATAATGATGGTGACACAGTATATATCACAACACCAGACCATATATTGGAAAGTCTGTGACTTACCACCCATTACTGTCAGATAAATGGTATTGGTACAATCATGTACCTGTAATTGCATTTTTTTCAAAGATTATATCTAGAATCCAGATACATTTCTTCTGGATATCCCCCACTCTCTAATCATGGATACCAGTATCTTTACATCACCCTTACTCTCTAATCATGGATACCAGTATCTTTACAGCACCCTTACTCTCTAATCATGGATACCAGTATCTTTACAGCACCCTTACTCTCTAATCATGGATACCAGTATCTTTACAGCACCCTTACTCTCTAATCATGATCGTGGATACCAGTATCTTTACAGCACCCTTACTCTCTAATTATGGATACCAGTATCTTTACAGCACCCTTACTCTCTAATCCTGGATACCACTATCTTTACAGCACCCTTACTCTCTAATCATGGATACCAGTATCTTTACAGCACCCTTACTCTCTAATCATGGATACCAGTATCTTTACAGCACCCTTACTCTCTAATCATGATCGTGGATACCAGTATCTTTAGTACTCTTTACAGCACCCTTACTCTCTAATTATGGATACCAGTATCTTTACAGCACCCTTACTCTCTAATCCTGGATACCACTATCTTTACATCACCCTTACTCTCTAATCATGGATACCAGTATCTTTCTAGCACCCTTACTCCCTAATCATGGATACCAGTATCTTTACAGCATCCTTACTCTCTAATCATGGATACCAGTATCTTTACAGCACCCTTACTCTCTAATCATGATAGTGGATACCAGTATCTTTACAGCATCCTTACTCTCTAATCCTGGATACCAGTATCTTTACAGCATCCTTAATCTCTAATCATGGATACCAGTATCTTTACAACACCCTTACTCCCTAATCATGGATACCAGTATCTTTACAGCACCCTTACTCTCTAATCATGATAGTGGATACCAGTATCTTTACAGCATCCTTACTCTCTAATCCTGGATACCAGTATCTTTACAGCATCCTTAATCTCTAATCATGGATACCAGTATCTTTACAACACCCTTACTCTCTAATCATGGATACCAGTATCTTTACAGCACCCTTACCCTCTAATCATGATTGTGGATACCAGTATCTTTACAGCACCCTTACCCTCTAATCATGATCGTGGATACCAGTATCTTTACAGCATCCTTAATCTCTAATCATGGATACCAGTATCTTTACAGCACCCTTACTCTCTAATCATGGATACCAGTATCTTTACAGCACCCTTACTCTCTAATCATGGATACCAGTATCTTTACAGCATCCTTAATCTCTAATCATGGATACCAGTATCTTTACATCACCCTTACTCTCTAATCATGGATACCAGTATCTTTACAGCACCCTTACTCTCTAATCATGGATACCAGTATCTTTACAGCATCCTTACTCCCTAATCATGATCGTGGATACCAGTATCTTTACAGCATCCTTACTCTCTAATCATGGATACCAGTATCTTTACAGCACCCTTACCCTCTAATCATGATCGTGGATACCAGTATCTTTACAGCACCCTTACTCCCTAATCATGATCGTGGATACCAGTATCTTTACAGCATCCTTAATCTCTAATCATGGATACCAGTATCTTTACAGCACCCTTACTCTCTAATCATGGATACCAGTATCTTTACAGCACCCTTACTCTCTAATCATGAACACCAGTATCTTTCTAGCACCATTATTCTGTCATCATGGATACCAGTATCTTTCTAGCACCATTATTCTGTCATCATGGATACCAGTATCTTTCTAGCACCATTATTTTGTCATCATGGATACCAGTATCTTTCTAGCACCATTATTCTGTCATCATTGATACCAGTATCTTTCTAGCACCCTTACTCTCTAATCATGAACACCAGTATCTTTCTAGCACCATTATTCTGTCATCATGGATACCAGTATCTTTCTAGCACCATTATTCTGTCATCATGGATACCAGTATCTTTCTAGCACCATTATTCTGTCATCATGGATACCAGTATCTTTCTAGCACCATTATTCTGTCATCATGGATACCAGTATCTTTCTAGCACCATTATTCTGTCATCATGGATACCAGTATCTTTCTAGCACCCTTACTCTCTAATCAAGGATACCAATATCTTTCCAGTAAATAAGCCCAAAAAATAAGCCTATTGCTGTTCGGTGTTCATAAACAAATGCTAATTGATTGTCCTGGTATAAGTCCATACCGAAAAACTTATGTGTTAAACCTTAGGCTTATTGAAGGTTAAAAACATCAAATTGTTAAGGTAATCTTCCTTTTATATCTGTGCATTTTTTGTAAAGACCTGACACATATCTCCATCTTCTCCATTTCCTTCTTTGTGCATAAACAATAAATTGCTAGAAGTTGATTTTGCTTCTACAAGACACTAAGACCCTGGAGGTATCCATCACTACAGTAACCAATTCTTACCTTTGACTCAGTTTCATGTTGTCTAAGGTCAAAATCAGTGGCTGAAACACAAAATAACAACTCACACATTTCACGAAGCATATTAAAAAAATGAATTTTAAATAAATGAATATTTATTACATTTTTGCCAATTTATCAAATTGTAATGCAGTGATGACGTAACAATCTTATATCACTTCAGACTCATAACTTTTTTGTTTTGATGATATAATGTTCATAGTTTTGACAAACCAGAACATCACATTCTTGTCACTGTAATGAAATTCGCTCCCATAACTGAATATCTCTGTATTTTTCACTCACGCATGAAAAGTCTACATATTTTGTCATACTCGTGAAACATACATGATAATAAATGGGAAATCAGAAAATATCCTCGATTTACAGGGAATCTCATAAATGAAGCAGTCCATTGAAGCAATTTATAATCAACGTATCAAACTAGATCTGATTTTTTATTTTTCATCACTGAACATTTACTACAGAAAATGAAATTCATGAAAATGTAAACATATTCTAAATTTTTCAGAATTCAGAGATATTCGATCAATATACTTTGACTTCTAGGAAACTTAACCTAGTTTATTTATTGATAAACATTATTATAAAAGAAGAATTCAATGTATATCCATTCTTACAGGTAAAATCAAACAATCACATACATTTAAATAACTTTCTCTCTCCCTTCCCTTTCTTATAAATTTTCTAAAAAAAAACCAGAGGTCCAATGGGCTTGCATCGCTCACCTTGTATCCAATATTCATCAGCAGTACAATCAATTTTCATCCCAAGTACGTTTTTTTTTCCTTTTCTCAAAATTTGTCAGATTTTGACACTGAATTATCATTCCACCAGATATTCTGCCTGTGCTTCATCAGTAAAATAAACCTCAGATCAACTTTACACAGTTAATCTTGAGGATGACCATGAAATAACCTACCTATGAAGGCATTTGGTTTTGGCAAGTGTAGAGATGGATTACAACCACAGTCTGAAAAAAAATAGATGTAATTGCATCAACTTAAGGTTCTTTACTACAGTAAACTGTTGTTACCTCCTGACCAAAATTCAGCTCTAGGTATCCTTGGAAATATATTAATAACATTTTAAAATATTCAACATGTGCAAAAGAAAACAAATATATCAATATGGGATGGACCAAAACTTAAAGGTCAGTAATTTTTCTTAGTAGAAATAAATCTTTATACAACATTCCACCTTCAATACAAGGATCAAGATTCTATCACCTGTAATAATGTAAACATACATAATTAAGCAGTAATCTTATTTTAGCACTTTTCACACTGAAAACATTGTGCTAATACCTAGCCTATTATTGTGTTAATTGCTGTTTCTATGATTTGTTTATGTAGTAATTATTGAGAACAAGCTAACTCATCAATGTGTTAATTAGCAAAATTAGTGACATTGTGCTAAATCAGACTGTGCCATATTAAGTATGTTTATGGTAATATCTACCTTTCAGTCTCTGACTAAATTCAGAAGAAAAGTCACTGACTCCATATTTTGTTTTATACCATCTCTCCTCAAGGGGACATTGGTCAGTATTTTCAAATTTATTGGACATCAGCAGTATGTTACAGTTGTTAGGTGATAAATGTGACAAGCAATCTGATATCATCTGAAACAACAAAGAGTAGGTTCCAGGCTAACACTATGACAACAAGTACTGAGGGTGGAGTGAAAATTGACAAAAAAAAAAGACAAAAAAAACCAAGCATAAGACCATAACACATATTTCAGAAGCAAAGATCAACATAAAGAATATTAATAAAATTTGAAGAAAACGGAAATATTCCAATACAAACTGTAGTCTATTCTAGGAATTTTCTATTCAGATATTTTCATTTGATATAAGACTGACCTTTGGCTCATAATCATACAAAATTGTACGACCTGTGAGGACATCTTCCCAGGGAAACATATGCATGCTTTCAGACACCTTCTCCACATAGTTCACAGCATCGCCCTGTCACAGATATAAAAGAGGGATATTGTGTATTGTTGTTATGCTTCTTGATGGCATACGATTTAATTCGAATTAACAATTCAATTCTCAATTATATCAATCAATCGTATGACAGTAATGAACCAACTTCCCTATTCCAACCCAGAAAAATGTTATCTATCTAATTCAACCCGATCTGAAAACATGTTTATTCTTAACTAAAGTACTGTCAGTTAAAAAAGGGGTGTCAGTATAGACACAATGCTGACCTGTTCTTTCCATCGAAACTTGCTGTCTTCAATCTGCTTCAGTTCCTGGAATAACCATTCCTGTGGGCCTGACTCTTCTAACATATGTATGTATTGAAAAATAGCCTCCACCACCTGAGGGTAAAATGATAGCTTAGATCAGAGCAAATGATACTAGGAATAATCTATCAAATCACCTTTCAACATTTTTTCAAGAAAACATAATACAGAAAAATTTGCTAATGAGCCCCATTCCTAAATTCAGGTAAAATTAAATTTCAGGAATACTGTGGTCGATTTAGAATCAGTCTGAGGAAGAAATGTGTAAGTTTAGATAAAGCCAGATAAGCCAGATAATTAAAAAAAAAAAAAAAAAGAAATCTGCATCATTTTGCTTGATACCTTTATATCTGGTAAAAAAAGTTGATGCAATGTAGCTAATGCCATCACTGATCTTACAATACACAAACAAGAGCCTCTCAATACTGTTTGTTTCTGATCTTACCTCCTCGTAATGTTCAAGGCCTTCATCGGTGAGAGTCACAACTACAGAGAAGCTTGTCATTGTAGAATTCATCTCAAATCCATCATAGCTGTAGCCTCCCATGATGGACAATGCCCAAAGTCTGCCAGTGGAGAAGAATGCAATCAACCATGAATGGGCTTTTATTGATGCAAAAATAGATATATGTCAAAACACTCATCATAGTTGTTGTGATGGGAGCTGACCATCCTGGTACTGACCTCCTCAACAACTTGAAAGATTGGGTCAAATTTACCGTATTTGTTGAAGCCAGGCACATTTTTAACTTAAAGGACAACACAGACAGGAAAATAACTTTTTTATACCTTTTGGAAAAGGCCCCAAAATCATCTTCAATTTCATGCCAGGATTTCTTATTTTAAAATTTAAAACATTAACAAGTTCTTTATCTTCCATTTGCTTCTAAATCAGAGATGTGTGGAAGGCATCATTTGACTGACAGGGTTATCATAGCTAGTGACTTACTTTTCCTTTAGGTATGCAAGAACACTTCCCTGGCCCTCATCACACAACACTGTAGCCAGGTAGTCTAGAGGCTTTGTTCTGTATTTGTCAAGGCAGGGAGGTAGTGACCAGTTTATATACACCTTATGTGCATCCTCAACTGGTATCACTGTGAAGTGGAACATAATGGCAAGCCATTTATACTCGGTTTGATACTTTTATTTAACAATTTGTCTTAAAACTAATAATTTTCTGGAATATACTCTACTCTAAAGTAACACAACATATGAAAAGAAAAAGAAAATAATTTCAAATGATATTTTGTGAAACATGGACAAAGTGAGTTATGTATACATAAATATATTTAAGATTTTACCTATTTTATATACCACAATCTGATCATATTTGTTATTAGTAGAATAAAAACATCTAGATTTATCATCCTTGGTCGGTCTTTAGGTGTGATGAAGTTCTTTGCTACTTGCTAACAAATGAATATTTGGAATTCATATCACTGATATTACCAACCTTTATACATCTTCCTGAACTTCGGGGTGTCAAATGGATCCTGAAACCCACAAAAATTATCACAATGACAGACAACTTTCAATACAATATCAAAATTTCATTCAAAACCCTGAAACTACAGAAATATTTATTTTTCAAGTATACTTTTTACTCTAACAGTAGTTAAATAAAAAGAAACATTTCCTGAATCAAAAGGCCAACCCAATTGGCAACAAATAAAACAAAAGCACTGCAAAGCGGAGCAAGTCTGATTTTTCCATCCCTGTTTCATTTATATGATAATAATAATAGGCTTTATTTATTCTTGATAACATATTGAGCAATATGCTTGTCTTATATATGGTCAAGAAGATAACATGCAATATTTACCAATAAAATTACAAAATACATATCACAGGCAAGAAAAATACAAAATACAGTAACAGGGACAAGGAGATATCATTCCATATAATTAATAATAAAATATGTAAATCAATCAATATATTTGCAAATTTCTTAAAAACTAAAAGAGAAGTAGAATTTCTCACACTGTTTGGTAAAAGATTCCATGTAAGAGCTCCCTGGTAACTTAATGAGTTTCTAAAAAATGTTTGTTTTGGGAGATGGCAAGCAAAAAAACCTTTGAAGAGTATGATCTTGTAGATCTACTTTGAACATCAGACGAATATGTGAAACAATTCAAACTTTGTGGAGTTAAATTATTGAGCACCTTGTACGTTAACTTAACTTAGCTTAACTGTAGAAATCTCGTTTACAAAAGGGCAATCAATTTAGGTGCTTAAACATATCACATGAAGGCGTAGAGAAATCACAGATTAAAATAATTCTTGCTGCTCTCTTCTGCAGATGCTCTAGTTTTACAAAATGTTTGTTTTGGCACTGTTGCCACCAACAGTGATGCAGTAATCCATGTGCAGGTTAATAATACAATTATAAAACGTCATACAAGACGGCTGACTTATAAATGGTCTAAACTTTTCCATCTGAAAAATTTGAAACCATATCTTTATAGATATTGACAAACTGATGGTACCAGGAGAGACAGCTATCTAGCAACACTCCAAGAAAACCTTCATTGTTTACATTTTTAATTTTTTCTATAAGCTGTGATAGAAATTCAAACCAAAGTATTGTGCTTGGTATCAGATTAAAGGTCATGTGTCATCACATATATCTGATTGCGTAATCACCGAATCATGCTAGCCCTAGTATTGAACATCAGAATCCTAATTGTTCATAGTTACAGATCCTAAGGATTTTCATCATACACATTAGAAGTACAGAATGATGAGCATACCTTCAAATCATGAAACACAGGCTGTGGAAGACCACTGCAAGGTAAATCAGAAAACAAATTAGAATTCAAAAACAATTTTATGTCAAATTATACCAATTGTTTATTGACATGGAATCTTAATGTGGGAGGGATCTCATTATGCAGATGATCTTTAATTCAGAGATGAAAGTGGTTGGCATTGGAAAACGTGGAAATCCATCAATCGGTGGAAATTTTTAATCTGTTGTAATTCAACAATAGCTTTCAAACGTTCAACTGATGCAAGAGTTATCTTCCTTCGTATTATCCATTTGACAATACCGAAAACTTGGTGCTCGTAACTGCTCGATGTTTAATTTTACAGTTTATAAGGGCATATAAATTGAAGGATTTAAGAACGGAGTTGATGAAGATTGCTTAAAAATAAAATGCATCAACAAGACATACCTAACCCCCCCACCCCTGAAATTTTCTCACTGGATTTGCATTGATCTCAAAAATGACTAAATTTGTCATGAAAAAGGCGGAAATCCGCCAATTGGCAGAAATTTTTCATCTCTGTTAATTTCTCCAGTACAATCAGGATATCAAAACCCAGTTGTGAAAGTGGCTGGGAATGTGTTACCAGCACACAAATCAGTCAAGAAACTGTTGAAATTGACATAAACAAATGCTTAACAATGTAATAAAGTAAAGAGCAGCTAGAGTCCATTCTAACTTATTCATGCTGTTTGGCTTAGTAGGGATTAGGGACTGGGGTATTGGAATTGGTGTGGCAGTATGCTGTCACCAAACCAACTTCAAATTACAGACTGAAGCCTAAAACATTCCTATTAATGAAAATCATTCCAATCATGAATTTTTGAAACTGGGGGAAAAGTACATTGTCTCCTATTTTATATGATGTCGCTGCTTGCCAGATAAGAGCTGCAGAATTTCTTGGAACAGCAACAAACACCACTCAAGTCTATCACTTTTATACTTACTTGTGTGGAACATCACAGAAAACCTCTCTAGCCCATTCCTCTAGCTTGTCTAGACTATCTGTTACAATAAAAACAAATCAGTGTAGTACATGTAATTTAATTGCATGAATCCACTTGTAATCACAAAACTATTAATATTAATGTCTTAAGGTAGTTTATTCTTGAAAAGTGTTATCAACCTTGCTATCTGTATCAATAATTTAAATTGAACAATTTATATAGTGTGATTATGAAGCCTTGAAATTTACAGGCAATGAAATACAATATATAGTTACATAGGGATGACCTTGACCTACTCTTTCAATATAAACTTTGTAATATATTGTGATAACAACCACAATTACATTGGGATTTTACAGACAATGTACAATAGGGAGTTGGAGTTGACCTTGACCTACCTTTTGACTGCATAGCCACAGTCATGTAGTGTGATGAGTACATCCGGGTGTAAAAGTCCCGTAGACGACTATAAACATTAATACCATTCTGCTTTGGAATTGTTCTCAGTGTTTCTGCATTACCTGTTTAAAATCAAAATTTCATCAATAACAAAGGATGTTTCTGCATCTCCCTACATAAATAAGTGATATGTCCTCAATTAGTTCTGAATAGTTAATTCCATATTTCTATTTTTCAAAAGGTTTTTAAAATTGCAGTTAACTCTTCTTTAAAGGAGATGTATATCACACAAGGTACAAACAGCATAGAACTTTAACATCAGTGACTTCAGGAAGATCAAATATGACCTTCTACCATATCTTTTGGGCAAATAAGCCCAAGCCTGGTAATAAGCCCACCCATATCCATTGATTCTCCATAGAAATAAACCTAATCCCTGATTTATATCAGGTTTCTATGTTGGCCCCTTGGATGAATATGATGTAGGATTTACTATACAGTAGGGAATATCATAAAATTCAAAATTTAAGGGAGAATTATCGTTTCTAATTTAAAATGATCTGGACTTCATTCATGATATACATACCTGTGAAGAACTTGGACATAGGATGTCCTGGTTTAGCAAGTGTGCCCAATAAAGCATTGATACGGTCATCATCATCTGGTAGGCTCATTTGAAATTCTGTACCAAAAATTATCAAAGAAGAATTTCAATAATGCCCTTCATCATTAATTAATAATCAATAATACAAGCTTTCAGTAGACAAGTTCTATTACTTTTATGTTACTTTTCTTAAAATTCACACTTTCATGAAATTTCCATTTTAGGTCTACCAGACAGAAATAAACTTTTTCAGATTGTAGATACCAATACAAGCTGTAACCAATAACATTACATTAATTCAAGGTGTATTTGAGCACTGCACACTACATACAGTGTATGTATTGAACTAATGAGCCCTAAGTATATATCTATACTCTTACTAAATATTATATAAATTCTTGCTCTAGCGGTGCATAATCAAAAAATAGTTTCAATGAACATCCTTTGTTCAATGTCATAATCCACTTTTCAAACTGAAATGTTTTTCATTTATCTATTTGATAAATTGTGTAATAAACTAGCTCTTGAAGACTGGGTGCACAGACATTTCACTGAAGATAAAATCTGATGCCCTTTCAATTATAATGATCATCTCAGCAACAATCATTTTCCCATGAAACTGATTCAACAATTTTGTTTAAGTTGTCGAAAAAAGACTGTCACGTAAGCATGTATATTTTGTATACACTTGGGGTAAGTCACCTTAATGGTAGGGTACCGCTAGGCGGTATTGCGTCACGGGTAGGTGTGCACGGGGTGAGATTCTCATGACAGGTATTGTGTTATTGTTACCGTGCACCCGATATGGATTTATCGGCATTTAGCGTCATGTGAGACAGGCACAGGGGACTCACCTGATTCTTCGCTAAAAACAACTCTATTCATAGCAAAGCCTCTGATTAGGGCAGAAAGAGAGGAGGACTAACCGATCTCCTTCCTGCCATAACAAGCAAGAACTCTGGCAATAGCTGTACGATAGCCAGCAATAGTGCCAGGTGGCAGATAGCGGTACCTAAACAGAGAGATTAGGAATTCCGCAATCAAATGCAGAGGCTTCGAACGAATAAGCTTCCTTGCCGACACACCAATCACAGAAGATCATCCAACGTGACTGGTAGACGGCAGAAGAGGAAGCCCTGATTGATTGCTCAATGCAATCTGACACCTATTAGAAAAGCCTGCCTTGGCGTGGCTTCCAGAGATAGCCTCAGCGCGTGAAGGTGGAGGATCTCTGGTCAAGAGTGTGTCGTTCTGGGCCAAGGCTGGCGAAGGAGATTCGGTCTGGTGGGGAGAGCCAAGGGCTCCTCCACCAGAAACGGAGCTCCTGAAACCAAGCTTGCCTCGGCCACAGAGGGGCTCTCAGAAGTAAGGAGCAGTGATGCTCCCAGAACTTCTGTAGAACCCTGCCCACCAGGTTGAAGGGAGGGAATGCATATGCATACGTCCCTTCCTATTCCAGAGAAAGGGCGTCCACAGCCCACGCCTTACGGTCTGGGACCGGGGAGACGAAGGTTAGCAGCTGGTTGTTCAGGGAAGTGGCAAACAGGTCTATAATAGGTCTGTCCCACGCCTGACAATTACCCTTGAAAATCAAGGGACACAGCTGCCATTCCGTCAACACCGGTTGGTGGCGCCTGGAGAGTGGCCACCAACACACTCAGCCTGCCAGAAAGATGCTTGACCGCTATGGTCAACTGCATGTCCTGGCAGAGAAGATGGATGTGGATGGAGAGGGCACACAGGACATGAGACCTGGTGGCCCCTGTCTCTCCAGATACGCGACAACTGTTGTCGGTAGCCACACTTTGGACTAGGATACCCCTAAAGGACTGCAGAGCCAAATGAACAGTCTCATCTCGAGTACACTGATGTGCTCCGAGAGTTGTTCGCCAGACCACTCCCCCAAGCGGCATTGGCCATCGAGGTAAGCTCACATTCCTGTCATGAACGCGTCCATGAACAGGATCATAGAGGGGATAGGCTTGGTCAGAGGTACCCCGTGGAAAACGTTCTCCTGAATGGTCCACCAGCAAGAGAACTCCCTGACCGACTGGGTAAGCGGGATCCAGGCCTCCTGGATGACAGAACAAAGTCAGACAGGAGGAACATCTGGAGAGGTCCGATGTGAATCCTCCCTAGGGGGACCACATATGCCAAGGAGTTGAGATACCCCAGAAAACTGAGGAACCAATGTACCTGGACAAGCGACCAAGTGATGAAAGTCAGAGCCAGAGCCCTGACCTTCTCAAACTTCTCCAGAGGTGGAAGGGCTAAGCCCCGAACCATGTCAAAATGGTTCCCCAGGAAGAAGAAGTCCTAATATGAAGGAACCTCTGACTTCTCTCTGGAAGGAATGAAGCCGACTCTGAGCAAGAGTTTCAGGACCAGACGAGTGTCCTTCACTAACGATCCCCACACCAAAAGAGGCATGAGGGAGTCGTCGAAATAGATGTGGACGTCTATTTTGCGTGATTGAAGGAAACACCAGCAGCAACTTGGTGAACACCAAAGGAGCTGTCGTGAGCCCCAAGGGCATCTCTGCCTTGGCAGCATGGTCCCTACTTCCTCCTGGAGCACCCGTGCCCTTTCTGAATCCCCGGGAGGAGGAAAGAAACAAAAACGGCCAGGAGGCGAGGGACGAATCCTGAAGAAGGGGAATACCTAGACCCTCCCTGACCACCGACAAAAGCCAAAGCGTCCTTTGTAATATCCTGCCACTAGGAAAGGAAAGCAGAGAGACGTCCGCCCACAGAGAGTTCCGGATGGGGCAGATCGAGCCCCTGCCAGACCAGAGAATTGTCTGCCCACACGGAGCCTGAGCCTGCAGGAGAAGGACATGAGCCCGGGAAAGGAGAACCACCGTCCACCTGGCCATACCCTTCGCCTTTCGCGGCCAAGAAGCAGAAATAGTCAGGAACCCTTCTTCTTGCCCCCAGGAGGTTTCTTACCCTTCCTACCCTTCCCCTTGTTGCCGTTGAAGTGAGGTTGGGACTTGGGCTGTGCAGAAAACTGAGCAGCCGAAGACTTCGCCTTCTTCTTAGGAGGCACTGACCCCTGCGAGGCACTGGCCTTCTCAGCCTGAAACCTCTTCACCAGAAGTGCTGAGGCGACCGAGTCCTCCTTCATATCCTTCTGAACCCAAGGAAGAGCTCCCCTGAACAGGGTAGAGCCCTAGAAGGGGGCATTCAACAAGCGGAAACGGTAGGGTTACTGGACTGGGCGGAATTTCAGAACTGAAAACTGCCTAGCCAACACGGCATTGACGAGTAGAGAACCTGCAAGGCTGCCGTGTCCTGTATGTCGGCTGTTCTGTCTCGGATAACCGACACTCAGGCAAATCGGATACCCTGTATAGACAAACTGTCAGGAAGTCTATGTATGACAGAACTTGGATGGAGAGGTGCAACATTCTCTCCATCCTGTGGTGCTCTTTGGGATCGAGCACCACCTGGTCCACTGATTTGCCGGGCCAGGCAGCCAGCTGTCTCAACTCCAGCTGTGCTGGTTGAGAGGCCAGCTGCCCATCATGTGTGGCATAGTCGGAAGCTGAAGCCTCCGACAATTCACCAACGCTGAGCTGCAGACCGACAAACCCGGGAGCACGGGTAGAGAAGGAGTCCTTCTCTAAAACCGGAGCCCGGGCCGTGGCCAGAACCGAAGACATGATATTGCCTTCTGGCAGAGACCGATCTGAGCGAACGGAAGCCCGAGGAGCCACCAGGGAACCCAGAAGGATGGTGGATTCAGGCGCCGACGATGCTGAGGCGGTGGGCAAACCTCCGCCCTGAGAATCCGGGAGATGTTGGCCCGGAGGACCCGCATCCCAGAAAGCACATGCTGAGTGTCGGCTTCAGCAGTCTCAGGGCCATCTTCCCCTTGTGAACCCTCTTGGCCCAGGAGAAAGATGAATGACATCGTCTTCCTCTGCCGAGCCCGCACCCTCGATGTCCATCTCCTCCTCAATAGAGACCGAAGTCCCCTCGGTAGGAACAGGGGCCGCCAGAGGAGCCATCTCCGCAGAGGGGAACTCCTCTTTATGGCATTTGGACGCAGCGTGACCAATAGCTGTAGCTGTAGGCTTGGGTCGGAGACCCGAAGCCGACCCCTGGGAACAGGAGACCGACGGGTCCGTGCTGGAGGCGGAAGTCCTTAAGGTCTGGCAAACCTTTATAGGACCGGCAAACAAGGCCCCCGAAGTAGCAGAACATTGGGGGGATTCCGCACTGCTATAACATCTCCTAGAGGAGAGACCAACCCCTATGGGTTCCACGAGTGAAGACCCATGGGGTAAAAACCCAAACCCCTGAGGGAATGGGAACGGTCCAGCGGGCCGGGAGTGACCCCAGAACTGGCCAAGATGGCCTGCCTGAGTCTGGAGCTGGACATCCTGTCCAAAGGACCAGGATGAACCGCCACTCCCACCAGGTGGAAACCCAGACATGTACGGGCTAAGCCCGTAACTGCTGAGTAACTGTTGGTACCCAAAACCATCCGCAGGTTGGCCTGGGCGACCCAGGAATAAGTGCCTGCAGGCACCCCTACTCCCTGAGCCCGGGGGAAAGGGAGACCGGAAACCGGACTCCTGGCCTGAAGCCCGAAACCCTTGGAGGAAAACCCCCTGGGAAACCCTGCACTGGGAAATCTGGATTGGGACGGAAGTCCCAGAGCCAGAAGCCTGTGAGGGTGGGAAAACAGACCCCGCGCTGACACCAGGATTAGTGAACTCAAGTGTCACTAATCCCCGTAGCCACAGACAATCCTGACAAAAAGTCTGTGGCCCCTGAACCTATACCCGAAGGCACAGTTCCGGAGTCAAAGCGGCCCCAACCAACGACGCCACCTGGCGTGCCGAGGTCCCTGAAGGAATCAGAGACCTCGACCGGAAGTCCCTTTCCGACGGTAACACCGCCGCTTATCGAGAGCTACCGGCCAATTCGACCCTTGACTGCGCCGAGTCAGGGTCGGGCTGCCCCCCCCCTACTCCAGGACGCACCTGGACAGGGGGAGCCACCCCCTGCTGAAGGGCGGAGCTCAGTGGAACGAGAGCACCCCCAGCAGGAACGCTCTGGTTCAGAACTTCAGGAGGGAGGTCTTAAAAAGCTTACTTCCCTTACCGGAAGAAGAGGACGAATCCCTCTTCCGGCGGAAAGTTAGCTGGAAAGGCATGGGAGCCTAAGCAGCAGACTCCATGTGCAAACAAAGTTCACATAGTGAGGTCTGGCTGTAATGTCGGCAAATGGGACAGGTATCATGGGGTTCCCATTATCTATAGAAATAGGAACATCCATGCGCTGACCCCCGACGTAAACCCGGCACCTTTATCCAGCATCGAAACAATAAAAAATTGTAACAATGAAAACAAGGATAAAAAGTTTTCTAACAATCAAAAAACTACGAACGAGATCATAAAACCTACCGTACGCAGCAAGATTGTACTGCAAAAAAAAGAAAACGGTCGAACAAAACGGCCGACAAAGCAGCAAGAAAACAATTTCAACTTCACGAAAATCCGAGTGACGAGACAAGTAGTCACGCACTCGAACACGCGGAGGAAAAACACGGCCGGGAACGAAGTTCTCGAACAATCAAAAAACTACGAACGAGAGCACAAAGCCTACCGTACGCAGCAAGATTGCACTGCATAAATAAAACGGCCGTACAACACGGCCGACAAAGCAGCAAGAAAACAAATTCCAACTTCCGAGCAAGTAGTCACGCACTCGAATACGTGGAGGAAAAAACGGCCGGAAATACGGTCAAAATAAACAAATGACAATACTTAATTTCACAATATAAGTTGGGAGATGGGTTTATAGACTACTAATAGAGTAACAATATACTCAAACGACAATGGCAGTACGAAGAGAAGGAGTAAGAAAAGCACTTAGCTCAGACACCTCCGCACTCGTCGGCAGCCATAAAGGTAAGAGGAAGGGAGATCACTCTGCGTTCCTGCCGTGATGGCTCATGGATCGTAGGGAGGGCGGGATTGTTTTTCTTTTGAATCTTTTGTTGTTGGGATACAAAGATGGGTGTAGGTACTGTATTTGCATACTAAAGTTATGGTAATTATTACTGAAATGAAAATCATTGTTATACAGTGATCGGTTCTCTCAGCTTTCTTTTCCCGGATCACCAACCGTCGCTCGTCCCACGTTAACAAAGACCTTGTCGCACAATTAAGTGTGTATAAAACTTAGAAGATAGGCCAACCATTTTCTTTCATGCAGACAACTTCACGAAATAATATAAAACACATTTTATCCCTTTCACAGAGATAGATGCGAGATGTTGGGTTCCCTGTTAAGAAATTATAAGGTTCCCGGCTATAAATCTGGTGATGACTAAAGATGCTCAGCATTATGTATAAATGTAAAACATCTCTAATCAAATTCTTCCATGTTCCTAGATGATTTTTCCAACCTACCACTGTCGACAGCCTCAATTTCTCGATCCACAGAGTCCTCCTGGAACAGTGGACTGATAAAGAAATGTGCAAACATGTCCAGAGCTCGACCAAAGTACTTCCTCTCCACATCAAAGTAGAAACAAGTCTGAAAATATAGAAAATACTGTTTTTTTACTTTCACTGTGATTAAAAAAATCATGATATTGAAATAAAAATGTGCATCTGTTGGAATAACATGAGATATATACTTCCTGTTTTTCAAACTTAACCACTTTTCAATACAACTGCTATACTTGAATTAGAAAATCAGCATGCAGATATCACAGGTTATATTTTGAACAATCTTGTTTTTGTAATAAAATCTTCACAAATTCTTTTAATGTCCCAAATTTCATTTTTCCAATCACATAATCATACTAGTAATTCTATACAACTAGTCCTTGCAGACCCACCTACCTAGTTATTACCAATAGTGATAAGGTAGAAAGATCAGCCGTTTATAATTTCTTCAGATTTAAAGTTTATCAATAAATTTATAAACATAACCATGCTGTTTGTTGAACAACCTTTTCACAGTCTGTCCAAGCATTAGAATATCCACCATGACGTCCTAGAAAGTCATCTAATTCATTTTCCTTGGGGTACTTCTTACTTCCCATAAATACCACTGTAAAATAAACACACAATATTTCATGGAAACATCAATCTGTTAATTATTGAAGACTACATTTTTAATTCAAATTCTAAAAATATAACATTGTTTCCTATTATAACTGTATAGGAAGCAGATACACACAATTTAATGACTCTCATAATCTTCGTTTTCATATACTGTCTTCAATTAATATCTTAAACTAAACTTGCATGAAAGCATCTCTTCTCCTGTCCTTCTCCTATTTTCCGTACCATACACATTTACCTTGCACTTGCAATAGTTCCATACAGCCAATCTATATATGGCCACTGAAAGTACAGAGCTAGGCTTGTCAAAGGGCACCAGCATGATATAGCATTTGTTTTCAATTCTACTGAAACTTCATGTATCATGCTTAGTAATGGGTATGGGCTTACAGCCTGATGAACAGGGCATATAAGCTTTTGGAGCAAAAAGGTTGCATAGAGACATTATTGGCGCTAAACACATTTTGGGGTAAAAATTTACGATATTTGAGAATGATCTATTCCATGCTACTCAAGAAATTGTAATCTATGTAATTAAAATGTAATCCAATCAATAAATGCTGATTAAATCTTACTATGTTCTAAGAAATGTGCGAATCCTGGGATATCATCTGGATCAGAGAAACTGCCAACTCCAACACAAAGAGCTACTGCTGACTGAAAAATAGTAAATGATGTTATTAATACCAAGACTGACGCTTTCACAGTGGTTTATTTTCTATGTATTTAAGCAGTATAGCAAATACAAGAGCAACTTTTGCTTTTGTTATGGATAAGCTATACCGTATATATCCTGCAATAAGTTCTGGATGACAATGCGCTACAACTACCCCAATGTGAAGGAATGAACTTATAAAAGGACAGTTCAACAGCATTTTGTTGGTAATTCTACAAACAGCAGTAGAAATTTTTGGGTTTATCGCTGGATAAATACAACAACACAATACAATATCATTGAAGCAAACTTGTTGAAGATATCTCAAGATGTTTAAAAATATTTGGGAGTAAGAGATGCTGATTCCTTCATATATAACATGTGAACCAACATTACTTATAAATGAGGTCATTAATTTAGGTCTGGAGTAAAACTTAACACCTCTGATATACACAATTAATGCCTATTCATAAATTCATGATCGATCAATTCTTCAATCAGATTTAGGTGAACATAAAGACCACATTCAAGAATAATAATTTAAATTTCAGAGAATGAATAATTTGCTTTTAAGCTAACAGCAAACTAAAATCATTCAAAATGAAAATGATGATCAGCTTAAAAAAGGTACATGTACAATTTCCATTCATTAGTGAACATTAAAAAAATCCTGTCAAAATTACCTTTTTTTCAGTTGACACTTTGGAGTTCTCTGGTCTGTCATCTTCTCCATCCTCATCCATTTCCCCATCTGATGGAGGTCCTTCCGACTCAGATCCAGAGTCTGACCCAGATTCTTCTTCTGTTTCTTCATCCTCTTCAATTTCAGTTGCAGCTTCACCATTCAGGTCAGAGATTAAGAGAACCCGAAGACCATTATCAAGGACAAGGGACCTGACAAAAATAATAAAATAATTACTACTGTTAAGATCAACATAAGTAATTCATCGTAATCTATATAACTAACATCTTATATATCAAGAAAATATCTGTAAAACATGAATACACCTGCCCTTAAGCAAAACAGAATCTGATCTGATGTAGAACTGGACTTTTTTTTTTGACAAAGTATTTTTATTGATCAAGACACATATATAACATTACAAAGATGGCTCTCATTCTCAACACACATTATTTATATGCCCATACTTTCAAGTTACATGCACATACACATTTATATAATATTTTACTATGTATGAACATTCATGTTTGTTTGGTGTCAATTTGATGTTATGATACAATAGGGTATATATATGACCTAAATGTGTCAAGATATGACCATGATTTTGAAAACGAATGTGACAGGACACAACGCCTCTTCCCTCCCCTAATAAAACTTGTCTTAACTTAAAGAAATTAAAATTTTACACCTACTGGACTTATAGCTAAATTCTATATGTTCTCAAAAAAAAAAAAAAAAAATGTTCACCTGTATTCCCGTTTATCATTCTCTGACTTTGTGGGCAGCATAACTTTTTGAAGCTTTCCCTTGGGCTCCTGTGGAACAGTAGTGCATTTTCTTTTCATCAATAGGTACTTGTCAGTCCTAAAACCTGTCAATTTGAAATTATGGAAACTGGATAGAATACTACAAGTTGATGACACCGTCCTTGGTGAGTGCCTTATCTGTCTGAAGAGGTTTTGGCCACACCTGTGAAAGAAGAAATACATTTCAGATGTCTCAGCAGCACTAAACAGTGCTAACCTTCAGGTATCTACTTACAAAATGATCTGTAACTAACATTTACTCTATTACTATAGTGCATCTACTGAATTTTGAATTCTAGAAAACAAATATTCTATCATTCCAGCTTTAATAATTTCCTAAATTAAGCCTCCCCTATCCCAGAGGGCTGACACCCATCATTTACATAAAGTTGATTCTTCTTCACTTTGATGTTTCACATCAAAGTTTGACAGAATCCTGACATTCCAACGAAAGAAAAAATTTGCTCTATTTTCCCCGCCAATTCTTTCTACAGAACAAGAATGATTTTAAAGAATTTGCTAAAAAAATTTCCCGTTTTAGCCCAGTCTAATCACAGGAAAGGAAAACTTATATGAACAGAACCAAATGAGGTACCAACTTAAAAAATCCTTAGTAAAATAAATATTTTCTAGCCAGCCCGTTTATACAAATACTGACCTCAGTGTGATCAATACACTTGAATTTTGTAGTTCAACATGTATGATGTCAAGGACGGATAATTTTTAAATGGTCATAGGAAAGAGTGATGAAAATGGGATGTCTGCACCTGCTGAAATTGGTATGTGCCTTCCGATTAACATGTTGGGCATATATTGAAGAGTTCATCCGATTGATTCGGTAGCTGTGTTAGGTTTCACATTTTTTCCATATCATTTTGCACTTGAAACATTCGCATAAACAGTATATGATATTTCATTTGTTTGATAATATCCCTACACAACAAAGTGTACTGTGTAACAAAATGAGTACAAAATGGATTTAATGGTAACTTTGGAATGGTGTGTATCGTAGAGAGCAGCATCTTAGTTTAAAGTACATCTGGTCAAAAGTCAGTCAATGTTGGACTGAGGTAAAAATTCTGTGAGTGACAGGTAGTGATGCACGCCTGAAAACAGGCGGGGTGTGTACCCCAGTGTGAAGCACCGTGGCAGAATATCGCCAGTATGATTAATCATCAGATAGATGCTCTCTTTTGTATGTCTGGTATTGTTGTCCAATATTGTATTATTTGGGTATTTTTTATACTAAGACAATAGCCAGCAGAAGTTAGTCTAGTTTGGGATCGAGTGACTAAAAAGAGTTGGGAGTCGGACGTGGAGACGGGCAGAGTCCCGTATGAGACCTGCTCTGCGATGGAGCGGGCCCTGGCCAAGTTGGCCCATGGACATTTGTATGGAACTCTTTGATATGGACCAGCAGGTGTTTATTTTTTTGCCTGCCGAACACAGGTATTTATTTTTGGTGCCACGACATGCTGCTGTATGTTGATTAGGAACTATCTTTTGTAATGGATATTAACGCAAAGTACTAATTATGGAAAACCACTGTACGATGAAATAAACGTTTCGGTCAACCCAAGTAAACACTGTGTTTAGTCATTGTGTTACAACTGTCACAGCTGATATAAGACCAATTGCTAAGTTGATAGAGCAGTGTATCATTATGCCGTAGACTCAGCTTCTATTCATGTATGCATGGTCTATTAATTCCCCTTTGGGATTTTGGGGCTCATTTATATCGGACGTTTGACAGCGTCCCTCGTCGGGATGCAAAAATTACATAGTCTAGGCAGAGACATATAACATATACGTCTCTGGTCTAGGCACAAGGCAGGGTTATCCCTTTTCTTTTACAGGTCTACCAAACAGCTGTTTCCTTACAAGAAGCGTCGCGTAGAAATAAAATTATGTAAATATTTGAAAAAAAGTTTCTGACTTACCAACTCAACATTAAACTCGTTAAAGCCTAAGGTAAGTTGACTTCTGACTTCGGTGTTTACTTCTCCACGTGCTAGTCATTTCGGAACTCTTCTGTGTTTAACATCGCGCGAGAAATACAAACTTTCGTACTGTCTAACAATATATTTGGGCTGTTATCATATAATTTGTCAAGTCATTCAAGTATCCTCTGATATCGAAACAAATTTGAATTCAATAAACAAAAGTAATTAATTAAAACATGTCTCTTCACATAAAGATAGAAAATATATATTTAAATCTACCTCACCAGAAACGTATATGTTATATTTGTCTCTGACCTCACTAAACAATTTCCGGTATGAGATGGGGAAATAAAAGGGGGTATTTTTAACAAAGTAGTCTCGCGAAACGCTTTTAGGGGTACGGATATACCCTATTTATTATTGCAATTTAAATTTTATTTTCACGAAAGTATTGATGTTGGCCTCTAGCGACTTTGCAACCTACCGTATGTGTCGACCTATACATCAGAGTTATGTCCCTTGATAGTCACAAGATTTCATTTTCGTTTTGAGAGACGTTACTGACTGTATTTTGGGCGATGCGTTTGTCTGTAGTTAGCTGACATCCGACTTAAGCAGGCGAGAATGGCGCATCATTTAAACAAATTAGCAACTGTTCTGCTGTGTGTGCAGTCCGTATTTTCATTTGAAGTGAAGAAAGGTAAATGTTAACGTTTTTGCCAAATTGTTGACATTTTCATATGCTTGGCGCATTAGTTTCGGACCTCTAAGAACAGTTCTGGCTAGCCACGCTAATTTGAACGAACTGCCACCAAACAAATACATAAATGACTTGAAGTGTGTTCATATTATAAGATTTATGTTTTTTTTGAAAATGACCGGTGAAAGACCAGCATATAAAAAAATATATATATTCACGGCTGTTATCTACGTCCCTGTTCACAGATACGACCTCAAATTAGCTTGCCTGAAATGATCGACATGTGTATCGGGTAACTCCACTTGCTTAGAGTGACCCATGCACATGTATCACACAAATTATCACTGGAATGACATTTTAGTCATTTTAGTCATTTTAGTCAAATTACATTCATGTTGAGGAAGTGGTGGATATCTGTGCTTATGAATGAACCTTTTCCGAAAGATTGTATTGTATTGTTCGGTCGCCTTTTTCTAAAATGAGCCATATTTTTTTATACTTCTTTTTTTTATTACACAAACTAGTCCAGCCAAAATACACACGAATAGGCAAACAGAAATATGAATCCGATTAGCGATAATAGCATCTGATGCAACATCATCCATTCAACATAAATACAGATAGATCCACACCGCACGTGAAACAAGGAAAATATCTTTATTCAACAGATAACTAATTCCACATAAAAGAATACTAAAGCAATCCTACATGTTAACTTTCGAAATAGAAGAAAAAATGAAAGCAAATCTATCAATGTATGCTGAAATCAATTTAAAGACTTTAAGACAGATTAAGTCAAATGAAAAAAAAAATTGGACAATTTAGAAAAAAAAATCCTAGAAAACAGCAAAGTCAGTTAAAATGCAAAATAAAAAATATCGCAAAAAAATAAGTGCAAGTGGTACCTCTGAAGACCAGAAAAAAATTAGTAGACAACTTAACAAAAAGAAAAACTAAACAAAAGAAATCAACGTGTACAGAATGAAATCAACTGAAAGCTCAATATGAAAATATTCAAGTAAAGAGAAAAAAATAAAAATCAATAACTCATGAAGTGAAAAGAAAATTAAAACTAGAAATATATTGACGTGAGCACACTATAAACAATTATCAACTGAAAAATAGAAATGAATAAATTATATCAAATTACACAATTAGCAGTTCATGTTTCGCAAAGAAAATATACGATATGTATAGTGCAATGGTGGAAAGTCAGTGATACACAAATTGTCATATACCGTGTACGGTCAACACGGGTCCATTAACAGTTTGAATTAACTGTGCACATCACAGTCGAGCGATACACAAACACTCATTGGTCAAGGTGATCTGAAGTTCATTCAAGCGTACATGCATGTTTTTCTTGTACACATTCACATACAGTCGAAATCCATCACGTCATCAGGTGAAATTGGTGACTGGTGAATTTACCTGTCCTGTCTATATTCACAGTTGGTAGATATCTATCCCATCAAGCATGTCGGCATACACTAAGCCATCAACGATACATGGACGCCAATGTAATAGTTGTCTTTAACCTCATCAAAACAACTCCTAGGTCTTTTTTCTTTACAGTTTTATTAATACAATAAAAAAAAAAACCTGCACCATGAAATATTACTATAATACATACACAATCATACGATAAGATAACCATATAATATAACCATATAACCAGATCACTCTGACCGTAGTCAGTTACATTAGTTTGAAATACTGAATATACATATATATTCATTACAACTGTAAAATCAATCTATAAATTATATAGAAATAACAGTTCGTATCCAATTATACTACAAATATAAAAAATACCAACTGCTTCAGTGTGAAGAGGGTTTTCTGCGAACTAAGTCCGCCGAGCCCCTCAGACTGACTCGTTCAGTACACACTATAAATAAAACAATACACACATTAAAAACCAAGCTTCTTTGGATTCACCTGTCTACTAAATCGACCATGCTCGATATTTGAATTAACACACTTCTAAAATATCAACTTTACTTTTAAACAAAAATAAGCCTTTAATCAAATATATTATTAAATAGATACTATATTAGATTACGCTAATATTTTACACATAGCACTTAAGTTTACAATTTTAGGCTCTAGTGCCGCTACCTCTCATGGTCGCTAGACTGGCTATTGTCATACTCGACGATGTTAAAGCTTTGAGTGCTCTTTCCAAAAGTTACCAGTTTGCCAGGTAAAACTTCCCAACATTCAACACTCCATTACTATACATAGACAATACTTATTGGACAAATAGGTTTATTACACATTATATCACATCAGCTCAGTATCTAACTCGCATTCTCACGTGCTATTTCCGCACTCGTGTGCGCACTAAAAATTTTGCCAAAATACTATGAATATGTCAAAAGCAATATTGCCAAATAATGACATTACTACATTTAAATTGTCATTGTTATTTAGATTTTGTTGGTTAAAGACCATCCCAAATGGCCCCTCTTTAGATCAGACAGAATGTTTTTTAGACATCACTGATGGCTTACACTTAAAACTCTTCTGTTTTTTCCACAGGCTACTTTTGGCAGGTCACTGACTTCCATTATGATGCCAACTATAGTACCCATGGCAACCCTCTTAACATGTGTCATCAGGGTCAAGGTCAAAGTTACAGAAACAGTAGATATGGTAACTACCATTGTGATGCACCATGGTTGCTGATTGAGTCGGCAATAGATGCAATGGTAAAATTCCATCCATTTCCAGACTTTGTGATTTGGACAGGGTAAGATTTCAATTTCTATCATATAAGCTTTAAAATTTATTTTGTTCTTTAAACTGGTGGGTGTATTAAAGCAATTTCAAGAATTGGTTAATTTTTGGCTTTGGCAAGTTGAATTTGATATAGCCCTTGCTCTTTCAAGAGTTGTTTAACCCAAAAGAGATCGATTTTTGGCATTCTTTCAAAATCTTAGTCGGGATGAAAATGCAAATGGTCTTTATTTTCTGTCATTTACAAATGCAACAATCAATGGAAGATCTCTAGGTTTTATTATGATGCCGCTAAAGAAACAAATCTTGTTTTGGGTGATGGAGGAAAAGCCATGGGGAAAGCCAGTGTGCCATTGATGCTGAAATAACTAAGTCAACAAACACTCTCCCCCACTGTCTTTGTGTCCCAAACCTAAGTTTATTAGGTCATCTGACCCGGGTCATCGTGCTTCGTCCGTCGTCGTCGGCCGTCTGTAAACTTTTCATTCAAAAAACTTCTTCTCAAATACTAGAAGACCTAGGGTGCTAATACTTGGCCCATAGCATGCTGGCATGGAGCCCTACAAAGTTTGTTCAAATCAATGACCTTGACCCACTTTCAAGGTCACAGGGGTCAAATATGTTAAAATATACAAACAACTTCTTCTCAATAAGCAAAAGTCCAAGAGTGCTGATAATTGACCTGTAGGATGCTTGGAGGAAGGGCTACCAAGTTTGTTCAAATGAATGACCTCGACCCACTTTCTAGGTCACAGGGGTCAAATATGTTAAAATATACAAACAACTTCTCTTCAATAAGCAAAAGTCCAAGAGTGCTGATAATGGACCTGTAGGATGCTGGCATGACATGCTACCAAATTTGTTCAAGTGAATGACCTTGACCCACTTTCAAGATCACAGGGTTCAAATATATTAAAATCTGTAAACGACTTCTTCTCAGTAACCAAAAGGCTGATATTGGCCTGTAGGATGCTGGAAGGAAGGGCTCCCAAGTTTATCCAAATGAATAAAGCCCACTGTTTTAACAGCAGACTCACTGTTGTTAGAGTTTGGCTTGCATTTTGTCAGATGACCGTTAAGGCCCATGGGCCTCTTGTTGAGAAAGTGGTCTGAAGATCATGCTTGATTGTGCACCTCATGACAGTCATACTTTCAGCATATTATCGATCACCGCTATCTAGGAGATATGTTCAAAGCAGATTCTTTGGTTCGCCATAGTTTAAGGATGTAGTCAAATTTTATTTTATTTAAAGTAGGAAATGAAGATAATTGCAAATTTATCATACATTATTCTTAACACGTGTGGTTTGGGTTTATTATATGGATTACGCTACTGGGTTTCTCATAAGGTAAAATGGGTGCCTGGTATACCCAGGATGGAGGTATTGGGTCCAAAAAGGGTAACTTATCACATTCTTAGAAATCTTCTTGTGCAGTTATGAAAAGTCTTAGCTGATTTTTCTGTTCTATAGATAATTTAGTGGGTAGGGAATAAATGTTTTGCATTTTAAGTTATAGAAAAAACAAGATTATGATTTTGAACTTTTCTTTGTCAGCAGACCATAAAGGTCCCTTGGCCTCTTGTGTTATGTTTTCCAAATCAATCTTTCTTATCTTTACAGTGGACGTTGATATTGTGACGAGTATTTTACTTTTTTAGAGACAGTGTGCCACATGTAAAGAATTCTGATTTGGACCCAATGAAAGTTTATGAAAACATTGGAAATGTAACCCTTAGACTTCGAGAAGGCTTTCCTAACACTACCATCTACCCAGTGCTGGGGAACCATGATGAGTATCCTGCTGATCATTTCCCAAATGGGACCACTAACTACTACCAGGATATTCTATACAAGTCTCACTGGCATACACTTCTGGAAAATAGCACTGCTAATGACTTTCAAACAGGTAACAAATCACAATTCAAATTCCAGGTCTATTTTTCCTCCTGTAAACTAATTTTATGGCTAGTGTTAAAATATCTATTACCTGGTACCTTTATAAGAAAAAATTATGGTTAATAATCCGAAACATGAATAAGTATCTCTATTTGATGAATGATTTGTTTATTGTGAAATCATTGTTTTCTTTTGGGACATTGTTTTTGTTGATTTTGCTGATACAGGAGTCCACAAATTTATATCTATGGAATGATCAACAGTTAAAAATTGCCATGGATTTTATTTTACTAGCAGATTTTATGTGAACTATATATTTTCATACGCAAGTTTAATTGGTGTTTTTGGAGAAAAAGCACACTAGTGATTTTTTTCTTTAGTTAAATTTTCTTTTAAATTCAAGGATGATTTCTTTTCTTATCTAAACATTTTCTAATCTCCACATCAATTCAATCCATATTGAGAGAAACTATAAATATTTGTTCTATAATATCCATATTTGCTCAAGGTGGCTACTACCAGGTGCATACAAAAACTGGTTTAGTTTTGATTGGACTCAACACAAATCTGCTCTATAGTCAGGACCCTCTGACTAAAGGTACAGGAGACCCTGCTGGGCAGTTTAAATGGCTGAGGTGGAAACTTTTAGAAGCAAGGAGCCTCAACAAAAAGGTGGTTTTCTTTCTGAAAGGTTTAATTGTTCAAGAAGAGACGCATAATTGACAAAAAGAGGGAGGGGAATATTTCTCTGCTTGCCTACTTTCAAACACCATTTTATGTCTTTTACAATCCCTTTTAATCCTCTCCCACGTTCTGATCCATGGGGTCCCTTTTTAGCCATAGTTGATGGCAAGGGATTGATATATAGAGAATTCCTCTCCATGATGACTTCTTGCATAGGTCACCTATGTGTTGATCACTCTGCCGTTAAAGTACTTTTGTTCCAAATAAGAGATGCTACATAGTTCTACATGATTTTTTGGGCAAGCATATCCTTGTATCACTACAAATAGACTCTGACTGATTCTAAACTCAAAGATTTGCAACAGTTTGGTTCATCAGTTATCTATGCTACTACCTTTTAATCTTCTGACATTATGTGAAACATGACTTTTCTTTAGTACTTTAGCATTGCCATCATAAATTCATATATACATCACCTTTCACCATTAAAGGCCAGGACCATATAGGAAATTTATTTCAGAAATTATTTGTCATATTTGAAATTCTCTGCTAAATGATTGAATATCTGAATTAGCAAGGTGAGTGATACAGATCCCTTCGGCCTCTTGTTTAAAATTATATCTGTTTTTTAATTGTAATTAAATATTTCTTTGGTTTTAGGTGATCCTCTTTTCCCATATTGCGCCTGGTTATTTCGAAAAGTATCAGGATATGATGTGGTTTTACGACGATTACAACAAGGAATATGTTAAAATCCTTCAGACTTTTAATGATGTCATAGCTTCCCAGGTGTACGGCCATGAACACACAGATAGCTTTCGGTTGGTGAAAGACAGTTTTGGTAAATATGCTCTTCTAATTTTGCAAGATAACTTTTTAGCTGACCTGCCTGAAGAGTCAAGTGAGGCTATGCTATAACATGGCGTCATGCATCATCTTTTTCCTTTAAACAATTTTTCTCAAGAACCAATGGACCAAATGTTTTGATATTTGGCTGGTATGTTCTTAGGAGGAAGACTGACAAAGTTTACGAAAAGAAATTACCTTGACTTATATTCAAGGTCACAGGGGTCAAATTTGTTAAACCATTTAAACAACTTCTCCTCATGAACTGAGAGGCATGTTATTTGGCTGGTATATATATATATACCAGCACTCACCTGATATATTTATATATAGAAAAAACTTGATTTGACGAGATGCGAGTAAATTATAAATAAAAATGATTTTTGACAAAAGAAGAAAGACGTTACATTTTGCACTAGCGCTTTCACTGTATTAGATCTTCAGGTGCATAGTAACTGTACAAAATGGTGTGGCGTCACAACATGTTATCTGTTGATGACGTCATAATATAAAAGGGGCATAATTATATTTTGCAAACTTTACAATGCAGTTAAACATTAATATTCAAGTCTGGTTTTAAAATTTTATATTTATATATATATATACACACCAGGTGAGTGCTGCAGGCAGGCCCATTGGGCATCTTGTTTCTTTAAGTTTTATTGCTGTTTGTGTTTTTCAAGTAGAGCAATACTGCATTAAAAGAAAGAAAAAAAGTGAATTTTAGTTGTTTAACATCACAGGGCTTATACATCAGTATTGTCTTGATTTGCGGTTGTTCCTGCATATGTAGGTAATCATGTATACAGGTATTTAACATATATTTCCTGAGACCTTGATACGCTATGAAAAGCTTGCTTGGCATTTAATATTGGGCTATCTTAAACAGCTATATAGCAAAAATAATTCCTCCATAATCAACTATGCAGTACGATGTTATTTTAATATGTTTGAGAGACATTTTACTTGTTTGTTTTGAATATAAGAAAAAAATGTCATGATCATTTGCAGGTGAACCAGTAGACATTCTGTTTCTCAGCCCTGCAGTCACTCCTTGGAACAGCAGCCTGGCAGGGGTTGGAGCTAACAATCCTGGCATACGACTGTATGAGTACAACCAGGATAATGGTGAAGTGATCAACTACTGGCAGTATTTCTTAAACCTTTCTTCTATAATCGCAGGAAATCCTCCTATTTGGGAACTGGAATATGAGGCAAAGGAAGGATATAACTTGACTAGATTACAACCGTTGGCTATGATGGAACTTGTGAAGGCATTCAGTACTGAAAAATTCAATGAAATTTATATGAAATACCTAACATTTAACTCAGTCAGTCAAGATATCAGGCCCAGCTGTGATGAATCATGTGTTAAACAACATTTCTGTGCTATCAGTGAGCTGGAGAAATCTGGTTACCAATCCTGTCTTCATGATGACGTTACAACTCACCATCCACGCCACTCAACTCACATGCCCCCCTCCAAAAATGTACCAAAGTATATGGAATACATAATTATTTGTCTTGGTGCCCTCGTCTTGATACTGTTTATTGTCATTGCACTCTTGTGTCTGAAAAAGCATCACCGCTTCATTCCTAACAGATATTCAAGATTCAATTCAAACCTTGCTTCTAACCCAATCAATTGAAACAATTCATTAAAAAAATCATCAAAAACTGATGAGCTTTATTAAGGTTGTGATGATCACTTTCATGATTTACATATCAGATATAATATATGCAAAACTATCAAATGTTAAAACTCATTGTGAATAAGAACAAAATTTGTGATCACAAAATTTTAGTCTTTATGAAAAATAAAATGCTTATAGTCTAGAATTTATGATTATAGGACTTGTGAAGTTTACGCAGTTTTTTTCCAGTACTGAAATGCATGTTCATGCTACCATTCATTGCAATGAAATGATATCAGTCTTCTCTTTAATATGATAAATATATTGTCATTGATTGAGGACTTCAGAATTTATAAAAGTTTTTATACTTCAATAGTGTTGTTCCAACCAACTCCATGATCCTCACTCAGACATGCTTGTCGAGGATACAGAAAGGGGGTAATTATAGTGCAAGAGTTGTTATTTGAAACCAAACAATATGTGATACAAAGTATTATGCCCATACAGGCTGAGAATTGTTGTGTCCTCCTTACCTTGAGCTTGCATCATTTGCTGTGTATGACTCAATAAACATTCATACTTCAGTGGCATTGTTATAATTCAGTTTTAATAAGTTTATTTTTACCGCCATATATCCAAATTTGGGTATACTGCTTTGTGTCACTGCTTAAATAGTTCTTATTCAAATTGCTTGTGGAAAGTAGAAACATGTATGTAAAATGTTGAAATGTCTCTAATATTATGAAATGCTTGACCCTGTTAGTTTGCTCATTGTTATTACATGTGATAAATGTATTATTTTTAAACTGTTTATTTAATTCAGAAAGAACGTTTGTAAGTGAAATATTCCCAGTATTTACACTGGAAAGTAACCATAAAGAAGATACCGTGCATTATTTTTGGTGCTACCAGTTACCTAGTTATTCCTGTAATAAAACCGAATGGGCCAGCATACAAATTCTCTCACAATTGCAGGGGAATGAAATAGAAACTGTTTACAATTCTACGTAAATTCTACTGAACAGCAAGAGATATTGGTGGGCTAATTACCAAGCATGATCTAATTGGTAGGAAAATATGGTATTCTAGCTAAGGATCATTTGATTGGTGTATCCATCTGGCCAAATCAAAGGATACGAAGTGTAAAATGCACATTTTTGTGGCTTTAAGACTTTAATGTATGTATTTTACCCATTATAGATACGTGTTCGGTTTCTGGTAAAGGTACAGTTGTTCATGGTTAATGAGATTCAGTTAATTCCAAAATATGTAAATATGTAATGGATTGATATGATTATATGTATTATATAAACAAGTTTTACATTTGTTGTAAATGTTTTATCAACTAAACCCTTCTAGGCCTGTATAAAGTCCAGATTTATGCCTGAAATGTTATATTTAAAGTGCAGACAAACTGGTTTGTCCTCATAAACAAACAGGCCTAGGTCTTAGGAGCACACAGTGTAATTAGTTGTGTGTCTGTGTTGAAGAGGGTTTTTTTGTTTGTATTATTATGGAAGGTTGTTTATTTGTAAAATACGGTAAAGCTCTGTATGAGATTACTTTGATGTTTGGTAAATAATGCTTTAATCATGTGTATTAACACAAGATGTGCTCAAGATCAACTATTTTTCTGCCATTTCTTTGAAAATTATGTTAAAAATGACTTCATTAATTCATACATAGGTACATGCACTCTTCTATACAATAATTCATTTCTGCATACTACCGTAAAAAAGTGCCTTTCTTATATTTTCATCATGCAATACATATTTATAATTTTTTGTTGATTAAAACATTGTTACCTGATCTTTCCTTGTCTTGTGTTTGAAGCATCAATGGTCTTCTGTCATTTCACAGCATCTGTCGACCCAATATGGAATGTATCATTAACAGAGCCTGCATTGGCAGGGAGGAAGAGTTGTGGAGTTTAAGAGGATAATGGAAGACTGTAATATACTTGTGAATGATGTGTAACAGGATTTTAGCTGGGTTATCCATTGTTAAAAACAATTCTATGTCTTATGAATTGAATTCAATTCTGAAGAATTATTGGTATTTCCCTAATTAGACCTCACTCCTCTACCTCCAGGGAATGCGAGAAGACTGAACTTATTTGGTATTTATGTGAACCAAATTAAATTAAGAACTGTGTAAATGTTCTTGATAAGAAGTGTTTTTAAAAACAGTCAACAGATTAAATGACTTGTGCTTGCTCACATTTGGACCAAAATAAATGAGCTAAAATCCATGCTTTTCTATTTGACCTTTATAGAAGGTGACCGCCTTATATTCTGAAGGCCCGATAGTCCGAAGGGCCAATAGTCCGAATTTTCTCAGTTTTTTTTTCACGCCATCTTTGCCACTCATGTAAGTCGGATTCCCCTTACTGTTTACCGTGTATGCTTTCTTCTACATTTTTTTTGCGCCATTTCTGTTAATGTTCCCGTCGCTTACAAATATAAGTCGCCTTTCACTTAACTGTTATAGTACAAGATAAAAGAATAGGACCATTTTTTTCTCACGATTTTTGTGCCAAAACCTGTAATGAATGTTATTATTACTTAACTATTTTTCTCTCCAAATTTCGCCATTATTTCATTTACAGTTAAATAAGAAACAAAAATACGTAACCATTTTCGGACTATCAGGCCTTCGGACTATTGGACCTTCGGACTCTTGGGCCTTCAGAATATAAGGGTGTCACCTTATAGAAGGACCTTTGTGCTCCTTTCCTTATAATTAATTGAAGTTTTGATGTGAATTAATCATATGAGTAACATCATTGCATACACAAAAAAATACTATCTGCAAAATAAAAAAAGTAAACTTGATTTGTCAAAATCCATTCCCAAACAGCCACCACCAGTTGGCCATTTTGTCTTTTGTGTACATAAAAACAAAGGCAACCTACATTGAAAATTTACTTAAAATGAACAATGAACATTCAGATATCAGCAATTTCGTTTCCTGATCTGTCACTGAACTGAATATGTACAACATGGAGCACCTAGCTATGAAATCTGAGAATAATTCATGAAGTATAAATTGTAACTATTAAAATCAGAGATGGCCTCTTGCCATTTTGTTTGAAGCTCACCTGGCCCTTTGAATGACTTGTTTTCAATTGCCAAAAGGCCAAGAGTTATATTTGGTTGGAAAGTTTCTCCGATAAATCCTGACAAAGAAATGGCCTTAACCCATGTTCAAGGTCAAAGAGATCAAACGACTTCTGATGAACTGTTCCTGAAATGACGTGTGATGCACTTTGTGACAACTTTAAAAAAGAATTTACCTTGAAACTTGACACTCATATTTGGCTGGCAGGTTCTCAATATGAAGCTTACCAAAGTTCGATCTTGACCCATATTCTAGGTCACATAGGTCAAATTTGCTAAAACCTTTAATCATTTTGTTCTATTTAGCAAAGGATTTAAACGTTAATGATATGAAATTTTACCGTATTTGGGAAAAGTTTTTAATACCAGATGAGTGGTGCATGCCCATGGGGCCACTTGTTCTGATCAGTCCCTAAATGGACAGAGCATATAGAATTTGAGACTAATTAATACTGTGTTATAACAAACCATAACAGTTAAAATGCACGATGACTACCTTCACTGACTTTAAAGACAACTTGAAGTCAGAGGCACATATATCTGGAACGTTCCAGATACAGGTGCAAAAATCCAGTCCACAGCATTCTGCATGGTGGACTAAATTTTTCCTTTATTTGGTAACGTTCCAGATACAGGTGTCTGTGTTGAGACCAAGTACAGGGGTTCGACCTGTTAGTAAAGTTGTTAACAGCATCACGAGACACGAGATTAATTTAAATCTTGATATAATACTTGACCAGTCGGCTAGGTTTGAAATAGCGCGGGTTTTCACTTATGATAGCACTCGTCAAAGTTGTGAATCAAAGTACAAAACTGCAAATAAAGCGAAAATCGCTGATAAAGAACTATATAAATAATTATAAATAACCTTTTGAATCCAAAACGAAAAACTAAGCAAGCGTTAATGAGGTTCGAAACTAAAACCCTAATTCCAAAAAATATTAGGGACAGCTAGAACGTTTGAATGCAAAGGCTCTAACATGCATTAGCCAAGCGTATAGGTAACATTGCATACCATGTGTTTGCGACAGAAATGGCAACAAATACACTAACGTATGAGGGTTGCAATTACCTCAGACAAAGACTGATATTAGCTACTCTTAGTGGCAAAACAGTTAGAGTCAGAAAAATCCGATCGAAGGAAGATGATCCAGGGTTAAAAGGTAATGAAGGCTATCACGAAGTGGTTGCTTAATTTAACGAGTTTTACGCACTTTTGGCGGACGAGAAAAGATTGTAAAGTGAGTAGAGAGGAGATAGTATGAGATGATAAGAGAGTTGAATACAGAGATGAGGTAGAGAGGGACCGTTGATACTGCCAGACCTGTTTTTATAACTATGAATTTGAAGACGACCTCATTGTCCTAAGCAGGGACGTCCTAAGTATGCATGTAGTTCTAACCTAACTCTAACTAGGCACGTCGCAGCAAGAGGATCGGTTAAGGACAGGGAGGAAGAGGATCCTATACTATATGATTTTCGATATGCGTGTAATATTTTTTTTGAAGTCCGTCAAAATAAGTCAGTAAATAGTCACAATTTCTAATATGACCCTAACCTTTGGGCTGGTGTCACCAATCCTGTTCTTTTCGAAGATCAACAAACTGATCTTGATCGTGCGAGTTGGACATTCTCACACGTGCCACCATTTTAAATCCCACGTGAGGGACTGTGTTATTGGTTATTTGTTAATAAGGTACTAGTGCTGATATGCTTTTAGTGACCCTTTGTAATTCTTCTTTCCATTTCTTTGTGCCACACTAAAAGCTGTCCACTTTAACTTTGTCTGTACTTTCTGAAATTCCACACTGATCCTTGCATCATGTAACTGTTTCTATTCCAACATTTATATAAGTGAAATTGTGATCATGAGGTTAGTATTGGAAAGGGTTGGGTGTGTTAGTAATGGTTACTAAGTGGTTAATGAAAATCATATTAGGAAGGTCATCTACTGATCAAATGAGCATTGGTTGGGGTGTGTGGGTGAGGAGGTTCTATACTTACCATTCCTAGAATGTGTAAGTCCTAACTTAATCTTCATGGCAGGGACTGTATGTGTTTCATATGATAATACAGTCTTCACTTAAGATGGTAAATAAGGCACCTCTGTCTGGAACTTAAACAACTCATACAATGCAAAGTGGACTGAATACTTGCTTGAGTTGTTTACATTCCATATATAGGTGTTTCTGCTTACAATAACGTAAAATGAAGTAGATCATGCACTTCATGCACTTCATGCACTTGCAAGTTGTACAATTTTACACTGTTATGTATTAACGTTGGATAGTAAAATGTGCTATGTAACAAAGTGAGGGTTAAGGTTTATCTCCATTCGAAAAACCTACCTGTGCTATGTCATCCCATTTATTTATTTTCAAGGAGGAAGCATAGAGATCCCCTGTATATGGCATGACGGACATTAAAGTAATAAGGAATATCAAAAACATGTCTTTTTTTTGGTTTCAAGCCCAAAATCAGAAGTAAGAAATGAAAGAAAGGTAAGGAGGGAAAAGAAAGAAAGAATGGAACGGCAAATGTGACAGGTCAAGTGGTCAGTCATTGCACAGAATATGTACAATATGTAACTTGCAATAGTATGGCTATTCCTGGCATATGAAATATGTATGCCTGACAAAACAACATTTATGGGAATGAACATTAATAAAAGACACAAATATAATATAATTAATACAAACAATCACTTGTATCACAAAGTGCCACACTTATGCATTAGTATGTTTGTATTTCTTTCAGATTTTGAAGCTAGTTTTATAAGACTGTTGGACAAATTAACGAATGGTTCCAAGATTGTTATAAGTGAAACAGGTACTTATTTATTTGTTTACTTATATATTGTGTTTTACTTTAGGAAAAAATCGTGCTTTCCACAAGTTTAATTCTAAGAAGGAAATTTAGAAATGATTATACTTTTCAAGATGACTTAGAAGCAATATAAAACAAATGTATTGTTTCAATTAACAAGCATCACTCTCCACTCTCTTTTTTTTGATATACCAATGTATTATTAATTGATTTTTAGACCTTTAAAATTTTGCTATGAAAAATAATCACAGAAATGGATTTGTGTATTACAATGACCCAACATGGTTATGTTTAATTGATATTTTGACTTTAAAATGGTTTTATTAATTTGGACTTCTGCAATTCATTTAAATGATTCTCTCAAAAAAGGTGGGAATATATGCACAGATTAAACGTATGTGACAAAACATGATAAGAGGATTTTATGTTATGGAATGTTTGTATGATACTAAAATGTTTATCTTTAGGAACTAGTCTTCTGTACCAGCCAGGACTTCTGATTGGTGGGAAGTTGGAACATGAATGTAATACACAGCGCAGCATAGGTTATTATCTGGAAGCTCTTGTATGTTTGGCTCCATTCACCAAGAAACCAATCAAAGTCCTCCTCAGAGGAGTCACCAATGATCAGATTGACCCTTCAGTACGTAGCTCACTTGATACAATGCATAGCTATAGCATCATCAATTATTTTAATATTGTTAGGTCAGCAATGTTACTAATAATTATTCTAGCATAACAACACTTATAATCATATTTACCGTATCTGAAAAAGTTTTGCATAAAGAAACTAAAAGGAGAAGGTCGACCTTGGAAATAATGTTTATATAGACTCTTTCACTCAGCTGACAGAGCATGCTTCTTTGGCTTCTGTGGTAGAGTCATAGATTATCACACTTAGGACATGGGTTTACAGTTGTGTCACAGGTACCTGCCTTATCTGTTAATACACTCATACTTAACAAAGTTTGTAACTTAGTCGGCCTAGTGAAATGACCCAGTTTCAAAAAATTTGTGTTGGTCATTAAAATGTATGAGATAGCATCTTTACATAACATGTTTGTGAGTGTATTGACAGACATGGCTAGTACCTGTCCTCACACTCAGCTGATGAAACATACTTCTCTGGCTCAGTTAGTTGAGTTATGAATTAAATATCGCACCAGAAACTTGCACTTAAGTCATGTTGAGGCTCTTGTCAGAAATATTTTCCCCCATTCTGTTACAAGTATGGTATAAGATAAGAGGAGTGAATCTACAATGTCTTTAAGACAACTTGAGATCAATTGTGTTTTTAATTCAGAATTTCTTTATAAAATGTTACCAGGTGGATTTAATCAAGTTATCAACTGTACCAGTTTTGAAAAGATTTCTTGGAACAGATGAAGGTTTGGAACTTAAGGTACTTTGAACAGAAATTTCTTGTGTCTATGATATACAGTGTATCCCATCAAAAATCAAACCTCTTTATAATGTGAAATTTGTATAAATTGAGGCTTCCAATAAATATACATACCTTAGTAATGAAATCAGGTTTTGGTACATTTGTTATACACATGGCCATGGACCATTAGCCCTTACATACTGCATAACTCCTAGATTTCTCATTTCTTATTTCCATGTGATGTAAGTAGCTAAATTTCAAATCAGAAGGAAAGGACAAGATAAATGATACATGATACAGTGTAATTAATCAAACTTATATGATAATCATTCACATAGATCACAAGAAGAGGAGCTGCCCCTGATGGTGGTGGGGAGGTAATCTTCAGCTGTCCATGTCGACAGAAGCTCCGTCCACTACAATTTACAGATCCTGGCAAGATCAAACGAATAAGAGGTGTGGCGTATCCTTTCTCTATTGGTCTAAATCTTCATCAGTTCTTCAGTTGACAATCAAATACATATGAATGTAATGTACTTCATATTTCAATACTCATTGATACAATTCAAATGCATGAATTTTCAGGATGTCGTGTGATTTTCTTTGTGATCGTTTAAAATAGAAGCCGGCTTCGATGCTCAACCCTTTGGGGAAGAACAAATTGATAATCATCCCCCTCAGGTTTATGAAGGAAATCCATATTTATAAAACATAAAAAAATCTGTAACATCATTATATTTCATCTGAATACAATAAATGTATGAGGAAAAGCAAACACAAAACACGGATATTTTGTAAAGTCTGATGAATAAGCTGTTGCTGTCCATTCTACGAGGAAATTTGGCTTTATGTAGTATTTCTATAAACCACATCTTCTCATTCTTTTGATGAGATGAAGTTGTTGATTTTTAGTGAAAATTGTGGGTCTCCAGAAAAGGTCTTAATGGAGAACTCAATTTTATGTAAATCAAGTGTTTGCAGAAGGACAGGGCCCATTATGAGTAATAGAGGTAAGAATTGGAAGTTATTCTTTTTCTGCTTGCATGAATATATTCTGTCAAAATTTAGTTAAAAGCTTAAAAACTTCTCATCTTTAGGCCTAAGGGGAAAATGAAACAATATAATAGTGAATAAAAGTGTTTTGAAGTGAAAGCTGAGATATTAAGGTGTGTTATACAGACACCATAAGCCTCTTGTTTTGATCAAGATGTGTAAGGTGAATAATAATGTTTTCGTTGTAACTGTATGGTTGTCTGTACTGATTTGTCAGAATTTCGCTAGAAATCTTATTCAACATTTGAACCAATAATATGATCCTTGACCACTACAAGTTGGGCAGTGCGAGTGTCACCAGTGACAACCAATAGGATTGTAGATGCTACTCGCAGTATTCTCAATCAGTTTCTCCCTGACATTTATATATACACTGACCACTTGAAAGGCAGCCAGTCTGGAAAGTAAGTACAGTAGATTGAACAAAACAAGAAAAGTTTCACACTAAGTTTGAAATACTGTAGCAGTCTTGAGGTGCAATGACTGTTAACTCAAAAGTGACTTAGTAATGTTGGTGATCTCCATATGAAATTAAGACAGTATAAAATAAAACTGCTGTATGGAAGATTTCAAAGTACAAAAACAAAAAAATGAAAAATAAAAAATTCAGATGGTGAAAATGGTTATAATCCCAAGTGAAAAACTTGCTTCAAACAAAGATTGAGTTGAAGAATAAGGCCCAGTCTTTTGATCTCCTTAACTACACTAGATGTATTTGCTCCTGCTGTTTTATCAAAGTCTTTTCAAAGCTTGCCATTTTCCCAGGACAAAGTTTTATCACATATGATTGTCAATGACATCAGATGCTCATTAAAAAGTGCCATGGTAATAATTTTACACAACATACCAAGTACACTGTTCTTACTTTCTTGTTCAAGGTCTCCAGGTTTTGGATTAACACTTGTCGCAGAGACTCTTCAGGGGTCCTTTTTGTGTGCTGAGGCAGCATCAAATCCCAAGGGTTCTCCCAAAGGCCCCACGATACCTGAAGATCTTGGCAAAGAAACAGCAAAGATACTATTAGAAGAGATCTATCGGGTGAGTAGGGTATAAAAACAACTGTCTTATTATTGGATAAATCTTTACTGTTAAACATTATTAGTTCATCTTACCCTAAAGCCATCGTGTTTCTTCTGTCTTTGTGTGCTGTGCATATACTTTCCATTCAAATTACTTCTTCTGAATAACTAGAAGGGTCAGGGCACTGATATTGGGCCTATAGTATGATGAGATGAAGGACTACTGAGTTTGTTAATATGAATGTCCTTCGACTACTGTCAAGGTCACTGGGGTCAAATATGTTGAAATATTTAACTAATTTTTTTCCATAAACAAAAGGCCAAGGATAATGATATTGTTCCTGTATGATGATGGGATGAAGAGCTATGTAATGTCTTAATATGAACGACCTTTACCTGCTTTCAAGGTCACAGGGGTCAAATATGTTAAAATGTTTAAACAAATTCTTCTCAATAACCAAAAGTACCAGAGTGCTGATATTAGGACTGTAGCATGATGGGACGAAATGCTTCCAAGTTTGTTAAAATGAATTCCTTGACCCACTTTCAAGGTCACAGGGGTTAAATGTGTTGAAATATTTAAGAAACCTCTTCTAAATTACCAAAAGGTCCCTGGTGCTTATATTGAGCCTGTAGCATGCTGGAATGAAGGGCTACAAAGTTTGTCCATTTTGACTAACTGTTAAGGTCACAGGGGTCAAATGTGTTGAAATGCATAAGCAACTTCTTCTTGATAACCAAAATGCCAAGGGTCTTTATATTGGGCCTCTAGCATGCTTTTTCAACAAGCAATATGTCTGGAGTAATTGCATTTGTGTAGGGAATGTACAGAGAACATGACTTCAAGTTTGCAGAAAATGTCTTTATGAACCAACCAATGTCTTCTGTGTCGGCTGTCTTGATGGTCAGATGACCCTTAAGGCCTGTGGGCCTCTTGTTGAGCATTATTTTAAAGAATAAGTAAAAGGATAATTGAATACTTCTGCTTGTAAAATTAAAAAGATGCCACCCATGATATCATTTCTGATATATTTTCTCTGGATTTAGGGAGGTTGTGTAGACTCCACCAACCAGAGTCTGACTGCTTTGTTCATGGTACTGGGACAACAGGATGTGTCTAAAGTTCAAATGGGGACACTATCTCAGTATACGTAAGTACTTTATCAGTCGACAGTACATACATGTCCTAGGAGACATGTTATCCAAGAAACTGTATGTGTTGAAGCAAATATGTTAAATGTTAGGGGTTTAGCTAGGGTTTGTTTGGAAGCCATTAGCAGGAAGGCTAAGGGATTAGCTAGGGTTTTGTATGTTTGGAAGCCATTAGCAGGAAGGCTAAGGGATTAACTAGGGTTTTGTATGTTTGGAAGCCATTAGCAGGAAGGCTAAGGGATTAGCTAGGGTTTGTTTGGAAGCCATTAGCAGGAAGGCTAAGGGATTAGCTAGGGTTTTGTATGTTTGGAAGCCATTAGAAGGAAGGCTAAGGGATTAACCAGGGTTTTGTTAACCAGGGATTTGTTTTAGTAACCATTAGGGTTTTGGCTATGTTAGCTGGGTTTTGGAAGCCATTAGAAGGAAGGCTAAGGGATTAACTAGGGTTTTGTATGTTTGGAAGCCATTAGAAGGAAGGCTAAGGGATTAACCAGGGTTTTGTATGTTTGGAAGCCATTAGAAGGAAGGCTAAGGGATTAACTAGGGTTTTGTATGTTTGGAAGCCATTAGAAGGAAGGCTAAGGGATTAGCTAGGGTTTTGTATGTTTGGAAGCCATTAGCAGGAAGGCTAAGGGATTAACCAGGGTTTTGTATGTTTGGAAGCCATCAGTAGTCATGTAATGGATTAACCAGGATTTTCCTATATTTGGAAGCCATTAGCAGGCAGGTTAAGGGATTAGCTAAGGTTATGTTTGAAAACTATTAGGAAGTATGTTAAAGGTTTTGCCAGAGTTTTGTATGAATGGAAGCCAGTAGCAGTCATGTTATATGTTAGCAAGCATGCTATGGGATTTGTCAATATCCTGTATGTGTGTAAGATAATAGAAGGTATGTGATGGGGTCACCTTTCAACAGGTACCAGGCTCCAGTTTTATGAATTTTCCTTCACTTAAGGAAATATTGACTGAGAAAAGTAAGATTAAGTAAAGGAACATTTTCAATTAAAGGAAGTTACCTTAACTTATATTTATGATTTCCCAAGGGCAACCTTCAGTTATTAAGTCTTGAAAACTGTGGCCAGTATATTATGGTGTTGGTATATGCTTTGTGCGAGTGTAAACTATTTAAATGTGTAAAGTGGTGGGTTTTGACAAATTTTATGCATATATAGAAAATTGAAATGATTTTGACCCCTGTACACTATTTCAAAATACATATTATATTATCGTTCTCATTTCAGGATACAATTTCTACGTCATATAAGGGACTTCCTCCAAGTTATGTTTAAAGTTGAACCAGAACTAAAGAAAGATGATGATGATGATGATTTACAAATAGGTGGAGAAAAACTGTTATTGACTTGTGTTGGGGTTGGATACTCAAATGTAAGCAAGGCTATAATGTAACCAAGACACCAGTGTTAGCAGGCAAGACAAACTGTCGTCAGAAGTGTTCACTGTTGAAGGCAATGATATTTTAAGAGTTTTTGTATGGTGAATGAGAGTTGTTAAGTTTTTATCAATAAATCTTTTAATCTGGAACATGTTTTCGTTCTTTATCCAGCCAAATATAATACTTTGTAATACAAAATCAGTATTTTTACATACAACTTCAGATGAGCAAAGAATTGCATATAATTGATAAATGAAAAAGAAAATCTTCAATGAGTCATGGAAACATGAGCAATGAAATTTGTGTTGGAATTATATTCAAAATGTAATAACCATATTTAAAAGCTTTAAATGTCAAAATGAAATTGGTTAGACCAGGTAGCAGTATAACCAACAAACTTCAGCACAAATAGAAAGACTAATACAAGTTTTTCAGCCGATATTTGACTGGTTTAACTTAACATGGCATACTGTCATTGGACAGCTGATACCCATTGGTAGTGTGATGTACAAAATGGGAATACCAGTCCTGCTCCTGTGTAATTCTATTGCAAAATTTCACCATTCCTGTTTTAAAAAATCCATCTCTGATGAACTCTGGTTGTCTTTGTTGGGTTTATCACGCTGGGAACAGTCAGGGTCATTTTGAGTCAGGGTCTCCTTGTAGTAGTACTGTGGCTGTTGGCTACCTCACTGCACAAATGCCAGTGGCCATTTACATGCCATCCAGAGCAATTCAGGTAAAATATATTGCCTAAAGATACAGCTACAACAGCACAAAAAGGTCAGTATCTCAGCTTCTTGAGAAATGCATACCACCACACCATAAGTAGAGCATGTCAAACCACCCACTTCGATGTCAATCTGAGATTGCATTGGCCATCAGTCTACTGAGCTATTGTAGCCCTTTTTGTGCAGTGTTTGGATGGGCTGTTTGCACACCTTTATGTATTGATGAACCATATACCTGTAATTTACACGTAAAGCTAGGAAAGGATTGTCTAACACTGTTTATGCATAGTTTATGAAAAGTTTATCTTATAAAAATTGGTATGTAATGCTTAGGAAATTCTCGTCAAATTTGTCATAATTAGAAGGAAATTCTTACCAAAGTCATGTGATGTGTGATCATGAAAAATTATGTAATAGGTGTTATTACACTGATAACAGGTAAAGTCTGTCTCAAATTGTTTTATAGTCCTGACAGTTAATATACAGCATTGGTAGCGTTATTACATTCCTTCCTTCCACATTGATTGGAGACCATGCTTTCAAATAAATAATGCCAATATAGAGTCTGATTCACATTCATATTTATTACAATCATATTTGTATGAAAAAGATGATAACACAGTGATGTAAAAAGAAATCGACTGATGATAAAGGTTAATAACCTTTATCCTGTGTAATAGCACTTTCATGTCCCATGCTGCATCTTTTTGTATAGTGCTGTGTTGAAAATTTCCTTCTGTATGATATGACAATGGAAACCACACTAATCTTCAAAGCCAGCTGGCTCTGATGTTTGCTGATATTCAATCTTGATTGACTCTGAGCTGTGTGGATCTACTTCATCATTGTCAAGGCTATATGATGTATGAATAGGTTTTGTCCTGTATTTATGTCCAATGTGTGTTAAACTTCTGCCAGTTGTGGTTTTAACATGGGTAGTTCTTGAATACCGTCTTTGTTTACAACTCGAATTTTAAACGCTGGCAGGTTTATGATGAATCTCTTCCTTATCTGTGAATGTAAATCAATAAAATGTCACATACATTTCATGAACATATATCAAATGTAGATAATACAAGAAATAATGTCCAACATGTAAAATGTGTTTTTATGTGTTTTATAAAATCATTTCTGTAAATAAAGTTAGAAGTGAGCTACAAACCTCGTTGACACATCTCTGAAGTAGCTCAAGGGCTTCATCTTGTGACAGATCTGAAAAATCAAATTTTATCAATTTGCATTTATTTAAACACAGAATTTAGAATCTTCAAAGAGCAATACTTTTTTGTACCAAGTGATCATAATTAATTTGAATACCGGTATATCATGGAACTGCAGAACATTAACCAGAAACTTCAGAACTAAAGACAGTTATATGTTAATAAATATGGGAAAGAACAATAAAAAAGTTCACATATGAGAGTGAGAGAGTGGAATATTAATTCCAAGGGAAAGATTTTTGCAATCGATACAACATGTTGGCAAGATGTCATAAATTGCTGATAGAGAAATTATCTCATCTCAACTCAATATTTGTGTGGATATGACAAGAAAACATTTAATATTTGAGATTACAAAAAAAACATGAATCAATTTTGAAATGTTTTTGTTGGATTTTCATATGTCCTGTTTGACAAACTTTATTATTTATGTTGTAATTTATCAACAACAATTCTTGTGAATTACTTCATCCATAAGTTAACCAACTCTCTAAAGAAAAACCACAAACAAACTGCAATAACCCTGCTAATAAGGCGTATGACTAAGTTTTAATATGCTCCACGATGTAGCATATGTGCAACATATTTGGCAATTGTAGATTATGAAAAAAGGACTATAAAAGGAGTGTTTGACACCCAATTCTGTAATTAACTATAGATGAAATATGCCCTGGCGATGGTGAGAAGTATAAACCAATGGTTCCATCTAAAATAGGGGGATTTGTTTGTTTGTGGGGTTTTCTCCCTGTGAATAACCAGAATCTTTTTTCAGAGAGAGTCTCCATGTAGTAGCTGGTGGCTACCTCACTGACCAGCATATGAGAAACCTGTAGCATGACATCCTGAGCAGTTAGGGTTAAGTGTCTTGCCCAGTCTGTTTCTGAGCTTCCTAAGAAACACACACCCCCATGAGTAGGGAGTCTCAAACCATGCAGCTTGGATCTTCACCTGAAGTTACTAATGACAACCCTAACTGACTGAGCTATCATGGGCCCTAGTTGGGAACTGCTATTTAGAGTAATTTATGCATGTACATAATAAAGTAGTGCTCTTACACAAACATCTAACAGCAACTTTGCTCAAACTTTTCCTTAACCAAATCATGACATTTTGAAATGAAAAACAAGAAAAATTACATTTAGAAAGACTAGACAGGGCTAGAAAGTTAGACAGATAGACAGATATAACAATGGTGGATGCATGAAAGTGACGAAATGATCATCATCATTCCTTTTCCATATTGGACAACATACCTTCTCTGTAGTATCTGTCCAGTATACTGAGAACAAAAAAGGAACCATAGCCATGGGCTGCAAATGGACATTTGTTCATGGAAGCCAGATAATCCATGTAGTATAGAGATGGTCCCTCCGTCTGATCATAGCCAGCCATCAACAAGTTTACTGTATATCTAGACTGATCACAAAGGAAATCATCACTTTCACAATGATTTTCATGCCTGAATAATTCTAATCATGTTTTAAAATACCATATATATCATTTAAACCAAAAACCTACAAAATGTGATAAAGCTTGTATCTATACATATTTCTGCTGATATTAATACTTCATGACAATACTCCTACATATCTTATCACTGACATTGCTATATATGTGATGTACAATATTTTTCTGGTCGTAGATTGAATTTCATTGTCAAATATAACAAGATTACTACAAAAATGATGTATGAAATGCTGTATTCACATGTCACCAAAGTTTTTATTTTTGTATAGAAAACAGCTTTTTGGTATTTATGATAGGAACTGTCATGTTCTTTTCTAAACCTTTTCCAAAATTTTAATCCAGTCCTAACAAGCTCATTTTATATCATGTACAAAAATAGTTATGTTGAAGTTCAACTCTTATTAGCTTATAAACTAAATTGTCAAAAGTTAGCACATACTTTATCAGTGTTATACAGTACACAATGATATTTCAGTGTATCTATAATTTTTGCAGAAGTCACTTTCAGTGAAACTTCTGTAAAATAACAAAAAAAACATACACACAGGTATGCATATCAGATACGTGAAACTCTGAAAGAATTTACAATTATTACTTACTCGAGTCCTGAGATACTCTGCTAAATTACGCCGTGTAAAATTAGCTGCTGCATGTGGAGACAGTTCATAGCCTGTAAAGAAAGTGTTAGGAAATGTAACAGATGTCTAAAATAAGTAAATTAAATTTTGCTAGGACATGCCTCCTTAAAAATTGTATTAAAATAAATTTATATTATGACACTCAGTATTAGTCCCTATATATGCATATAATCAGTAACAGGGGATGACACTGTACACTAGTCATCATCAACACAAGGTGATGATGTACACTAGTCATCATCTACACAAGGTGATGACACTGTACACTAGTCATCATCAACACAAGGTGATGACAGTGTACACTAGTCATCATCAACACAAGGTGATGACACTGTACACTAGTCATCATCAACACAAGGTGATGACTGTACACTAGTCATCATCTACACAAGGTGATGACTGTACACTAGTCATCATCAGCACAAGGTGATGACACTGTACACTAGTCATCATCTACACAAGGTGATGACACTGTACACTAGTCATCATCAACACAAGGTGATGACAGTGTACACTAGTCATCATCAACACAAGGTGATGACACTGTACACTAGTCATCATCAACACAAGGTGATGACTGTACACTAGTCATCATCAACACAATGTGATGACACTACACTAGTCATCATCAACACAAGGTGATGACACTGTACACTAGTCATCATCAACACAAGGTGATGATGTACACTAGTCATCATCAACACAAGGTGATGACACTGTACACTAGTCATCATCAGCACAAGGTGATGACACTGTACACTAGTCATCATCAACACAAGGAGATGACCCTGTACACTAGTCATCATCAACACAAGGTGATGACACTGTACACTAGTCCTGATCAACACAAGGTGATGACACTGTACACTAGTCATCATCAACACAAGGTGATGACACTGTACACTAGTCATCATCAACACAAGGTGATGACTGTACACTAGTCATCATCAACACAAGGTGATGACACTACACTAGTCATCATCAACACAAGGTGATGACACTGTACACTAGTCCCGATCAACACAAGGTGATGACACTGTACACTAGTCCTGATCAACACAAGGTGATGACAGTGTACACTTGTCCTCATCAACACAAGGTGATGACACTGTACACTAGTCATCATCAACACAAGGTGATGACACTGTACACTTGTCCTCATCAACACAAGGTGATGACAGTGTACACAAATAAATATATCACCCAAATTTTTTTTTTCCTAAACAAAACAAAAACACATCAAGATAGAAATGGTAAGCTGAAATACAGACTAAGAACACTTAGCTAGGGTTTCTACTAAAATGAATAAAAAATAAATTTATATCATGACACTCAGTATTAGTCCCTATATATACATATAATCAATAACAGGGGATGACACTGTACACTAGTCATCATCAACACAAGGTGATGACACTGTACACTAGTCATCATCAACACAAGGTGATGACACTGTACACTAGTCATCATCAACACAAGGTGATGACAGTGTACACTAGTCATCATCAACACAAGGTGATTACTGTACACTAGTCATCATCAACACAAGGTGATGACACTACACTAGTCATCATCAACACAAGGTGATGACAGTGTACACTAGTCATCATCAACACAAGGTGATGACAGTGTACACTAGTCATCATCAACACAAGGTGATGATGTACACTAGTCATCATCAACACAAGGTGATGATGTACACTAGTCATCATCAACACAAGGTGATGACACTACACTAGTCATCATCAACACAAGGTGATGACAATGTACACTCGTCATCATCAACACAAGGTGATGATGTACACTAGTCATCATCAACACAAGGTGATGACTGTACACTAGTCATCATCAACACAAGGTGATGACACTGTACACTAGTCATCATCAACACAAGGTGATGACAGTGAACACTAGTCATCATCAACACAAGGTGATGATGTACACTAGTCATCATCAACACAAGGTGATGACTACACTAGTCATCATCAACACAAGGTGATGACACTGTACACTAGTCATCATCAACACAAGGTGATGATGTACACTAGTCATCATCAACACAAGGTGATGACAGTGTACACTAGTCATCATCAACACAAGGTGATGACCCTGTACACTAGTCATCATCAACACAAGGTGATGACACTGTACACTAGTCATCATCAACACAAGGTGATGACACTGTACACTAGTCCTGATCAACACAAGGTGATTACTGTACACTAGTCATCATCAACACAAGGTGATGACACTACACTAGTCATCATCAACACAAGGTGATGACACTGTACACTAGTCATCATCAACACAAGGTGATGATGTACACTAGTCATCATCAACACAAGGTGATGACACTGTACACTAGTCCTGATCAACACAAGGTGATGACTGTACACTAGTCATCATCAACACAAGGTGATGACACTACACTAGTCATCATCAACACAAGGTGATGACACTGTACACTAGTCCTGATCAACACAAGGTGATGACAGTGTACACTTGTCCTCATCAACACAAGGTGATGACACTGTACACCAGTCATCATCAACACAAGGTGATGACAGTGTACACTAGTCATCATCAACACAAGGTGATGACAGTGTACACTAGTCATCATCAACACAAGGTGATGACAGTGTACACCAGTCATCATCAACACAAGGTGATGACAGTGTACACCAGTCATCATCAACACAAGGTGATGACACTGTACACTAGTCCTGATCAACACAAGGTGATGACACTGTACACTAGTCCTCAATATCAACACAAGAGGATGACAGTGTACACTAGTCCTCAATATCAACACAAGAGGATGACACTGTACACAAGTCCTCATCATCAACACAAGGTGATGACAGTGTACACTAGTCCTCAATATCAACACAAGAGAAGGACACTGTACACAAGTCCTCATCATCAACACAAGGTGATGACAGTGTACACTAGTCATCATCAACACAAAGTGATGACACTGTACACTAGTCATCATCAACACAAGGTGATGACACTGTACACTAGTCATCACCAACACAAGGTGATGACACTGTACATTAGTCATCATCATCAACAGGTGATGACAATGTACACTAGTCATCACCAATACAAGGTGATGACACTGTTTACTAGTCATCACCAACACAAGGAGATGACACTGTACACTAGTCATCATCAACAACAAGTGATGACACTGTACACTAGTCATCATCAACACAAGGTGATGACACTGTACACTAGTCATCACCAACACAAGATGATGACAGTGTACACTAGTCATCATCAACAACAGGTGATGACACTGTACACTAGTCATCACCAACACAAGGTGATGACAGTGTACAAAAGTCCTCATCATCAAGACAAAGTGAAGACAGTGTACACTGTCCTTATCATCAACACAAGGAGATGATACTGTACACAGGTCCTAATCATCAACACAAAGGAAGACAGTGTACGCTAATCCTCATTATCAACATTAGAAGATGACAATTAACACTGCACACCAGGGACAATATATGTATATTGAATAGTCTCAGGTGAATTGTTTCTAATATTTTCCCATCAAACTACTAATTAAGCACATAGACTCAAATTTGCTCATTACATTATTGCATTGAATAAAACAAAAAGATAAACAAATGTGTTACTGAGAGCCTTAACATACTCAAACATCTGAAATATACTTAAACATACTCAAACATCTGAAATATACAGCTTTTGAGTAATGTATATTTACCATTGCTATCAACATTGAATGATACAAATAAATATATCACTCAATTTTTTTTTTTTCTAAACAAAACAAAAACACATCAAGATAGAAATGGTAAGCTGAAATACAGGCTAAGAACACTTAGCTAGGGTATTCTACTAAAATGAATACTGAAATTTTTGATGAACAATAAATACTGTTGTCAGCATGTAGATAGTACATGCAGTACACTGTTCAAACACAATTATATTTTCTTGTTCGAACCTAATGAGATTTTGTTTTTATTATATATGATATTAGAGATTCTCTTGCTTTCAAGACAAAATAAGAGAACATAAAACACATCTCTTGTCTGACGTCATGTTAGAAAATCATGATCATTCTGTTACTTAACAATATAACACAATACCACAGATAAATGTTTGGTGATATTTACCATTCCGCATTTTATATAACTGGATATTTTTCGAGATGTATTCAGCAAACTGCACCGTGTCTCCTGATTCACCACTTATGGACATAACGATTTTGTCACTCAGCTTGAACATTTTATCAACATCTGAAAGAAAATGAAATTCAGAATACTTTTAATATGAAGATATACTCTGCCTAACAACGAAAAAAGGCACTATGACCCACTGGGCCTGCACCACTGGTATTTATTGCTTTTCAGAAATAAACAAATATATAACATCATTGACATTCAAAATCCTGGTCACTGAGAAGATTTGTTTGACGGTTTTAACAAAAAACATAAAAAAAATACAAACATGGAAACATAATCATAATCCAAACTAAAATTCCATAAAACTAGAACAAAACATAAACAAAAGAAAGATAAACACAGAGACTCCTGAAAAGGTACAAGGAAAATAAGGCCAGGTATCCAGAAAAGTAAGCATCTTTTGCTTCATCAACAACACCTGCCATGTAAATCTTGGACAATCAACCTAAGTAATGTTATATTCTCAAATGAGAACAAGGCATACAACAACGGAACCAACAGACAAACTAACAAGCATCAAACATGTCCACCTTCATCACACACCAAGAAATAGGATATTTCTCAATGACATCGCTATGTCAACCATAAAACTTCCCCATTATTTTTCATCAACCTGCATCTTTAGTTAAACCCCTGTGACATTGAATATGGGTCATGGTAATTTTTTCTCAAAAATTGAGGGGACTCGTGCAAGAAACCTTTCAGCCAAATATGATTCCATATACATCTTTGTTATTGAAAAGTTGTTTGAAGGATTTAACAAAACAGACCTCTGTAATTTTGAATATGGTTAATCATTTCGCAAATTTTGTTCAGCAACATCTCAAGAACTTTCATTCCAAACATCCTGAAGCTAGGATTTTGGTTATTGAAAAGAAGTCATATGAATGTTGCAACAAATTTAACCTCTGTGATCTTGATTTTGGGTTGAGGTAATTTCTTTTCACTGTCAGGCTTCTTTCAGAGAACCTACCAATCCAATATCAAGATTCTTGGCCTTTAGGTTAGTTAGTCAGAAGAACACATTTGAATGTTTCAACAAAGTTTACTGATGTAAACTTGAGTCTAGGTCAAGTTAATTTCTTTTTGCAACCTTCATCCAGCTTCATCCATGAAACGTTCCAGTCTAAAATCATGGTTCTAGGCCTTTCAGTAAATCAGAGGTAGTATTTTGAATAGTACCTTGAATAGCAGTCTTTTGAAGAATATAGCAAATTTATTTTACTTAACTGGTAGCCTTGGATATGGTTCAAGGTTTTTCCTTTTCTCCAGAAACCTACTAGTCACTTATTAAGATTCTCAGCTTTTTAGTTAATTAATTGGAAGTTGCTTGAAGGGTGCAGAAAAATTAATGCATAATTGGGGTTGTCTCTTGATTTCAGAGATCCTGCTAGGTAGGTCATCAGTAATCTTTCAATGTTTGTCAGATTGGTAAGGCTGACCACCTGGCCACATAATCAAGGCCTAGCTCGATGAGCACACTGCCCAATTATCTTATTAGTGTCACCCAATTCCAGTTTATCCTAACTGACTGATACACTTGGGAGCACATTTGTACACATTTGATTCTTACCTACCTAATTCACAATAGACCCTTGGTCAGGACTCGGGGGAGGGGGGGAGGGGTTGGCCCTGGTAAATGTTTGATTAAGATGAGATCATTTTACAGGTAATTAAGTACTTATTACCATGTTCATACTACCTATTCGGTCAAATAACAAATTCAATGAGAAAATGGTCTGAAAAACGATCTTAATGATGTAGTAATATGCAAGCATTCCTCAATCAATACCAATAATTTCACCACATCAGTCCGTAAAATACGACTGAGTTGGCATCATGAGTTAGAAAATCAGATCAAATAAATATTTCACTCAATGAAAATTTGTCTAAAATTTCAAACATGTTTGGTTCCCTACAAAAATGTGATAATGGTTAATCAGGAAGTAGCTACACTTATGCAAAATAGGAATGGATCCAGACCAAATTTCCAGATTTGTATCTGTCTAGTTATTTCTTAAATATATATTTCAGAGTAATTACAAAATTTAAATATGTTGGACCATTAGATCTAGATTAAAACATTTTGAATTTTATGAAAAGAATTTATTTTATTCATCTTTTTTGGCCACTTTTTATCTCAATGAAAATACACCTTGAAATTTCATGAGATATTAATACTAATTTTGTCTTTAATTCAATTAAACAAATTCTTCCAAAAGCATCATATTTGGAAATACATATCCTTACTAACCAAACAGATAATCATAAATCTTAATATCTGTTATATTTTGAGTGAGTTCAATGAATATTGAGAATTTTAATGAATAAATTCCAACTTGGACCTTACTTGCGAAAAAAAAAAGATATTTTTTCATAATTATAGTGTAGTAAAGCATGCACTTAATCACTTTAAAGTTACCTAAATGTATTGATTAAATATACATTAATTTTTCCTTTATGACATGTATTGTGACGCCCATGGTATTGTGGTAAGTCAGAATTGATGTTCACACATTTTTCTCCCCCATGAGAGTTTTGAAAAGTTGGCAGGTATGTGAATGAAAAATTGAAGAATGGCTATTGAACTTGATTCTTGATGCTTCATTATGTATTATCGTACCTTTATATAGAGATGATATATGAATAGAGAAATGGACGATAGATTTGTCAGATTTTTTAGGTGAGTCCTGAACAACAATTCCAAACGTTTGATGAGTCTAATACCAAGAGATGAAGTAGATTCTCAAAATTTGAGTGAGTTCTACAGGGTAGCAGAAGTCCAGGACTCAAATATTTGAGTCTCAGAAAATCACCGCAGATACATAAGGTAACTGAAAGAAAAAAATCAATCTGAACTTTGATTTATCTAAATTGAGAAATCTTAGTATGGTGTTTGTGTGTCTGAGGAGAGGGGGGGGGGTGTTGCTTAAGGCTGACAATGCGAGCTTTTCTCCATATACAGATATACGCCATAAGAGAGTGCTTTTCTTACTGAATGCTGACCAAACAACCAAAAAAGTCTGGTAATGTATAGTCATAAATATGGTCGGGTACAGTACACTTCCCAACCTGTCAGCTTGCTTTCGTGAATTTTCGTCCAAGCTAAAAAACTTTCGTCCAAGTTAGAAAATTTCAAAATCAGTTATTATATTCGAAAATTTAAAACTCATTGCAAATTTACCTTGCTTCATGGAAACTATACTGCGGCATGACGCCGTATCTGACGCCATAAGGATAAATCCTTTTCCCTGAATGCCTATCAAAAACTCCATGTCTTACTTTGTATATTGTAGCGAGTGAGAAAGCACTTCGCCGGTTTCAACTTCCGGCAATACGCAGTGAATTATTGAATATTTATATCAGCAAAATCACATAAATCTATTTACTTTTACAACAATTTACCAAGACAGTTTTACAAATAGCTAAATAAAACAATGTAATTTACATGCTTCGGTATTTTATTTGACTCTTCAAAACATATTTATCCGATAGAGTAGTTCCGCATTGAGCCGAGGTGACGAACAGACAGACACCACAAGAGTAGTCACAGACAGGTAAAAACGTGACTAATTTCTATTGTTTCTTGATTTTAAAAGCTTATCTCATATAACTGATTGATTGGATTATTTAAAATAGTATAATAGAAATTTATTTTCAAATTTTAATTCGGGTTGTGTAAATAGATAATAGCCGTGCATTCCAAAAATCCGATGTGGCGGGTACGATGATGTTCCCATCCCAAAATTATTCATCCATTCATTCTGTAGTTATTTTGTGTAGCATGTCATAATTAAAATTTCACTACGGAAGTATTTCATGCAAAGAAGGTATTATAAAGTAAGTTGTTTATTGTCCAATGATGTACTGCTGTCATACGCGTAACCATTATTATTGCCGGTAATCTCATGGCAGCTGTGGTATTTCTTTGAAGCTGCATTGCATGTTTTTATCACTGGTTTCATTTTGACAGCATTGATATTATAATGTGTTGTTTTTGGTCAAAACTGTTGATTTACATGATACGCCATGGGATGTTCGAAGTTGAGAATTGCCTTTTAATACGTTGTCATTTTCTCTGACAGCATGCAGCATACATATGTAATAGGAAGGAGTAATGAAAAACAATGTGCCACTGCTGGGGTACAAACTAGCAACCATTCAGTCTCTTGTTGACACACTCTACCACTAGACTAAAGGGAAATTTCCTCTTGCTAAGGCTAGTAATGTGACCTGTACTCTCAACTTATACACCACTCCGGGCCTCCTTCACAAAGTCTTTGACCCCAAAAGACAACTGGGGTTTGATCTAGCAACCCTTCAGTCTCTAGCTAGGAGCTCTAACGCTCGATTCAATGGAAATACCCACTAGCCAAGGCAAGCTGTGCTCTCAACTTCTACACATACGTGTACGTGTGAAAGTAAAATGAAAACTTGCCATTGTCCCCATTATATATGACATTTTAGAGACTTTCTGGAGAACTAAGCATATTTTCTGAAGAAAATTTCACATGAACTGACAGCTACAACTACATTTGTAGGCAAATAAGCATGCTGTTACAAGTTAAGAGGCAGAGGCCATATTAATTCAACAGTGTTGGGTCATCCATGCACTTAGGACAAGTTGGTATTTTCATGTTTGGACATCTTGATATTTTTATAAGGTCACATTTTCTCTACAAGTATCAGAGATTATAGTCTGCCTGCCCTCTTATTTCTGAAACTTATCTGCAGCAGTGTAACTAGAAATGTACCAACTATCCTATTATTTATGATATAACAACCCATTAATACACAAATATTTGTATGAAAACACTTTTAAAATCCATATAAAGTCTCTTGTACCCACATGTGTTCAAATCTAGGTCATTGAAACAGTATGGGGGCTTTGGTAAGTACAAAATACAATTGGAAAATGAAACAGAAAGTTCAGTGGTGTAGTTGATTTTAACTTTATATCATTTAGCTTGCATCAACTGATTTTTAATCAACCGGTATAAGTAAAAAGACCCATTAAAAAACAAATATGGGAAGTAATTATGAGTGAAACCAAGTTGAAATACTCACAAATGCTTATCATGCCAGTTTATCCCATTCAAATGATAAAAGGTAAAGTAAATTACACATTCTTAAATTCTGCCAAAAATTTCTCACTGTCTATATTGAATCTGTTATATTGATGGGAAAAGCTAGAGTCTCCTCTGCTACACTTTCATCGTTTTTTATGCTCTCAGACCAAAAGATCAGGAGCATATTGTTTTTGTGCTGTTTGTCTGTTGTCAATTTCAACCTTGCCCATAACTATTGCATAGTAAAAGGTAGGGCTTTCATATCTGGCATTTGTGTTCCTTGTGACAAGACTTTTCCAGTGGTACCAAAATTTTAGACCATGTGACCTTGTCAGTGACTTTTGACCTACATTGAAAAATTTTCACACTGGCCATAACTATTGGATCATAAAATGTATGGCTGTCATATTTGGCATTTGTGTTCCTTGTGACAAAAAAATTTGACCATGTGATCATGACCTTGGCCTAAATAAATGCTTAATGACGACATAAGTGTTCAGAAGGTGTGTATGCAATTAGTACATGCTATACACAGTATAGTTTTATTGTCCCACTTCAGAATTTTGTTACACACAGGATATAGCACATCTTGTTCATTTCATTTTATTACATAATTACAATAACCATTCGAAACTCAAGTAAAGAATGGTCTTTTGGCTCGACCAGAATAAGAGAAATTTTTTGCTGAGAAAATCAACTTAAAATCTTTATAGAGCCAAGTAACCTTGAATGTCAAGAAGATATTGTGATTTGTATTATGAGATATGATTAATTAAATCCATGAGAATGTTGTTTTTATTGTAATCTTCAAATCATTCTGTATACCATTGCAAATGATAGTTCAAGATGATCTGTTTCAGTCACAAAGATATGGTGGAAAGGTACTCATTAAAGAAATCAGTACCATATCATACTGGTACGCTACATTTTTTTTAATGTGCACATATAAGTCTAAAGTTTTTCTGAAATTTTTTGTTGATCCACATATAAGGAACACCAGTATTTAATCTACACGCTGGTCTCAGGAGGAAAAAAGTTACAATATGGAAAATATAGTAACCTTCAAAGGAGCATATCAGTCTGTGGTTGGTCAGTTTTTTTGTCCTTGAACCAATAGAGTTGTTTGGACAGTTTTTTTCCTTGAAACAATAAGATAACTTTGCTTGTGCCTTCAATTCTATCATGACATGTTCCAGGTGTGCAGAGAGTGAAATGATTATAATCCATTGAGTATCAATTGTGAGAATGTTGATTTGAATGGTACAAATGAAGTTATGAACACTGATCATAACATAGATGATCATTGCCTATTGGTAATGCATGTATGATATATATATATAAACTTTATTTATTTTACAACAATTGCGAAATAAGTTATGTCAACTCAGGGCTCTTGATCTGCCAGATTTGGGGCCGATATTCGGCCCCATTCCCAATGCAAAATAGTATCTTTTTTTTCCCAATTTAGACCCCAAGTTCTCCCAATTCTAAGGAAAACACCATTATTTTTCCCAATGCTAAGGGCCCCGGGCCCCAGTCCCAAAATGGGGTGTGAGAGTCCTGCAACTTATACTTGTCACTCTTGTTGACCCAGATTGTAAGCGCGCGAGGGGTCTTCTTGTGGGAGGAAACCGGAGTACCCGGGGAAAACCCACATGGTCGGGCAGATGACCCCTTACCTTTTCACGTCCGTTCCGGGAATCGAACCCCGGTCGACTAGGTGAAAGGCGAGTGCGTTACCACTGCACCACCCACCCACCCATGCATGTATGATACTGGTATAAATATTTGACCTGAATTGATAAAGGTGAATTTAGAAATGTATTGTACATAGTAGACTTTAGCATGTCACTAAATGATAATAGACATGATGAGATAACACCAGGGTACATACAGTATATGTATATGTGTGATATGCATTCTAGTTATCCTTTGTTGGTTGTGTCAAGAAATCGGGATGAAGATCCAGAAATACTTGTCTATCATTCTGGAGTGCTAAGTTAAATACACTGGACATAAGATTCAGAAATGTCATTCTATCATCGAGGTGTGGATCCTATAGAACAATATCGTCAGAGAGAACTTCAGACACAAAGAAATACAGCTAGAAACGGTCATGCCTCAGACCTGTGGCGTAAAGCTAGAGATGGCTTATTGAAAAACAAAAAGCATGTTCAATTTGATAGGGATCATGCAAGTAATCAGCATGGTCCCTTCACATATAGCTCTAAACTAAAGGATGTGGTTACCTCAAGAGCCACACCTCATACTTCAGCTGGCCATCGTCATGGCGTTGACCTCTGGCATATGGCTAGAGCAGGCATTCTTAAAACCAAAAGGGATTTCAAAACTCATAGCAATAGCTGGGAGTGAGTATAATTTTCTTCTTTTTTTTTTAACAAGGGAATTAGATGGTGTTAATTTTAAAGTGTAATTCCATTGCCGTAAACCATACCTTGGATGAATACAATACAATAAAGTGTGTACTGTTAATCATAGTATTATGCCATGTTTCACTTTTAAAATGTGTGTATATTTTTATTATATATATGCAATATAATACTCTTAGAATCCCAAAATATGGAGTGTCCTAAAGTTTCACATTCATTTTAAACAAAAATGTTTCATTTAGTAACCAATGTGAACAGCATAATATGCTTGTGTACTGTTATGTTGTGATATGCTGAAAATGAAGTCTATATGAAACTTTCCACATTTCAAAAATTGGGCAAGTGAAATTGTACTCAGCAAAAATTCTAAATAATTGACCACCATATTTGACATCACATCTGACACTGTGGCCATCTCATTGGCAATTTACATAGTTTGTTAGGGACAGTTCACTCAATTTTTCCAAACAGTGATCACGAGTACATGCTAGAAATCATTAGTCTAAAAACCTACAAAACCTATTGTCTAAATGATGAATTGAGCTCTACAACTGTTTAAGGATTTAAAATTCATTTTGATGTTCTGTTTTCCCAGACATGCTTAGTTGATGGCTGACAGGTCAGGTGATTTTGATGATCGACATCAGAATATTATTTTGTTATGATAGTTCTGCTGAAGCAACTGATGAACTTCTGATAACTCCAATTCTCTCATTGGCTTACGTTAAATGACGCAAATTCTGCATCTTATTTTTTTGTCTCAATCTGTTATGTAGGTAGATGCTGGCCTCTTTAATTACACATTGTGATGTATAAACTGTGATTGATACATGTACATGTGTATATACAGTACCAAGTGTCTGATCTCCAATGGAGAGAAAGTAAAAGAATTGTTATAGAGACAAAGGGAAATACTTTGTCTTTGAAACTAGTGGGTATACAACAGCTACAAAAACGTCCAAGGAAATCAGTTTTAAACAATGCCTTAGAAATTCTTTTTATATATAGCTCACCTGATCCAACAGTGAATTTAAGCATTTATCCTGTTTCCTGATGTGAGCATGTTTTCAGTTTAGACAAGTTTTGATACCATTCTTTCAAATTCTTTTTACTCCTTGCCTTGGATATTACTGTGATTGACTATATTTGGCACAGGAGTAATGTAACACAGTCATCTTACACCTCTATAAGGCAACTGGAGTTCAGTTCTCCAATTAGAAGTAAGAAGGTATATGGGGTTATCTGCTTGACTGCATGGTATAATTTGGTTCATACTTTTTAAAAACAAAATCAGAGTGATATTTTTCATGCATCGCTTTTGATTTTTGCAATGCAGATAAAAAGAGACTGCTCTCTGGTAACTGAGTTTATATATATATATATATAATCATGACCAGTAATGGCCTTTGCATGACTTCTTGACTTTACAGAAATAGCAGAATGAGTTTATAACACTTATGTTAGAATGTTGTCAAATGACAGATTTAAAGAAAACAAAGTTACAAATGACACCAGTATCACCTCACAACACAAAATAAGTGTTGAAGTGCATCATACAAGTGTTTGTGATTTAATGTAACTTTTAAGTGATGCTTGTATATTTGACAAGATCAGAAAATTTATAACATAGGCACAAACAAATGCTTGAAATATTGATGTACTTTAATAAGTAGTGTTGCAATAACCACATGCATATACAGCACTTGTGAAATTCCAAAAGTTTTGTTAATGTTTCAAGGTTGGATAATTCTGGGGAAAAAAGAAGATTTTTTAATTCTAAATTGCGCCACTATATGAATTTCAAATAAATTGATAAATTAATTTTAACACTGAATGATATAAATTGTAATTCCAGAAACATTTATGATAGATGAATTATGTATTTATAATACAACAATACAATGTATCACCATTAGTTCTTCACCCACAGGATCTATAAATGACTCAATTTTGTGTAATGATATCTCAACATCAGTCAAAGTGTGTTGGTATCATCAGTTGAATGTGTCAATAATACTGGCATTTGTGTGTTAATTCAAACTTATCAATCAATATCCTGCTGTATGAATCACCACACAGCGTGCATTGTGTCTTTGTTATTCAAAATACTGTGATACTGGTAGAATTGGATGCACAGTGCAGACTACCTCCTTTAAAATTAAAGAATAGCATCAGTACGTAATTTCTGAAAGCTGAATTATGCTACAGAAATTTTCCATTCTTAAGGCATCCTTGTATTTATTGCATAAATTTATATATACCAGTGAACTCCGTTCAGTTTGTCAGCTGTTTTGTCAGTACAATATGTATATATATGATGCACACATACATTGACAAAACGGAGTATTGTTTTATTGCAGTTTTCTAAGCCATTTTTTTGGCACATGTATGAAAAAGGCCAGAATTCCAGCCTCAGTCATGAATATTCCATTCAGCTACTTTAAGCGTGTGCTCTGTGATCTCTAGTGATTCATTGGAATTCCCATCCCAGCATGTGAAACACACCTTCACAAATGTACACATACTCAATATATGGATTGATCAGCATCCATGTACTGCAGTTCAACAGTATTATACTGTATTTTTTTATGTCCATGAGTTGAGTTCATACACGGTAAGTATAGTATGAAAGCTTTGTTGCAGCTAAAGTGTATAAAGTAATCATTGTCGAGATGCAGTAATGACCTGTTGAAATGTAAAAATTGTTTACTGTGTAGCTTTTGATCAGATACACCAACTGTCTGTCTACGGTGTCGAGTCACTGCATGGTATCCATAGACTCTGATTTCTTTAATAGATCATTACATGATCTTAGATACCCTTGCATGTTACATATTAATGGAATTATATAAATGTTTGCTAGTAAGTGTACAAAATATTAATTGAAATTTGGCGTTTATATCATTGATAATCACTAAATAGTAAATCAGGAATATGTCATTACACTAGGAAGTCATGAAATGGCCATCTATGTGACTTAATTCATAAATCTTATGTTGCTTTCTGGATGTATATTAGCTCTCTGGATTTATAGTTTTTGATATAGAAAAGCAGAGGTTAGTTTCTTACATTTCAACTGCCTCAACAAAGGTGAATTCAAAGACTAAAGGTATTAATTTTCTTTCATATGCCTCTCTATAACAATATCAAGAAGTTGTATGCCTTATTGTGTTAGCTACTTCATGAGTTGTACATGCATAAATCAGAACATTAATAGATATTTTAAATACTTTGATCCAAGTTTTTGATAACAGCATAACCAATGTACGTGTTTTCCTGATTATAAGCCGCTGCTTTTTACCTTGGCGGTCAGTTGTGCGGCTTATATACTGGTGTGGCTTATATGAGGACGGATGAATAAAAAACCCCACTGAAACGTATTGTCTAGACAGTGGTTTCGCAATGTTTTGTATTTCGGATCGGCCGTTTTATTGACGAGAATCACATGCACTAATGACCTGCGTGACTTTGCACCCTGATAATTTTGGTTGCTTTTATATGTCCCGCTTCCAGAAAGAATAAAAAAAAAATAGTGATTTAAACCAAAGATATCGGTACAACAGTGACATCGGTTCAAACCAAACAAGTTTGATAATTGCTATTTTATGTTTTTGAAACATTTCAATAAGATACAGGATTATCTATCTATAATTCATATGTGAACTTATATTGAATGTTTCACTGACAAGATGATCTTTACAAATTGCCTTCCATTGTCTGTTATATTAAAATCAACAAACTTTGATTAAGATAATAGTTACCATATCATAGGAGAGGGTGTGGCTTATATTCTGATGCGGCTAATATGTGAATCAAATAAAAAAAAAATCTTTGAAAATTGGCTCTGTGGCATACATACCCCTGCAGTTTATAACCTGGAAAATATGGTTTATGATAAATTATATAAAAGTGGGTTTTTGGCCAATTCACTCTGTTCCCTTTTTAAGGCTTTCTATTTTGATGAAATTAAATAAGAAAAAACGACATTTTGTACCTTATGACATAGCTGATATATTGATAATAATAGAATACCTGATACATTAATAACAGAATTTGAGATCTAGCAAACAACAGAACAAGTATATATATATAGTATCAAGTTATAAAAGCCCTCAGTGTGACATGGCTCTAATTACATGTAGTTAAATCTGTGGTTCTGTGTTGATATTGTCCAAATATTTAGGTCAATTTCCCTGTATTATTAAGCACTTGTACTTTGTACTGGTTGATTTTGCCAGGTCAGAAATATCCTGTGATCTGTCTTCTCAATTACATTGACTTTTCACAGATTGACCGAGCAGTAATTAGTAAGGCATGTGTAGTTTTGGTAATTCTGTAAGGTTGTGGGGCAAGTAACTACAGATAGAGTGTCCCACTGTTCAATCTTAACTTTTTATCCTGGTATCAGTTTATCAACTACAGCCTAGCTACTGGGCCAACATCTGTATTTCTACTCAAGTATTCCAAATATCTATGTATCTAGACTAGTGCTGATACTGTACAAAGTTTTGTACATATATTATAGCTAGTTTGATTTCTTACAGTACTGCATGTACTTATATTATGATTGGGTTGGCAAGACAGAAGTACATTGTACCTATATACATGTCAGAGTGTCAGTACAGGTTGATTGGCATTTTTTTGTTTGCCTAATTGACAAACACATATCTATTTTCCACTGTTCTAGATATGATCTGTAATTGATTGACCATGTTCAGGTGTACTTGTTGAAAGCTACAGGGTAGGCTAGCTCTTGGTATATATATCCAGAACAGGAAGGGAAGACATGGAAGAAAAACATAAAGCATTCTCTTTTTTTTTACTTTATATACTCAGTATGTTATTTCAAACTAGCTGAAATTTGGACACTCATCATTCAATAGCTTTACAATTTTCCTTTCGTTTCAAGTGTAATTTATGGGGAGTTAGCTATAGAAAATTATATGCGCAGGGTAATTGATATAGATGTACAAGATTCCAGTCATGATCAAAAGTGATTTCTTTTTCTTTATGGCTTGATGACTGCTATATACATATATAGGTAATTACTCGATGTTATATACATGTATATCAGAAAACACATAGAAAATTAAATTGTAATGAAGATTTAATTAATTCAATATAAAAAACAAGAGAGTCTTCCTGTATTTGCTCTTGCATGTATGAACTTCCTTTACATATATAAATGTTGTATGTATTATCATGTTTTGCATCAGTGATCACATTTAATTTTTAATTCTTTTATTTTTTGACAAGATTTTACATATTACATAATATTCAAGAGAATCCACACAAAAACATACACCCACACTCTCACACTTGTGTGCTCTGACTTGACTATGTCTTACATATATATACATGCACCATCATCATCATCATCATCATTATCATCTTTATCATCATGCACATGTATCTACTACTTACTGTATACAAACTCACTCATCACATTTAATATTTCCAGTGATGTAAAATCATATATGTATACACTTGTATATACTTGTATTTTTAGCTAGTTTAAACTTACTTTGTCATCCTTGCATTATCAGAGGGTAGGCTATTCAGAATGCCCTATATCTGTGGTCTAGCTTCTGTTTAATTAATTTTAATTAATTTGGTTTTTGTTATTTTTTGGGAAGCACCAGAATGATCTCACTCAAATTTTACATATACCATAGGTTTCCTTGGTCTCTAGTTGAGCCCGCTATATTTAGGTACAGATCAGAAAACAAAATGACTGACAGGCGAGCATCTTGGATTTGGCACTTTAAGATTATTATCACTATATCTTCAGAGGATGTTCATATTTTATATAATTAAGAGCAAAAACAGAGGGGAGAAGGGAATAGATCCATCTTTTAAAGAACAGAAAAAGATCAAACAATGATGGGCACCAATTAAAAAACCCTCTGTACTGGCACTGTTATTCAATGATTGTTCTTCATATTTTTCAGGACAATGACCACGGCGGTGAATGTCTTCAGCACAAGTGCCACGTCTGATAACCTTAGCAGACATGACATGCTTTCATGGGTCAATGATAATCTTCAAACAAGCTATTCAAAAATAGAAGAATTATGTTCAGGTAATTAAAGAAAGTCTACTGTTTGTAAATATGTGTGTATTAAATATTTGGTGTTAATCAAGTGGGCCAATTTTTTCAAAGCAACAAGTATTGACATATAAAGATAAAATGTCTTTAAATTCTGGTGTACAATATTTCAAAATATAAACACACATGAATATTAAGTTCTGTACCTGATAAGGTTGTAGTTGACCAGTTGTCAGTATAAATGGCTAAAAAGTCTGACTAAACACAAACCAAAACCAATGATGTATATGTGTGATAAGTTTTATGTAATGATGTCATAAAAGAAAAAAATGACTGCAACTATTGACTAGACAATGAACTTGGTAAACAACATCATTAATAATGTTTTCATTTTGGTAACAGGTAGTGTGTACTGTCAGTTCATGGACATACTGTTTCCAGGTAATGTATTACAGCGTAAATTCATAATCCTATTATCACACTTGGACCATTCTATTTTAAGTTTTTAGGACTATTTCAAAATATTCTTTAACTCAAAATGACTTATTATGCATAAAGTATATCATAAATTTTGATTGTGTCATGTACATGTTCTAAAATATATTGCTAGCTATAACTGCCATAATCTGGAAAGTTTATATTGATGGTGACCATACTCAAAAGGGGAAAGGTATGATAGTAATAATTAAGGTATATTATTTTACATGTACTTTAGCAAATTACAACAAAATTATGTAGCAAGTATGTGGGCCCTTTGAAAATTAAAAATGTCTTGCTTTTCAATTGGAATATTGTCAAATGATTTCACTGATAAGAATCTATCAGACATCGATACATGATGACCTAGAAATTTCAATATTTTCAAAGATCTCACAGACTTCATTGGAAGTTTCTGAGTCTGCTAGATTGCTGATATATGTGTAGACATTTTGGAGTTGATTATTCATGCAAGCCTTGCTGTATTTTGACTTTGTTTACCTTGTTGATTTTAAATGTCTACATTTTTTACAAAGGAAACATACACCAAGCCTTCTTTACATGAATTTAAATACACTTAATCCTTGAAACTGTTTTGAATTCATTTATGTTAAAGGGACTAAATGGTTAGATTTCATCTTTTTTTTTTTTTTTTTTTTTGGACTTTGGCCAAGCATTGGAATACCAGAAATCAGCCAGGTTACAGAATTATAAAAATATAATGTCTGTTGCCATTTGTTGATTTGATCAGAGATATCTTAGGATAGTCTGCTTTCAATTTAACATTTCATGTTGGTTGATCACAGTATTGCATTAGGTATGCTAGGCTTTTAATTGCAGATTATACTGTACACGTCTTGTTTACAATTTTTACGTGAACCTGTTTACAAGACTGTCTGAAAAATGTGTTGCTGAATATTTTGCATATTCATAATAAGATGAAAATACAATAATGTAGGCTGCACTTATCAACCTACAGACTCAGTGAAATATGGAGTCTTGCCCAAGATTTATTTAATGGGAACTTCGTCATGTCATGTCACATGACAGTGAAAACATTGACAATGAAATTGATTAGTTTGATCAATCATAATTCTGCAAAATAGTAATGATGTTGACACAGATCCTGGTGTGTCTGATACACATCAAGAAGAAAATGATGATGTTAAACTTGAATCATAAAAAATGAAAAAAAAAATATGATAATACAAACCAAAATCAACGAGGTAAAAAGGACAAAATCCTTAAAGAATGAAGTAAAAGTGAAAGCTCCTGAAATTTGTAGAAAATAAATGTATCAACATCAAATTAGATAATCTAAGTATAAGAAAAAATGATCACATGTAAGTTTCAACTCCATATTGCAATATCATAATACAAATGAAATTGTACTCATTTAGCATCACAACTGTGTTGTCACTTTTTATTATTGAACACTTTAAAGTCTGTAGGACATTTTATAGTCATCACTAAGGTCAACTGCTAGCTATCTAGGCTATTTGTAGCTTAGACTGAATTTTACACCACTAAAAGACTCAACTACACACATATACCTCCATGGAAATGATATAAAGTGAATGAAAATTATATGATAACAAAAATTCATTTGAAAAGTTTATGCAAAATTTCATACAAAACAACTCTTGGCTAGTGTAGAGTTAGCTTTTTATGATGAAATCTGTCTAGAGCTTAAAAACTGTTCATAAGCACGGACAAAAAAACAATGAAGAGTCTGAAAGATTACATAGATGCCTGTTTAGTCATAAGCTCATAGGCTAATTATGAATTTACATCGTGTGGAACATTTTTAAATGCTTGAAACGCTAACAGGCCGATATGATTTTTTTTTCTTATTTCCTGTTATATCGCGAGGACTCTTTTTTCTGTTGAAATGAAACCAGCCATTGATTGTATGTGTAAATTGAAGGCGTGACTGGTTTACATTTTTACTATAAAATAAAAATGTTGAGATCTTCTTGGATTTTGATGCATATATTGAATATATAGAGGTATAATTGGAAAGAGTAATGAAACTCACAGCTCATAGCTGCACGGGTTTGAAAGATTGCCTGTTTGATAATGAAGCTTCAAAGTTGTTTCAGAAACAAGGAGAGACCTCTAAATAAACAGAGACTCTCAAAGAGACACAGGCCTATAGCTCAAATTCTTCTTCATAGTTGTCACCATCATTAATACTGATGATTCTGGTGAGGCTATAGTGATCTTTTGGTCTCTAGGCAGACACTCTATACCACTAGACTTAAGACAAATTCCCTCTAGCCAAGGCTAGAGACATGATCATTTGTACCCATAACTTCTACAACTTGTGGTGTCTGTAGGACTCATCAGTTTAAAACATACACATTGTGTCTGAGAAGTAATAAATGTGCAGTGCTCAAACAAGCTGATGAAATGTTATCGGTAACTATTGTGTAAGGTACATCTAAAGAATAAATGAAAAAGAACAGTCAATTTGATGATCAAGCAAGTGATGGATCAGATGTCAGTAGCTGTGTGACCAATCACTAAAGATCATATGCCATTCCATACCTAAATACCACTTCTTTATTTCTTTATTTCAATACACATCATACGCAGCATCTATGAGTATCCTGGACACTTTGACTTTTAAAAGTCACATAAATCAATTCATATCCGATAACTGAAAATTGACACATCTGAAAGAAAGGTGAACATGATATGTCATTGGTGTTGAGGTAATTGTAAACAATATTCATATAGAGACTCCAGATGTCGTTATGTTTAAATGTGTAACTTTTGTGATCTCCAGAAGCACCTACCACACTTCAACATTGTTATAAGGATTGTAGAAGTGGAAATCAAGGCTAGTGTATTGTTATAAGGATCCTAGAAATGGATAGTAAGGCTAGTGTCTGCGCAAGTGTTTAACAATTAGGCCCCAATGGAATATTTGGGCTTTTAGGTCATCTGACCCAAAGGGTCAAGATGACCTATAGCCATCATGCTTCATCCGTCGTCGTCCGCCGTGCGCCGTCCGCTTTTCATTCAAACAACTTCTTCTCAAATACTGGAAGGTCTAGGGGGCTAATACTTGGCACAGAGGATACTGGCATGGAGCTCTACCAAGTTTGTTCAAATGAATGACCTTGACCCACTTTAAAGGTCACAGGGGTCAAATATGTTAAAATCTTTAAACAACTTCTTTTAATTAACCAAAAGGCTCAGAGTGTAGATATTGGGCCTGTGACATGCTGGGATGAAGTGCTACTAAGTTTGTTAAAGTGAATGACCTTGACCCACGTTCAAGGTCACAGGGGCCAAATATGTTAAAATCTTTAAACGACTTCTCCTCAATAACCAAAAGGCTCAGATTGCTGATATTGTGCCTGTGGCATGCTGGGATGAAGGGCTATCAAGTTTGTTCGAATGAATGACCTTGAACAACTTTCAAGGTCACAGGGGTCAAATATGTTAAAATCTTTAAATAACTTCTTCTCAAATACTAGAAGGCTTAGGGGGCTAATACTTGGCCCATAGCATGCTGGCATGGAGCCCTACAAAGTTTGTTCAAATGAATGACCTTGGCCCACTTTCAAGGTCACAGGGGTCAAATATGTTAAAATATACAAACGACTTCTTCTCAACAAGCAAAAGTCCATGAGTGCTGATATTGGGCCTGTAAGATGCTTGGAGGAGAGGCTACCAAGTTTGTTCAAATGAATGACCTCAACCCACTTTATAGGTTTGGCTTGCTTTTTGTCAGATGACCGTTAAGGCCCATGGGCCTCTTGTTTTTTTTTAATTTTGTGTATGCACATTGACATTGTTGACTACTTACCAAAAGATAATGATGTGAATTTAAGCATGGGTCATTTCAATTTCATTATATATTTTTTCACTTTTTTCAATAACTGTTGGTGTATACTTTTAACTTTTATAATTACCAAAAATATCATAACTTTAAAAATACTTTGAGATGTTGTAACACTCTTTTATAAAATGTGATGTTTAAATCCTAACTATTTAGTCCCTTTATGTAATTTTTGGCTTTGTAGCTGTCTTTGTCTTTATATGTAAACACCATGTTGATTTTGATGAGTAAGGATTATTCAGAGTCAGTTGTTGTATACGATAATGAGTATCTGGGGAAAATTTTGTTCGCATTTGGCATTTCCATTTTGTGGAATCAATAGGTATAAGCAAGGGAATTTTAGTGTTGCTGTATTTTTTACTGTGTAATGATGGACATAAAGACAGATGTTATTACCTATCAGACAAAAGTTTCTTTACAAGGTCCATACATGATCCAATAAGACTTACATCGATATTATGATTAGATCTATGAGCATGCTTTGATGGTGCTGAAATTCTTTGAGATGACTATTGAAGAAAGTTGTACAGTATTTGAGATGTGATATAGCAGTATTCAGTAATAGTGATATAGCAGTATTCAGTAATAGTGATATAGCAGTATTCAGTAATAGAGTTTTATCGATTAAACACACATTTGTTAAAAAGTAGAAGTAATTATGAAACCTGATCTGGTTAACTCAAAAAGCAGTTATTAAGTAAATTTTTTGGTTTATTAATTGAATTATTATTGAAGTCAGCCTTTTATTGTCCCTCTTGATAAATGATGTAACAACTTAATATAACACTTATTTAGTTATAAGACCATATCAAAAATTTATGAAGCTGTATTTTCTTATATCCATTACAATTCAAATGTTCTAAATCATTATTTTAAGTGCAAGATTTTATAATTCATCGATATGTTTGGTGATGGTCATGGACATATGGTCCCAATGCTGAACAGCTGAATCTATACACTGCAGGCTTAAGGTCATATGGTGATTCTAGGTTGAAAGGCAAGGCAAGGAAAAATCCTTGTCCAATGGATTTGCGCCAACAAAATCTGGCTTGTCGAGGCTTGTGCTAAACATAATTGTATATCTTGTTGATATTATTATGTAAGGACAAGGATTTTTTCAGACCCTAGTCCTGGTCCTTCGATACCTGTTCTTGTTTTGATATTTGACTCATACCAGTACACATACAACTGTTTTTCATCATTCTTATGTTTGTTCTGACCTGCAATGTTTCAAGTATTTTATCATAATGATGAATGCATTTGAATTGAACTTAAATTTATTCTTTCATAGAAACTTCAGTTAGGTCTACCTCAGACAGGTTATACAAAATATCTTTTCGTTTAAGGTAACTTTTTAGCTTGACTGTTTAAAGAGTCAATAATACAAAATATTTAGGCAATGGTTTATAAAGCATTATTTCTTTATTACATATTTTAGTGTCTAAAAAAAAGTATGGCATTGTATACAGTCGATTTATCTTGTAAGCCTGTTACTGGCATGTTTTATGATGTGATCAATATCCCATAGTTCTGATGTCCCTTGAAGTAATTCATTGGAATTGTCTCACAGGAGGATTGAGACATCCCTGTCCACAGGACAGACCCATGTTTGATTTTTTTCTCACATACTTCACAAATAAAAGTGATAAAAAATTGCAAGTTGATGTAAAACTTATTCATAGCATCATAGTCATTGTTAAATTGAGTACTGTCATAGCACAAGTTTGCTCTCTTTATCTTTTTTATCTTTTCCTTAGTAAAAACCATAATGCAATTTTGGAGTATGGGAGTACTTTTTCTATGCCCCACCACTTTAAGGAGGTGTATATAATGTTAGCCCTGTCTCATTCCAAATCAATGGCATATTTTTTCAGGACTTGACAGATTTGGTTCATATTTATCTCTTACAAGTGTATCATTACAACAAGGTCTACACCATATAATATTGAAGCAATCATCAGTCAAATCAAGGTTAAAGGGTCAAAGGTCACATTTGACAATTTCTGCAAATTATTCATACTATAATACTGATGTACATGGCAGCTGGGGCATTCATGTCTTAGTCATTTTCTAGTTTGAAATGATTTGATTAATTATCAATGAAAGTTTATAGAATGAGAGGTTGAAATTGAACTAGTACATTATGTAGCTTATCTGTTTATGCTGTTTTGACTTGTGATTTCCTTGAAATTTCTTTGAATAGGTAAAATTAATATTATATAACTACTCTTGTAATAATCTGTTTGCTGCATATACATGTAAAGTGTGTCATAATTGTCATCAAATGTAACTTGATTCATTCATATTTCAGGAAGTCTCTCGATGAAAAAAGTAAAATTCGTTACTAAATTAGAACATGAGTATATAGCGAATTTCAAGCTGCTGCAAAATTCTTTCAAGAAAATGCATGTGGACAAGGTGAGATGAGAGAAAACAACCGACAGGAGGAGTGATCTGACACAGAACTTTCCTCCAACGTCTCTTAACAGCAGCCTATTTGCCTTAACATCATCTCCGCTTACATGTACACATTGCCTTGTTAAAATCATGTTGAATTTGCCATATAGTTTACATCAGAGTTTGTAAATGTATGGAGACATGGATGATTTTAAGCAAGATAGTCCTGGTTTATATACATATACACTGATATATGCCACAACTATTTTTATGTATCAAAAAAGTTTTCAAAAATTCAAAGGTTCACTCACAAAATACAAGACATCAGACAAATTAATGAATTTCATATAAATTGGCATAAGATAGAGTTGGCATTGTTGATATGTTTATCAACCAAAAACTTTAAGCTAGTGATGGGTAGATAATCAGATTTTATTAATTTGTTAATGAGCAAATGAAAAAATTTTGTAATTGAATTTGATAGAATTCAATTTTAAATGTTTATGAACTAAATACGTAAAATATAAAAAAAATGTTTTCCCTTTAAGGCAATTATTATTATATTGATCTCCCATCACTTGATTAAACCATCATTGTTCTTGAGCATGTAGGTACAATTGGTCACACTAGTTGTATGCATGGGCTTTTTGATTTGATTTGGTAAAGGGATAATTAATAACTAAAAAATCATTAATATTGTTTTCCTTTCAGCAGATTGACTGAGTTTTGTGCCTCCATGTTTGCCTGATTTGAAAAAGAAAACAATGATTGCTGGTGAAACTTTTTAAAACAGTATTGAGAAAAAATCAAATCTCCTTTTGCCATTATTCTTTGAAAATATCTCGTTAATGATTATTTTCATACAGATATGTTACACTAGCAATCATTTCTACTATAGTTTTTCTTTCCCTATCATCCTGTATGTATTCATCCCAACTCTTGTATTCTGCACCGGTTCAAATATATCTTCATATATAGGTATGAATCTGTGTAGAACAGATGCTAACGGAATTATTCAAAGCAAATTTTATTGCCAAGCTTTTACGTTTTTTAATTTGTTTCAGGAAATATACCTATGAAGCAAGTGAAATTCAATACAAAACTAGAACATGAATATATACAGAATTTCAAAAGACTGCAAATCTGCTTTCAAAAACTGGGTGTTGATAAGGTGAGTGGCAAAGGTCATGACCCTTGACCTGATGTCATCTCCATAATGCCACAAATTCACCAACACATTGGTTGTTCAGTTGAATCATTGTCTCTACTCCCAGATTTGTCTCTATGCCCAAATTTGCTTTCTTACACAGTTTGTCTGCTTGATATTAATTATAATGTGCATTATTGTGTGTAACTAGTGGTTTTATCTTCTTCATGTTTTGTATCATGTAAAAAAACAAAGCAGCTTTCAATATCACTTAATTTTGTAATACTACTTCAATCATAAAGTATACATCACATTAAAGAAATATTTTGGATTCATCTTCAAAGCATTTTCCATGCAACAAATGAAATGATCCAAACTTCTTCAAATCTGTCTGTACATGTTTTATCATAACATGTAACAGCCATCTAAAGAAAAAAATCTGTTATTAGATACCCAGTATGACCTGTAACTTTTAGATGATACACATGTATTAATAGTTTTAAAACAGTGTTACTATTCATACATGACAGTCTGTAGATATAAATCAACTTCATAAATAAATTGTTATTATATTAATGAAGAAACTACATACCTAATATTTGTTCTGAACTTCTCTTAAAACTGATTTCATTATTTTGGGAAAGTAAAGTCTGCAGATGATCTGTGATGCTTTATATAGATATAGGTGTCACAAATGCATTCAATCTACAAATGCCATAATTTTTCATAAATGTCCATCCTGAAACTTGGTATGTTTGTTGTATTATGATATAACGATATATATTTTTTTAATAATTCACATCTTCATGCCACTATAAGTGCATACCAAGGTAGCTTGTAAAAGGTTAATTATACTCATATTTATGTTTCTGTCACAAAGTCATGATACTTGATTGAATGTCTTCTTACATGGGTACATAATTGCTATTGTGTTTGCTACACATCTGCACTTTCTTCCAACATATGCAAAAACAGAAAAGTACATACCAACTTCTGTGATTACTTAATTAACAGCCTTTTGTTGTTTGTTACAAATCTTGTCAAATTTGGTTTGGCATCATCTGTCCATAAGCCATTGACATTTTCAACTCTTAAAAACAGAGAGATCAAAGTTGAACCAAACTGTGATTTAAAAAATCTACATGCATCCCCAGTTAAAAGTCCCTAAGGGGAAGGGCCAAATTTACTCAAATTTCAGTAATCTTCTTAAAACACAGATATGGTAGATTCTGTTTATGAATGGAAGGATCTTAAGGTGCTTTGCTAAAATTGTTAATTTTAATACTCCATGATATCACAGTTTTCTCTTATGGAAGAATAGTTTGGCTTATCAAATAGTAAATATAGGAAAATAACAGTTTGAGAACATTTTGATAAATTTCCATCAGAAATTTAGTAAGGGTTGGCAATGTGTGGTTTGCTTATTTTGACTGAGTTACTCCATGGGTTTTGAAGGACAGAGCCAAAAGGGATCAATTTCACTGAGAATTAAAAAATCTTATTTTCAAGGCCCTTTACATATATATACCCAAATTGGTCTTTATTACTAATGTTCATGTAGGCAAAGAATATGTACTAAAGTAGATCCTGTTTAATTTGCATTGGAAATTATTCCAACTTGGTAATGATTATTAATATGTGAAGACAGTGTCATATTTTGCATATTTTAATTTGACTGACCCCCATAAGACTCCAGGGGCAGGGACAAAAGAGATCATACTAGTTAACACTTAACAGCATTCTCCTTCAGTTTCATGAATGCTGAAATCAAAATGCTGTTCATATCTTAATTTGTGTTATACTAGATATATCATTCAGCAGTTGTATTGTTTTTGATATGTTCAAATATTTCAAAAAAAAAATGTTTCCTTTGTATAGTAACATTACATGTATCAAGTTGCTATGATCTTCCTGTAATAACAAGTGATTTCAACAACAACAAATACTACAGTTTTTATAGAACTCTGATGTTTGTTTAGGACGTCAGGGCCCCTTGTGTGTTTTGTGATTGGGAATACACTTTATTTTAACAATCAGAATTTCAGTAAAAATTAAGAGATTTAGAAAATTATAGACCATGAACCGGTGAGTGAATAGTTACTAGTATGCAATCTATGCATGTTTCACTATAACATTCTCATTTCCTGATCTAGGACTATTATACATAATTCTCTGCATGTTGTTTGATGACTCATCAGTTTTTTCTGGTATCACAATTATACAACTGTATTTACCCTGTTAAAAATCCAATCACTCCAATTTTTCCTTAACAGTCAGACAGATCAATATTTGAGATGAAGAAAAAGTTAGCTGTGAATACTGTTTTACCAAAATTGGTTGTTCTTTTTTACATACAAATTTTATGTTTAGTCAAAAGGTAATTGTAAATTTGAAGTGGCCTTAATTAGGATTTTTTCACATGTATTCAAGAAGTAATTGTAAATTTGAAGTAACCTTAATTAACAAAAAAATTATGGCAAATTCTTAAACTTTGGTCTTGATGAAGGAAACTTTTTACACACAAAAACCCCACTAACAACACTATACACACATATATATATTTTAGCTAATACATATATCTTTCATTAGTACCATTATAAAACCATTATTTTATATGAATTTATTTCAAGCTTATACTCTATGTATGTGCTGATGATAAAAAAATTGCTATCATAATAGCTGTGGTTGATAATAAGTAATCATAATGAAAAAAAAAAAAAAAAAAATTAAATATACATTCCTAAGTGCATTGTAGAATTATTTTTCCTATCTCTAATTTAGTGGCTTAACCTTCATAATATTGAATGGGTACTGGATGCAAGTAATATAATAAAACCAAATGATTTTTTTTCCAGATTTTAAAAAGTTTGAACAAATATGATTTCATTAAGTGTATTATAAGATGAGTCATTTATGTAGAATACTATTTTCACTTGATGGACCCTATTATCCATTTCAAGTGGCTTATGAATATAAAGTACCGGTATTAATTCATGATCAATCAATTAAAACGTGATTTAAAAATTCTTATGGTGGCATAGTCATACCCAAGCAGATTATAAATTACATGTACAGTATTTTAAATTACATTTTTATTTCTTAATTTTCACATGAACTGTTCATAAGAGTTCAGTTACGCTCTATCAAATGAAGAAGTTAGGTCACCAGGACTGTTTCATTTACTATTTACAGATTTTGTGCTATTCTCACCTCACCATTATTCCATTTTCACTTATTAGGTTATTCCAGTAGAACGACTTGTAAAGGGACGTTTTCAAGATAATTTTGAATTTTTACAATGGTTTAAAAAATTCTTTGATGCAAATTATGATGGAAAAGATTATGACCCATTAGCAAGCCGGCAAAATCAGGCTATGGGAGCACCACCAAAAGCTGCAACACGGTCACCTGCCGCAAAGACATCGGCCAAACCAACTAGATCAGGTATTTGTATATTTATTTTTGAAACCATTCGTAAAATTAATGACAGCCAACACATCAGTTTCATGCCCAGTAATCAGTATTATTATCAATAATGATTGAAGTCTTGATTTCCTGTGACTCTATGATTGAATCTATTCATATACAGAGCAAACTCTTGATATATATTTGTATACATTCTATGATAACCTGTCCCTGTAATAAGGTGATTTATAAACTTGCATTACTGTAAGCCAATTATTCTTTGATGTCATAAATTTTCACAATTTTGACCGATGGATGAAGTAAATTTTTACCACACTATCATCAGATGGTGGGCTATTTTAATCTCCATACGTTTGCAGTGTAAACGATTTTTGTTATCACTTTTTCATGAGAAGTACTGGATAGATCTTTCAAATTTCATATATAGCTTCCCCTTGGTACCTAGATGTGCCTGTTTGATTTTGGGACTGATCAGAAAACAAAATAGCCAACAGGTGGCCATTTTGGATTTTTTTCAATAAAGTTTGTTATTGCTATTTCTTGAGTAGTACAGCATGGATCTTTCTCAAATTTCATATGTTTTATTTTGGGTCTGATCAGAGGAACAAAATGGCCAAGAGGTGGCCATCTTTGATTTCGCCAAGTAAAATTTGTTATTTCTATTTCTTGAGAAGTGCTTTATGGATCTCTCAAATTTCATACGTATGTACCTCTTGGTCCCTTTCAGGTGACCATCTTGGATTTGGCACTTAAGATTCTTATCATTTTTTTCTGTTATGGATTAATGTTCAAATTTCTTATCGTTAAGAGCAAAAAACAGAGAAGTGAAAAGAACAAGTAAAGATCAAACAATGGTGTGCACCAAGATCTCTGTGGGATCTTGTTTTCTGATGTCGTTGGCCCTCATATTTATTTGCCAGTTAAAGATATATGTATAGGAATATTACTCCAGCTGGCTGGATACATGTAATTTCATTGTACACATATCAAAAGCCAAACTTTTTATCAAAGAACATCAAGAAAGTACCTTCATGTCGATCATAGCATTCAAATGTTTATTATTTCAACAATTTCTCCTAATAGATCAATTAGATTGCCTATTTATAGTTAACAATAACCAGAATCTAGTTGTCACAACATTACATGTGTTCAAACTTGTGTTCTTTGTACATGTACTGTTCACACTAATGACAGTTTATGGTTTATAAGTTGCATTAAATGTAGCAAGTATATTCAAGAATCGGCTTTTCATGCACTCATTAAGAATTTTATGATACAGATATAGGTGTTATTACAAATGCCATTAAGAAATTGTTTCCTAGAATCACACTCAGGTAGTGTCCTAAATGGTGTATGAATCTGTTTGGTTCACCTGCAAATGTTTGATAATTTTCAATTTCGTAATGATACATGAATAAGAGCAAATATCACTTCAGCAATATCCTGCTGTACGTTATAATCCATGTCGTATGACTGAAGTTTGATTCTGTTCTATTGAATAAACCTTTATAACTTCATTAAAAAACTGATGGTAAAAAAAAACTGTATGCAATTTTCTCAGTATAATTTTGTTCATTTTCAGTTCCATCTGCTCAAACAAGAAGTCCATCTGGTTACGGTGTTAAACAGCCAGGAGCTCGTGCTAATAACCATGCAGCAGCTGGAGACAAGAACTCAGAGATGGTGTCAGATCTTACTCAAAGGGTAAGGAATAGGCAATTCAGTGCTCTGATTATCTCATTATCTAATACTGACTAACTTGTTTTGTGGACTGAAAAGGTTTAAGAGAGTAAGTGAAACATCTCTCATTTTGAATAAGCATGATTATAGTTATTTTTTGCTTTATTAAATATTTTTGAAGTCAAATACTGTTAAATCACCAAGAATGTATTTCAGTGAGACTCTGTTTTCTTGGTTTGTCAAAAAATACCTATGTTTTGAAACTTGATTTGGTGGATAAATATAGCTTAATATATCCAACAATACCAATTTTAACAATTTATGGACATGTAAATTTGTGGATTAAAAGTTCTCATGAAATCAACAAAAAGTAATTCTAGAGGAAAGTGAATGGTCTCACAGGAAATAATTTTTTATAACTTTGGTTTTGTCAGGGCCTTTGATTCTTTTATGAAAACCTATGCGCTCACAGATGTTGTGACTATTTCTTCAGACAGGTTAAAGACTGGCAAATGTAATGAAAGAAATCACCATAGAAGGGATGAGAGACCTTGTGTTTTATGGATACAACACAAAGATTTTTTTTTGTTTTCAGGTTAATGAATTACAGCTCACTGTAGAAGGTCTTGAAAAGGAGAGAGATTTCTACTTTGGAAAATTGAGGGATATTGAAGTGCTGTGTCAGGAACATGAAGATCATGAATATATAAAAGGCATTATGGAGATCTTATATCAGACAGAGGTTTGCTAATTTTCTTAGTACTGGTATATAATTTGGCATTTTACAAATTCAAGATGTCAGTAGAGATTTCTAATCTGGCTATGTTCTCACTGAGAAGTGAGAATTTTACTGTTAGAATTAGAGAAAACAGTATTGATTTAAATATCACCAACCACTACTCATCTAAAATCTGGTTATAGCCTTTCAAAATTAAGGGTGGCAGGGTTTTGTAAAGTCAATTAAAAGGACCTTTAATCAATTATGTTGTATATTATCACATTTGTATGTATCAAGAAGATATTCTATGTGAAATTTTGAACATTATTTGGACTAATTTGAATTTTAATCTAAAGCATAGAGATATCTCGTGATTCTAGTATATTCATGATTTAAGCAGGCGATAATATGGCCAGTGTTAGGTTAGCATTATGTTATTAGTTGGTGATGCTGAGATTTCAGCAGCTCCACTATGTTGGCCTTTGACCTATTGATTTCTCTTTGTTAACTGGGCACAGTGACTGCGACTGCAACATTTTAGCTTTATCAATGTGCAAAGAAATGTTGTTTTTTAACATATTCTGTATTCCACTCTGAAGAATGAAGAGATGAACTCTTATCTGTTATAGGAAGGCTTTGCTCCACCAGAAGATGAAGTTGGCAATGACATTGATAATGGAGAGGAAGAAGAATATTAGAAGACCATCTTAAAGACTGATGTATATATTATGTGGCCCAGCCCTCATTACATCTGAATTTTCAACTATTATGATAGTTTAATATTGGTTTGAGGTCTTGGAAAGGCTGTACCTAAGGAATGGTTACCTGAAGAAGCTGTACAGATTTCTTCAGATACACATACACTCATAGAACGAAAGGAAGAATGAATGCTAGGAAAGGATCTGTACCGTTGATGCTACAAGACATATTCAAAAGAATCCACTCTGATGTGATAATTGTTGGCCAGACATTTAAATAAATATGAGTCTAATTGTCTCAGCTAAGGCTTAAAATAGTGCTACCCATTCTTGTATGAATTAAAAAGTGTTATGAGTACACCTAGTGCTACAGTTTACAGACATTACATAACATTGTGTTTGCTGCATGATTTGTACTTTTTCTCAAAATATTCATGTTTTTGTATTAACAAAGATTGAGATCTGCATTCTTTAAACTTCTGAAAGTAAAGTGTTTTATTGCTGATTTCCTTTGAAAATCAAACGCTGGTGTAAATCCAACTTTTTTGCTCAGTTTAGAAAATTGATTCCTTTTCTTATTGTGAAAAGTGTAACCAATGCACATGCATTATTTCACTTCATAACCATGTCAGAAAATATCTTCAATGTCAGAATGATTGATTTTGATTGATTATGTGGATTTGTTCAAGTGACATAAATGACTTTGTAATCCAATGCAAACAAAAACAACACAACATTTTGTGGCTTGAAATTTGGGAAATGGGAAGTATTGAGTTGACATGCAAAAAACATTTCCATACTTGACTTTAAGTCCTCTGCTTTTCTAACAGATTTGTTTGGGTTTTTTTGTCTTTGGCTCCCTTTTCAACCGGATAATAAACATGGCATTTTATTTACTTATTTGTGTGTTAGTGTTCCATTGCCAGTTGTAAGAATGATGTCATAGTCAATGTACTTAACTATCAGTAGGATACCTGGAGATCTAATACCCTGGTGTATACAGAATTAAAAGTGATATCAAAACAATTAAGTCCTTCATTAATTAATTTTGAACTATATCCATCATACTCAAAAAGGTATACCCAATGATAAGAAAGTACAGGTAACTTTAAACCCCAATATACTCAACACTTGGCAAATTTACCAAATTCAGAAAATTTCGTAGAGAACTTCCACTTGATAATTAAGCAAAGATAAGATTAAAACATACTGAACTGATTAGTATGTATGAAGAAACACTTTATGAGGGTAACGAGACAAGTGAAAATTAATAAAAGTGGGTCCCATTTAAAATACAAACTGGTATTATATGACGATCAGAGGGCCATCAGGAAAAAAACACATGACCAATTTCATCACTGAAATGTACAGGTATAGTAGGCACATTTACAGTTAAAGTGCGATGTTGCTTGTGCTGCACGCTTTTCGTGACATATCGCAGGTGGAATGCAATTCAAGGGCTTGCTATGTAGTCTGAATAGGAGGTATTTGTGTTGTTAGTAAATAATGACCCCGTCATGGAAACGTCTAAACGATTTTCTGATTCTGGTTCAGCTATGATTGTAAGTGGAAGCATTTTCACAAAAAGTAAATTTCAACAGCTTTTATATTTATGCAAACACATGATATCGTCTCAGTTATTTCTCATATCAGTAAATCTATACTGTATCAACATAAATATTTTTTCTCTTCTGTCTTTTGGTGAAAGTTGCGTATATTGGGGCTTTGAAATGTTTTGAAACAATCAATTTTGAAGTGTCTCATAAAGAAATCCATTGCATATATACCTTTGTAGCCCTGAGATCAACTTTGAACAATAACTTGAATATTCACTATCAACAGTTACATGCAAATGTAGTTGAAGTGAAGTAGTGGGCTAATATGCTTCGGAGATTTTAGGTTCCTTGGGTTACCGCTCTGAAATATTTTTTTGTAGAGATGACTAAGTGAGGAAAGCATTACTTTGAGGGTGAAGCAGACTTCATGATAATTCAGTTTTTAGGTAGTTAAGTTGGTTTTTGTATTTTTCATACAGTTTTGCATGTCATTGCTACCCTAAGATCTGTTAATGGGTTAAAGAGACGAGATAAAGATTTCGATCTATCCATGTATTCAAAGTTATGTATAATGAAATTTTAATCAAAATTAAGGCATGATTATAATAGCTAATGTTACTGTATTTATGGTGTTGTACAATCATACAGGGTTCTTTAAATGAGCTCTCTAAAGTGCTTGATACATTGGAATACTGTAGATGTTCATACATTCAGAGCAAATCATAAGATTTTTCTGGGCTTTTTTTTTTAGGTAATGAAACTTGATACAGGCAAGGTTGATGTAAAAACTATTAAAAGTATGACAAACAAAGGGTGAAATTATACAGCATTAGCTTATAATATTTATAAAAGTATTTTATAATATGTAACTTTGCACTTGAAATATACTAGTATATTATTTCCAGCATGGTGAAGTTCTGTTTTAAATAAAAAGAAGGAGCATTGATATAGACAATGAATCTCGTTCTAAATTATTTCCAAAGTGTTATTGACTATCGTTGTTCAAGTTTGAGGTTTCTTCATTTGATAAAATGATTACAACTTGGAGTGAAAAAGATATGAAATTAATATGAAAATAGGAATAAAAGTGATGTATTTGTGAAGAGTTACCACACAGAAACATTTGATTCAATATAGAAATTTCGATAATAGTTTTATGAGATTGTCTTTAATGAACTGATGCAGGTAAAACCTCTGCAGATGGTAGGTCTCTGGTCACAAAATATTGCTAATATTTACTATTTTGTTATTTTGCCAGTTCATTGTAAGTCAATGTACCATAGTCTGATTACATTTCTATTTTATTTATGTACTCTGTTTGCAATTATAATATATGTATTATATCTTAATCACTAAAGAAATTACATTATAGTTCAGCATGCATACATTTGTTTATCAGTTTAAAAAAAAAACCTGTATAAATGTTCAGTATTTGTTCACAGTAACTTTTCTTTTGCAAAATTTGTAATACATAACTAGCCAAAATGTTCAAAAAGAGGATAATAAAAAATAACACCAAAGCAAAATATATATAGATGTTATTGCTTTCTTCATTTAATGTGCATTTACATTTATATAAATCTTTATCTTGATGAACTGATAACACTTGGACAATCTTTATTTGCTAAAACTCAAATATTAGTGTTAAATCAAAAGAATAACTTAAATCCAAAATAATTTAGTTTTTCCATTTAAATCATAAGGTTGATTAACCCTTTTGGCAACTAAGTCGACATGCAGACAGGCCGCCATAGGCGACTAATGTCGACATGCAGACAGGCCGCCGTAGGCAACTAAAGTCGACATGCAGACAGGCCGCCGTAGGTGACTTTGGTCAACAATTTTTATATCTTTATTATTAGCCAAGATATGCTTGTTTCAGTAATGCCGCCATTGTTTTCGGATATTTTCTGGAAAATATTTGGCGCTGAGCTGTACATTGTAAGAGATATTTGGCGCTGAGCTGTACATTGTAAGAGATCATTGGCGCCGAAAGGGTTAAAGGTCCATCATCTGGCCACCATCTTGGATTTCAACAATGGAAGTACTTGATGAATCCTCCAATTTCACAAGTAGAGTTTCCTTTTGGTCCCTAATGGTTTACAATAAAATCTTGGATTTGACAGATATCTTAGATTTCATATACCTGGTAATCAAGAGTAAACACAAAGTTAAGAAGGGAAAAGATTCAGGTTTTGGAGAACCAATAAAGATGAAACAATGGTGGATACCAATATCCTTTTAAGAAGAGTAATGGTATGGGCTTTACAGACCACAACACCTTCAAAAAATATTTCTTCTATTAGAACTTATTTTTCACTCTGTACACGTTCAAATTAGAGAAGAAATATACAGAGGAGGAAATCTGAAAAATGAAACAAACTGCCCCTCTCTTGGCTAAATACATTTTTAGTAAGCTCACTGGCTTCAAATGGCAAAGTGAGAATATGGCACAGCATATGTTGATCCATCCATGTATCTGTTAACTACAAATAACTACTAGTCATGAACAGGTGAGTGAAAGTTTCGTGTGAAGCATCCTAGGGCGAAGGAGAATAAATGATGGGTCTCATGGCCCCCAGAGGCTTGAGGGGCGGGACGTAAAAGGAAATGATTTGATTTTGGCCAAGTTTAGTTTTAAGTGTCCTTTGGTGAGGGTGAATCACTTTTTTATGAACAGTTGCTCTGGGTTCACTGCGACAGGGTTCAATAGGTGAAATAGAGCTAATACTTTAAAATCCTACTTCTCATCTAGGAATTATTTGATTTTGCTGAAATTTCTTCAAAAGTAACTTTCAGTGAATTATGTTTTGTAATAAAAGTGGGCCTTTACCATCATGGGCGAAGTCAGATAAAGGAAATATTTATACATTTAGTCCAAATATTGGGTAGAATATTGCTCAGAGAAGAGGAATCAGTTTTATATAAAAGATTTGTCTTGGCCCCCTTGAGCAGAACACATCATGGGCAAAAGATCAAATTCATTAAAAGAAATTATTGAGTTTTGTCAAAAGAGGTATGGAGCATTAGCATGATGGAACAGTTCTAGAAATACATGGCTAATGACAACAGGTAAACATACAGAAGGAGTCATTGTGTTAAATATAGAACATGCACATCTGGAAAGATGTGTGTATACCATGTATGTTGCTGGTGATCTTACAATTAAATCTGGAAAAAGTAAAAAGATTGTGCAATGGCCAGTAACTACATGTACTTCATATGTGACCTTTTATTAGGTCATGGGATCTAAAGGGTTCTCAATAACCAGAAGGCTCTTGGTATTGATATTCGGCCTGTAGCATGATGGGATGAATGGCTACAAAGTTTGTTAATATAAATTAACTTAAACTGCTTTCAAGATAACCAGATGGCAAACGGTGCAGATATTGGACCTGTAGCACGATGGGATAAAGGGCTACCAAGTTTGATAATATCAATGACCATGACCCGATTTCAAGGTCACAGATGTCAAATAGCTTAAAATGTTTAAAAATTTCTCAATAACCAAATGGCCAGGGTGCTGATATTGGGCCTGTAGCATTCTTGAAGTTAGGGCTACCAAGTTTATCAACAGGAATGACCTTTACTGACTTTCAAGGTCACAGGGGTGAAATATGTTTAAATCTTTAAACAACTTGTTCTCAATAACCAAAAGGTCCATGGTACTGATATCGGGCCATTATCATGCTGGGATGAAGGGCTACCAAGTTTGTAAATATGAATTTCCTGGAGCCATTTTCAAGGACAGTGGGTAAATATGTTTAAATATTAAAACTACTTCCTCTCAATGAAAAAAAGGTCTAGGATGCTGATATTGGGCCATATACAAGTCTTTATAGTCAGATGGCCGTTACGGACCTCTTGTAATCCTGAAGATACATTGAACATTGAGATGACATTCTGCCATGTCTCTAACACATTAAGTAGGACTCATTGTCTCTAGCACTATCATGTAACTCATTGGCTGCATTCATTATCACCAAAGAAAATAGGTCGGGTTTTGGCCATTAATTGTCGTAATGCATAAGGATATGAAAAATCAAGTAAAAGGAAACTCGCCACTGAAATTAATTAACCTGAAAACAAAAAATAATGATATGTTGTCAGTAGCTGAAGTCGAACGTGCGACCCTATTTCAAAATTCGACTAACGTGCTAGTTTTACCGCCTGTTCTATAGACACTATCATTGAGATTTTAATGGTTTCAATTTTGAAAACATAATCACTTAACATCTTTTTTTCCAATTTTCGAGGATATGATTTAAGTTACGTCTGATCACACTTGGTTAGGTTCAGTTGTCTAAAAGTTAATGTGCACTGTGTATCAAAATTGCATTTGAAGCGGTTAAATCCCCATGTTTCAGAGCATAATGCTTTAGGAAACATCTTTGACATTCTGCAAAGAAATAACATATGGCACATATCAAATATTTTTTTTAATTGGTATTTGGATATATGTAAATGAAATTACCTATCTGAATTCATCGAAATGGAGAATTCAATTTTTCCATTTTATTGTTGGTCACATTAAGGTCGAACCAGGCGGTTTCACGCCATACCTCACTCTTTTGTAATGTGGAATCAATGGGGTAGGGCCTAACATGTGAAATAGAGCAAATTATTTAGGAATGTTTATTTTTCAGAGAAATGCATTGATTGTGTCCCAATTTGGTGTGAAGCATTCTTGGATAAATGGGAGTCAATTTTGTATAAATGGGTCTCGGTCCTCTGGGGCTGTAGGGACAAGACAATCGGGCAAGTAGACCAAATTCTATAAAATCCCTCTTATATAGGAATATCAGGATTATAACCAAATTTGATCCAAAGCGTCCATGGGGGAACGAAATTAATCTCAAATTTCTTATGTTTGTCTTCCTTTGTCCCTCATTGTGCCCCTACGACTTTGGGACCGAGTTTTCAAAAAAGGGCAAACAGGCGGTCATCTAAGATTGCGGTAAGAAATTTTGTTTTCGCTATTTCTTGAGAAGAACTGAATGGGTTTTTCTCAAATTTCATTTGTAGGTTACGGTTACTCTTACCCCTTAGTTGTGCCCCTTTGATTTTGAGATGAGTCATGGAATACGACATGGCCTAGAAGCAACAATCTTGAATTTGACACCTAAAGATTATTACCTTTAATTTCATAACAGGAACTGTCTTATCTGTCTTATAATTAAGAGCAAATGTAGGGGAAAAGATTTCACTGTAAAGGAAAAAGTAAATATCACTCTAGGATCTTTTGTTAGAAAACCTTTGTTAGCATTCCGTCTTCTTTATTGCACTTAAATAAAAACGGAACCACAAAGGAATGTGTATCGATTGCGATGCCTTATTTATTTATTTATATATTTGTCTTTTCATTTTACTCGATACACAGGTTCTTTACCCCCAACCTCAAACGAGTATAATGCACCCTTAGCGTAGTATTGTGATAAATGGTTGACTAGTAATTTACAGGTTTTCCGTCTTCGCGACTTCTCCCACAGTATCTCACCAACGAGCGTTTGTGTAATCACATTTTGAGCCACAGAATAACCTTCATACGGTAAACGGATGTTCTAATAATCGACTTTATGGTTATAACACCTCTGATTCAAAGACGACGCTCAGTGATGTAAGACTACGATTTAGTTCATAAGCCATTTGCTGAACTAGAGAAGACCTGACCACATGCGTTATCAGAAGGGATGGGGACCAAACATTTAGCTGACTCGGAAAAAGACAACGTTAGTATACTGTTGTCCTCATATAGCTAATTGATACTTATGATTATTTCATTACGAATGAGAAACACATAACAGCCACATTAATAGAGGAAAACATTTAGAATACCACATTTTTATGAAACGGTACTTGAGTTATTGACTACATTTTCAATTACTATAAGTAACAAATACAATTCAACATATTTGTAGTATGTTTCGCTTTTACCAATATTTCATGATAATATATCTATTATACCAATTGTTTTGATATATTCCAGGACCCAAATACGATGGAGCCGTGGATCTATATCCTTGCCAGTTTTTTGTTCCTTAGTTTTGTTATATCAGAATGGAGCAACATGACACTGTTGTACAGTATCTACACAAAGAAACTTAATACTGTGAGCGGTAAGAAATTCCAAATATTTTACCCTGACTGTAAGTATGGAGAGATTATAAATGTCTATACACCTTAGTTGTTATCAATCTCGGGGGAAAAATCCGAGGTACGTATATATGTCACAATTGTTACACAAATACATATATATAAAAACAAGGAGCCGCGAAGTGAAACATTGCTCTGCGTTCTGCTGTTGTCAAGTGAATATAACATTTTTGATGTAGGTTGATTGTCTGTGTCTATTACTGCCGATATTTAACACTTTTAAACAATAATGTTTGTATAACTGAATATTTGTTTAAATAATAAATCAGAAATCTCGAAGTGAAAAAAGGCACGACCAGGGCACTAGCATGCGAGTACATTTTTTGTACACATCAGTTCGAACGCTGTCAAGTTGGCGACCGAAAAAAAAGTAAAAACGTAGCAAAAAGCACAACTAGGACACTGATATTTAAAGGGGGTCACTTTAACGGTTTTGAATGAGCCGTTCGGAGAAGCTTGTAAACATTACATTTAGTATTTTTTGCCAACAGAAAATATCTTATATAAAATGAAATCTTGCCAATAACAGAAGACACAATTAGGAGAAAAGCCTGATTTTGAAACGAAGTGTTGTTAAAATCAGGCAGCCAAGAAAACCTCTCGGACATTCCTCGTACATACGTTTCGCGGGAAGACAATGACGTGTACCATTATGATAGTGATAACTATAGTGAGATATTAAGTAAAGGTAATCGAGAAACAACAATAGAAAACTATCAGATTAACAGATGTTTTGTTTTTCAGCACTACTGGTGAAATGCATGGTCTTATGCGGCACACTGAACGGTATCCTCTTCATCGTCCCAGCAGGAATTACGGTTGTGAGAGAGATTGGGAAGATAAGTCATGATGGATGTATTTATTATAATCTGGTACTGCAGACCTCCAGCTCGGCAAACAGACTACTCCTTCTGTTGTTGGTCTTGGAACAGTAAGATATTTTGCCTTTATGATTTATGGACGCTGGGACCTTGTACCTTCAAGGTGATGCGAGCGTTAGTTTATAGTATATAGTCTAAGTTGAAGAGTTTTGGTACATCGTCTGATATCATAAACAATATAAGATTATTGATAGTTATTTTTGCAGTGTTTTATGTCTGAAAGTCTTTAATGGTTTTAAATTTGCTAATTGTTATTTTCTTTATGCGGTCGGTTTTGAATCCATAAACCGAACACTTCATGGCCATATAATGTTCGGTTTCGGAATAAGCGACACGAAAATGAATTTCAAAAAATTGTTTCTGATGGAAGATTATTGTGGAATATACAACTACATCTTTTTTTTTCAATATACAAAGCATTTGAAAGTTGTTCTATTAAATGTGTTCAACCACATAAGTAGTACATATGATGTGTTAGCTGGATCGATGTGTGATAATCTATTAATATCCTACCTGTGAAATTCACCCACTTGCTCCGTCAATGACCCCCAGAATACAAACTGTTGTTTCGATAATGAAAATGATGCAAAGGAAATGCCGACGCACCTTGAACAGCGTTTTAGCTCTAAGAGTTTGTTTTCACGAAAGTTTTTCAATAAACAATGTTTATTAAGGATTTTGAAAATAAGTAATTCCTCTCTTCGCGTTATTTTACAATTATCCTGGTTTCGTTTCATGTTCTATGTGCGTTATGTAAATTTTGTGTGTTGGTAAATGGGCAGATTGCCCCGAAAAATTTATAATTTTCTTGTCTGTACATCTATTTCAGTAAGTCTGAACTAAATCTCTTTGTTAGGATCCATTATCATTGAGTTGTTCATATCACCAAATTAAAGATTCAATATTGTGCAAGTACTATTTGATAAAGACAGGCGCAATGTATTGTTAGCGGTGTACAGAAAATCAAATACAAAACGTAAGATAATCCCCTTAATTCTGAAGAATAGGACCACAAGGACAATATAGAGAATTACAAACATTTTTACTCAACCGGTATTTTTAAACGGACTACACTGAAATATTTGTTGACAATTCTGGTTGCTCCTGTTTGAATACCATCTCAATAAGTATTTTAGTACACTGTCCCAGACTATTTCTGCATACTCTAATTGACGGCCTAATAAATGATGTGTACATCGAATGAAGATAATCTTTTTCAACAGAAGTTTTCTCAAGTCTGTTAAGCTAATGGACATAGATATAAACAGCAGTGTCTTTATGAGGATTCCAAGAAAGGTTAAAAGAAAACCACACATTTTGAAATTAAGATTAAGGTGTTATTTATAATTATTTTTGATACATTTACTATTTCTTTTAAGTACTCAAAACAGGTTTACTTGGATTTTATGTAATTAACTATCTATTGGCCCAAACTGGAATTTACGTAAGATAATGGTTCATATCATATTTTGCCTGCATTGGATTGATGTGTGATCCGTAAAAAGCTGAAATTATGACCTAAAACAACATCATTTATACCTATCAAATATAACAGAAGCCTTGTAATAGATGTTTGGGGTATACCTAACCATGATAGAATATTTTCCATCATGAACAAGTTGTTAGCCGTTTTTAATTTGTAAATAAACCCTTTATACCAAACCTTACTGAATGATATCACAGAAAACTACTTACCTTTCCCTTTCATATAATACTTGTTTATAATACCTGTTTCGTTACTTTATTTGTTAAAGGCAGTTATCAGGAATAAATCCAGACTAGTGTTGTTTTAAAGTTTTATACCCCTTATAAAGTCAAATCAATTCATTAAATGCACATATTTTCTTAAATTTATCTAGTATATTGAATAAAAGTCTAACTTGTATTAAGTCGTTAACGATTCATCACCCTTTTTGAAAATACTTATTACGTCAGCTAGTGTTCATATATGTGTGTTGATACTAAGGAATGTATTAGAAAGATAGATTAGGGGGCTGTGCAGATAAAGCACTCGAACCCTCTCTCAGTAATTTGGAACTAATCAGATCGGAAACAACAGACTTTTATGATTAAGTAAGCAGATAATGTGCTATCTAATGTAATTCCAATATTGCTAAGAGAACAATCAATATGGCAGCATTGGTATCGCTAACCGTTGAATGTTAAAACAATAGTCCTTGAAAGTTTCAGTTTTGGAGAGATCATCGTATTTAATGACACTGTCTAGATTTAGGTGAGATTCTCTAACGTTTTGAACATAAATTAATGATGACTCCATCTTGTTGCAATAATCTATTAACAGTGACAATACCTATGACGCATTACAAACATACGCAGTTTCGCACTCGCCCATACACTGTTGCCAAAGTCCGCTCTCGACCAGACCTCCTCTGTCACATTCACACCATCATCACTCCCCGATCCGATTGAAAAGGGATTGGTGTGAAAATTATGACCAAATCATCAAAAACAATTTGATATGTATATAGATCACAATTATTCTTTTCAAAAACCCTTATGTAAGATTACGCTGATCTTTGACCCTTGTAACTTTAGGATAAGGAATTTATTCTTACAACTGAAGTGTATACTGTAGAAAATTAAATTGTAAAGTAACAGAAATACAATAATGTTAGATTACATACAAAATTGAAAATACGGTCAATTCATAAAAAGGTGAATTTGTTCTACTTACTTATCTCGGTAAAATGGTCACCACTATACTAGTTTTTTATGATTGGTATAAAGGTTTCACAACAAGCAGTTGTAGAATATGGTCAAACTCGTGATTTGTAACTTTTGAAAATTCGAGCGAAAAAATACCGTACGACGAGTCCGTGTGACCCCTTTCTATCGCAATAAAAAACTCTTCCAAAATTTGATTCGACCTATTCTCTACCCACATGTGTTTTGGTAATGTTATCGGTTGGGACGTAATGATATAACCTGTAGTGAAATACCGCTAATATTTCAAGAAAACATGAGGACATTGTTACTCATAACAAATTATAACTAGAATTAGATTGGTTTGCACCTTCAAAGAAAAAAACCCAAATAAGAATCAAATTAAAAAATCGTGAACTACTAATTGCGCGTTTTAATTTCCGTGAGTTTGTGAAGCGCCTTTTAGGTGAAAATTTATGCTGTCAGCCAATCAAAACGTACTAAATGTTAAACCACGTGTGGTATAACATTGATGTTTATACATCAGATGAAATGTCGTAGAAAACTACTTTGGTGGTTCAGATAATGTAATGAATCAGGAAATGTGTGTTTTTTAAAAACCAATTTAGATGAAACAATTCGATAAATTGATACTTACGTCACTTCGTCAGTTTGGAAAAATTGATGCAAATGAAACTAGTTTTTATAAAGGGAGGCCCATGTTTACTAATAACGATAAATTGATACCCAAGTAACTGCTATTAATAAGCTGTAAGCATTGTATTTAAGAAGTGAAGCGGGGATGTCCTTTTTCAGGTATTCCCTGACTTTATAAGGCTGTGTTCCCGAAGGAAAGGTGTCATTTGGCCAGTTTATGTCGAAGAGGCAGTACTCCAAAGTAAACAAGACTTTTGCAAAATAGACAAAATCGCTGAAAGAGCAGTGATTCAATATTTACATAAGAAAGGTCTAGCAGGATATCCATACCGATACAATAGCAATACCAGGGAATGATGCCCCTCCATATGTTAAAATGAAAAATTGGGTGGCGGACTTTAAGGGTGGCAGTCAGAGCATTTGGTATGACGCTTGTCTTAGAAGGCCTGTTCCTGCTGCAACCTCAGAAATGAACCATAAATCCATGGTATTGTTATGACTGACAGACGCGTTACAGATATATATATATATAGCAAGTACAGTTGGGAAACACGAAACTGTGCATTCCATTCTTACAGAAGATCTTTCATTGAGACAGTTCTCAGTCCTTTGGGTATCGAGACTTCTCACAGTTGATCAGCAGCACACCAGACTTTGTCGCATGCTAAGTGCTAATCTGAACCTTTTAGAGGCATATCCTGTTAACATTCTGCAGAGGTTTGTACTATGGGTGAAACGTAGGTCAATCATTCACGCCATAGGCCAAACAATAGTCTATTGGAAGCACCCTAGTTCACCACCGAAAAGAAGGCATAGACTGTTCCATGAGCTGGGAAGGATATAGACTCGATTTTCTGAGATGCTGATGGTATTCTGATGGTAGATAATCAATGACACGTAGTACATCACTGGCAAAAGTGTAAAGATTCTGAAGTGGATTGTGTTGAAAAATAATGCAATATGTCCGCCAAACTCTTAAATGTGAGGATCACAATTTTTCGATCAGACATCGTAATTTTAATAACGCGAAACCTAAAGAATCTAGTTTGGGTAAGGTTATGATCATGAAACTAGTCTGGATAGTGTGGCCTGTTAAATTTATAAAACTGGTCGCATCATTACTTTAAGATGCTGGCTACATTCATGATCCCTGAAGCGCTTTACATGGTACATTTCCGAGTAACGATAAAGTAGAAAAAAATACATGACAAGTCCCATGTATCTTGCTTTCATAACGTGAGGCCCATTTGATAAGCGAATCTCTCGACTGTATCTAGTTAGGCTGAAGTGGAGCTCAGGTCACAACACCTTTAATTTGTAAACAACACAGTATATCGCTGAATTTCGCTTTATTTGATGCTTTATTATGTAAAATAATAGTAATTAATATGTTAGCATAATTTCTGAAGAACATTGACATTTATTGCAACATTTTGTTTCTCTTTTTAGGTTCTTTAGTTTGATAAGCCGACGAGTACTTCCATTACACAGATATGCCATCTCAACTGTACTGTTCGTGATATTCCTGTACTCGGGTAATATTTAATTTATATTGAAATGTATATAGTAGTAGTGATTTTTTCTGAAACAGTTGAATTCTGATGCTTAGGTATTTTATATTAATTTAGACTTTTATGCTGTTTAACGACCTATCAACACCTGAGCGCATGTTTTAAAGGAGACTCTGTTCGTCTGTCTTTATGATAGTGGGGAACTGAAGTCGACTTTTGTATAACATTAGGAAAAAATTATATAAAAGACACACAAGTTAATGACACTTTTTGATAGAACTTTCGAGTTATATAAAGAAGAGCTAAAATGAATTAAACTAGAAAGGAGAGAAATATATCTATATAGTATATCCCAAATTTAGTCGCTTTTCACGATTGGAAAAAGGAGAAATTAGCAAATGCTTTAAAATCCTCTTGTAGAAAAAAGTGAAATGTCCAAATTTGGTCTAATACACCTTTGGGTGAAGGGGATTCGATTCTGTTTAAATGATGGGTCTGGCACACGTGCTGCATGAGGGACAGGACCCAATATAGGAAAATATATTCTTATACAGTGATGCCTGGATTCTTCCCAATTCGGTCTGAAACACTTTTGTGTGAAGGGGTTTAATTTTGTAAAACGGTGGGCCTTGGTCCCCTAGGGCAGGAAAGGCGGAGCCCAATAAAGGAAATTGAACATTGTTAATTCTTGGATCCTGTCCCGATTTATTTAGACGCAACCTTGTGTAAAGTGGAGAGAGGGGAGTGAGGAAAAATAGAGAAATTGCTATAAAATACGTCTTCTATAAGAATGTTCCCATTCGGTCTGAAGCATCATTGGGTGAAGGGAATCGGTTTTGTAAAAATGGTTGGTATTAATGGATATCAAAAAAGGAAATATAGAAAATTCTTTAAAATCATTATTTTTGCCATTGGAATGTCTACATTGTCTCAATTTGGTCTGAGGTATCCTTGGGTAAAGCGAAACGATTTTGTATAAACGGTAGGTCCTGGAGCAGGAGGAGCGTAGGTAAGAGTATAAAACACTCATTTTTCCGTTAAGATAAGGTATTTTATTGAAGTTTAGCTTGAAGCATTAAAAGTTCTCGCCCTTTAAGGAAATAGAATTGTTAATAAAAATGCTTCGAAGCAAAAGTCGGAATATCCAGGTGACCGATACAAGCACAATGACTCTTGTTAAGTAAAAACCTGTCAAAATGTTGTTGTTTTTTTGAGACATGATATAAAATGTATGTTTGATTTATTTCAATTTCATATGAAATTTCGTTTCATAAAACCCCATAAAAACGGCAACTTATTTAAAGTTCTATATATTATTCAATATATGCATAAAGTGTTGAAATTGAACGAAATTTTAAATCTTATACATATATGTATACATGTATATACATGAAATGTAAAAGATAAGAGTATGTAATTTGATTCAAATTACTACACGTTTATTTCACATGGTAATTTTCAATTTTAACTTTCCTGAAAAATCTTCATCTTTAGGCAATGACAAACAGAAAATTGCATTTAAAGTGTGAAATAACATGTAATGATATTCAATATAAAAGTTAGATTGCTATATCAATGATCGCGTTGGAAATCTGTTGCTTATATGTTATGTGCATCCTATTTAAAACGATTTGTCAAATGGACCTGCATTGCTCATCTGATATTTAGTTCTTTCTTTAAATACATTTTCATCTCGTACAACGGGCTAAACGTTCTTCATCTCAACTAATAGATTCTGTTCTGGAAGATTTCATATTTCAGAAAATCAATTTATACGTCTTACAATTTTTTTATTAGATATATGAGTATGGAAATGGTTTAAGGTTATTTTTTTCGCGAACATTCCTGTGTTTCCAATGAATCTTTTTGACAAATTATTACATTAATTTTGCTCTTTTTTAAATAAGGAATCATTTCAGTGTTAAAATAACATTTAACTCATGTGAGGTTGAAAATTGGTGGAGGTAATCTTTGAAACTTTCGGACAGATATCATTATTATATTACTGCTGGTCAAAAAGAAGTGTAAATGAAAATGATATCTGTGACCTTGGACATATTCGGTATTTTGTTCTTCGTGTTGGATTGTGTTCTGGTTTAAATCTAAAATTGAGAGAAGAGAAAAACAACAAAAAATGTTACATGTTCCCTTTTTAAACAGAAATATCTCAGCGAAAAACCAACTGAAAACAGTAACAAGATAAGGAAAAATCATGTCAATATGGTGAACTTTTACCGACTTCCGGGGCGTTGTCTTTTCCGGAACGATTAATTAATATCCAATCCTGGTGGTCTTCAGGTTTTCATACATTGTATTTTAACTTCAGTGTTGGTGTCCACTTTGACAGTCATTCGAGGAGACAAGTACATCACTAGGAGCAATGTCTATTTTTGTCTTCTTCCGTTTGATTGGTTGACAATAGCATTTGAGACTGTATCCTATATTATCCCTGGGGCGTGTATTCTCGGCATATCACTTTCGGCGACCTTTTTCACGAATGCTGGGTTAAAACATCGAGCCAGTGGAAACAACGGCGTGACTACATCTACAGACGTCTCCTCCTCACTGCCGCCCAAAGTGTCAGTATCAACAACTAACATTCCCATCGCGCGCATCGCAATACCATTATCGTCCTTGTGTATATTTGCATCACTGATGCGACTTTTTGGAATAGTTTTTAGCTATTATCCGTTGATTTTAACGTTTGCATTGATATGCGATACTATAACCTATGCGGTGCAGCCTCTTGCGTTTTTATGTGCAGGTTCTTTTATAAAAAAGAACAAAACAGAATCGGTCATAATTCAGTTTTCCCGTGCCACTACCTCTGTTCAGGTGCCTTCACCAGCGCATACAACGAATGAGATTCTACCGTCCATTCCGACTGTAAGTGGTAGCCTGACCACAGACAAAGACAATGTAAATGAAAGTGTAGTCCACCTTAGACTAATCAACATGAAAGAAGATGTCGCCATTTCAAAGTGTAGCAAAAGTCCTATTATGATAGCACCATCAGCAGAAAAAGCAGTATCGTTTACTATCCCCCAAAACACCGAGCACCAGAAAACCTTTGAGCTTCCTCTTGGTGCTTGCAGTCGGAAATCCTCGTTTGTCGAGTTTGGACCTTCCTCAGGATTACACAGATACGTTTCTGCTTGTAGCCCGAGCTCTGTAAACATTGAGATAGATGATATCGAAGAAGACATACCAAAAGAATCCTTTGTAGATGAAACCTCGAAAAAAGTACAGCAGCATTCCATCAACGAGTCACTGTGCATTACCTACCCACACAAACAAATCAACTGCAGTACATCGCAGAGCTACAGTCGAACATCTTCTACAAGCAGCAGGTCGCGTTCCTTTGGTATGCACCATGGAGACAAATCAGGCATGGATTCGGATTATGTAATACCAAGTGTCCATGTCGACTCAATCGACATTGCGTCATCAAAACAGTACAGTATTTCAATGACACGTAAAGGCCATTTCACAGAATCAGGTACAAGTCAGAGGGAAAACTCTCTCTGTTTTTTTGGAAGCCAAAATTTCATGAGGAAAGAGAGCGACACAGGAGAATTTGTTGTCAGAAAACACTAAATAAAAAAATGAAGATGTGTTTCCTCTTGATAAATACATTACGACGCGAGCAGAATGCAGAATTGATTCAATTTGTTACTTAATCAGTCAAAATATCTTAATTCAATTATATTAAAATTCACGGTATTTCACAAGTAAATACCTTTAGATATTCAAGAAGGACAATTAGAATAAACTAATTTTTCAATTCTTACAAGTTGTTGGAATTCCACATTAAGTTCCTATATTTGCTTGCCAATTTCAGGAATATCAGTTTTTGAACAATTTCGATTCAATGTAAATGTGTTAATTAATATGTTCAAAATATCATTTTAATTAAGATATTTTTATACATATACATATATACATATAAAATACATACTTTTTCAATGGTTATTTAAACGATAATATTATAAGGAATATGATTTTCTGATTCACAATCATTGAACTGAAACTACAAAAGTGAATTTCTTGAAACAACAATACTGGCTACAATTATGTCTGTGAGAAGCTATTCGCTGGCTACAATTATGTCTGTGAGAAACTCTGGCTACAATTATGTCTGTGAGAAGCTATTCGCTGGCTACAATTATGTCTGTGAGAAACTATTCGCTGGCTACAATTATGTCTGTGAGAAACTCTGGCTACAATTATGTCTGTGAGAAACTAGTCGCTGGTTACAATTATGTCTGTGAGAAGCTATTCGCCGGCTACAATTATGTCCGTGAGAAACTATTCGCTGGCTACAATTATGTCTGTGAGAAACTATTCGCTGGCTACAATTATGTCTGTGAGAAACTATTCGCTGGCTACAATTATGTCTGTGAGAAACTCTGGCTACAATTATGTCTGAGAGAAACTATTCGCTGGCTACAATTATGTCTGTGAGAAGCTATTCGCTGGCTACAATTATGTCTGTGAGAAACTATTCGCTGGCCAGTGGCGTTATGTCTGTGAGAAACTAAAATTCGCATGTTTTCTTTTTCTTGTTTATTAATCTATTTCCATAATGTGCATGATTCTTTTCTCGCGATTTGTTTTATATACCTTTGCGACGATATATTCCGGAAACTTGCCAAGTGAGATTAAAATCTTTATAATCTTTATATATGCTGGTCTTTTTACAATTACAATGCTGTAGAGAAGCTGCATTGAATGAAGGCCTCGCTACAACTGCTGTACAATTATGTGTGAGAAATTATTCACTAGTTACAATTGTCTGTGAGAAGCTATTCGCTGGCTACAATTATGTCTGTGAGAAACTATTCGCTGGCTACAATTATGTCTGTGAGAAACTCTGGCTACAATTATGTCTGTGAGAAACTATTCGCTGGTTACAATTATGTCTGTGAGAAGCTATTCGCTGGCTACAATTATGTCCGTGAGAAACTATTCGCTGGCTACAATTATGTCTGTGAGAAACTATTCGCTGGCTACAATTATGTCTGTGAGAAACTATTCGCTGGCTACAATTATGTCTGAGAGAAACTCTGGCTACAATTATGTCTGAGAGAAACTATTCGCTGGCAACAATTATGTCTGTGAGAAGCTATTCGCTGGCTACAATTATGTCTGTGAGAAACTATTCGCTGGCTAAAATTATGTCTGTGAGAAACTATTCACTGGCTACAATTATGTCTGTGAGAAACTATTTGCTGGCTACAATTATGTCTGTGAGAAACTATTCGCTGGCTACAATTATGTCTGTGAGAAACTATTCGCTGGCTACAATTATGTCTGAGAGAAACTATTCGCTGGTTACAATTGTCTGTGAGAAACTATTCGCTGGCTACAATTATGTCTGTGAGAAACTATTCGCTGGCTACAATTATGTCTGTGAGAAACTATTCGCTGGCTACAATTATGTCTGAGAGAAACTATTCGCTAGTTACAATTGTCTGTGAGAAACTATTCGCTGGCTACAATTATGTCTGTGAGAAACTATTCGCTGGCTACAATTATGTCTGAGAGAAACTATTCGCTGGTTACAATTGTGTCTGTGAGAAACTATTCGCTGGTTACAATTGTCTGTGAGAAATTATTCGCTGGTTACAATTATGTCTGTGAGAAACTATTCGCTGGCTACAATTATGTCTGAGAGAAACTATTCGCTGGCTACAATTATGTCTGAGAGAAACTATTCGCTGGTTACAATTATGTCTGTGAGAAACAATTCGCTGGCTACAATCATGTCTGTGAGAAACTATTCGCTGGCTAAAATTATGTCTGTGAGAAACTATTCGCTGGCTACAATTATGTCTGTGAGAAACTATTCGCTGGCTACAATCATGTCTGAGAGAAACTATTCGCTGGCTACAATCATGTCTGTGAGAAACTATTCGCTGGCTAAAATTATGTCTGTGAGAAACTATTCGCTGGCTACAATTATGTCTGTGAGAAACTATTCGCTGGCTACAATCATGTCTGTGAGAAACTATTCGCTGGCTACAATTATGTCTGAGAGAAACTATTCGCTGGTTACAATTATGTCTGTGAGAAATTATTCGCTGGCTACAATCATGTCTGTGAGAAACTATTCGCTGGCTAAAATTATGTCTGTGAGAAACTATTCGCTGGCTACAATTATGTCTGTGAGAAACTATTCGCTGGCTACAATCATGTCTGAGAGAAACTATTCGCTGGCTACAATTATGTCTGTGAGAAACTATTCGCTGGCTAAAATCATGTCTGAGAGAAACTATTCGCTGGCTACAATCATGTCTGTGAGAAACTATTCGCTGGCTACATTTATAAATCAACTCAAAAAATGTTCAGTATGTGAAACAGGGTTATTGATATTTTACAAATAATTCAGAGAAAGAAAAGGATAAGCAAAGCAACAGTTCCAACATTATAGTAGAAACAATTTAAAGTCTATATATAAACTGTCCCGAATGTCAACTGTAAGACACAATAGTTAATGGGAGACAAGTTCAAAATCTGAGTCTTTTTATTGATTTTTTATATCAATTATGACGGTGTAAATATTGTTATATAAAAGTATGTTGTAGAATGATGTATGGGTTATTAATTTTATGATATGTAGACATTTTGAGTTTATCATTGATGTATTTTTTCATCATTTCTTGTTGACATTTTTGAAGAACAATAATTGTGTATTCGGCGTTTTAAATATGGTTTTTTTTTTTTAATTTGAATACAGGAACTTATAATGAGTGTTTCCTTGATACATTTCTAATAGGATGATACTGTACGCGATAGCATAATTCAACGTTTTTGTGACTTTATTTCCAAAATGTTAATTTATCGTTGTAAAAATCGATTGGAACGAAGTCAGTGATTTTTTCCGTCAGAGACAAAAATAGATGAAACACTAACTCTTTTCAACATTTTCATAATTCCTTGAAGTCACTTCCCTATTTTATGAAGACATTTTTGGCGACATTCTCGACTGTGTTTTATGTTACAAATCAAAACGTGCTTCATTAGGATTCACATAATTTATGATTTTCTAAAATTATTTCCGACCATTCAGTTTGAAATTTACTTCTACACTGTCGTTAATTAGTTGCTCAGCAATTTCAAATTTGTTCTCTGAAACAACATATTTCGTGGTAAAGTATTTCCGCGTTTTTTTCGTGAATGCATGTGAAGGATACATATTGTCTGTGCTTAGCAAAAGTGACTTTATTTGTCAAATTTTCTTTTTGAGTGTGTGTGTGTATTTTCGTCTTCTTTTTTTTATATTCAAGTTTTGCATGCTTTTTCCCTATGAATACTGGATAGACATATTTTTGTCATTGTGAGATATACGATTGAAATTCTCTACAACAGTCCACGTGATGATACTAATATAATGAAGTGACAGATGTAGCGTGTTTTACCTGTTCTTTTATTGTTGGCACAGTAAAAAGTTGCAAGAGTAAATCGAGTGGTTTTTTTTTTACTTCAATAAACACTCTTAGTCGAGTAAAACCATTTGTGCTTAAATCAAGCAAATTAGTAAAATTATGTGTGATTTCCTTTTGGTAAACCAACTCATAAAATACGGGAAACGTGGGTGTGATGTTCATACATTAAAAAAATGAAAATACGGTCATTTCAACAAAAACTTAATCTAATATCATATTAAGGGTAACCGATATAATATTTACACGTAGATTCTTAAAATGCGATTGCCAATCGATATGTCTTGTCATCTAGTAATCACTGGGTTTTTTTAAAAATAAATTATTGAAATATATATTTATCACTGCTATATAAACGAGTGGATGGAAAAGTCCAATGCATATTTTGCACGTGCCGCACCTGGCGCACGTGAGACAGGTAGACGTTCTACAGTGGTAACAGGTAGCCTTCGATCAGACAGGACGTTTAAATCCCCTTGTTTCTACGTCTTGGACTAAAAATAGCAATGTTTCCGGAATCATGTACCTGTAAACGGCTACCAGCCGATGAATGTGGCTGCAGGTTTTTTTTCTTGTAATAACTTAAAAGTGAGTTTGCCCTAGAGTCCTTGAGGAATATACATGTAAGGAACTTGTCGGACTGAATTTCCAATCGTCCCAGCAGCTCTCGGGGAGACACCCAAGTGAACGGCATGGTCAGTATCGCGCAGGTCGGTTCAATCCATCATGAAGGATTCCTCTGATGCATTTGTGACCGATTTTAGATGTGACCCGGGAGCACTATGTAATAAATGGACAGAATATGCCAAGTTATCAGCATTTATCGATTGTAAACACAACAGAATGTTATATCTTAAAAACAAATATTAGTATTTATCGATTGGCAGACTGTCAAAAATATTCGAATGAATATAATGATAGGTCAAAAATATATGAAGGAAATCTTAGACACACACATACATATAATAAGAAATAAAGTTAGATGAATTGTCACACGTTTCTTTTTTTTTCAAAACAAACATACATCGTTCTAAAGCCAGTTATCTCATTAAAAGGTTTTCAATGCTGCCCTTCCGCTGAACCGAGAATGTGAAATTTAGAATTAAAAAAAACTCTCGAACTGCGCAGTGTGTCTGTTATAAAGGTCACGCT